AAATTGTACTATACCACGAGAAAGGTTCTATTTGTTCTATTTTTACATCAAAGTTTGTACGATCAGTTCTCGGTGGTTGCTGGGTGCATCTCACTCATTTGAGTGAGTTGTTTGGGTGCTGTAAGATAGACGCCCTGCTTTAGTTATTCTTGACAACAACCCGGAACTGTGTCTGAGTTCGGGAAATTCAATCTCTTGCCTTCTTCTTTTTCTCCTCTTTCCTGAGACTGAAAAGCTCATCTGAATCCTTTTATCGCTGCTCATAAATCTGCTCACGCCTCAAATTGAGCATTTGACAGGGCTTAAAGCAGCGTCATAATCTGTGTGAGATCTTCATGCCGCTTTAGCCGTAGTTCCTTCATCAACCATCCCCGTTCAATTATTCAAATGCACCGCGGCGTGTTTGCTTCACCAAAGTCTTTCAAGCTACAACTACGCCACCTCCAATACCTGGATAGACACCTGATATTTCGTTCCCTTCGCATATCGCTCTTTGACACAGTAAAGATGTCGTCGGCTCCATCAACACAGGAAAGGTTGACTGAGATATTATCTACTTCGACTTCCCCGCTTGAACCGCTAATAGAGCTAGAGGGAGAGGTCAAAACAAACTATCCGAAGGAGCGCATAGCAAGTGATATGGAGTTTTTCAGCACATATTACTCCTCATACCTAATATCACTCCTCCTTGATGATGACGTGTAAGAACTTCTCGTATTTTATAATAGTTCAAAGTGCTAACAGCTCTTCAACACAGTCACGAAGCTCGTATGATATTCCGCCGTTTGCCACATGCTATACTTGAGCACGATGCCTTGATGCAATCTCTCGAAAAGCTATTACGAGCTGTTGCGATGAGGGACCATGGAACAGTCTATGAAATTCTCAAGACAGCCCCATGGCATAAAATTACTGAACCTCTAGTTCAGTCATATACAGGTTCGTCTGACGGAAGCGGCATACCCTAATATTTAGAGCAAGTTCTAACGCGAATTTTACTATCTAGTTCATTACCGGAACAAGGTCATAGACGATACTAGTTTATCATACAAAAGTGTCAGGCTACCTACCATCGAATCAAAGCTTGGACTTGAGCAGGACTCGGATGCTATGCAAGATGATACCGGAGATGACGTACCATCACAATTGATACAAGATCTCTCTGCAAAAGGCTGGACCTATGATGCTGTTTCGAAGTTGATACACCCCGCAAAACCAGCAATGCAGGTCGATGCGCAAGAGAGGATAAGGCTCGGGCAAATATCTGCACTAATTGGGAACCATGGAAGTGGCTGAAGTTGATGCTAAACTGTATGGTGGATTAATATCTGCAATTTATCCTGAAGTGGCTCAATCTAAACTCACCGAGCGTGGAATTTATATAGTAGCAGATGCTACTATGGATAGACCTAATGGGTGAAAATGGATAAAGGCCATACATACATACTCCGTCATTGAGGGAGGGATTTTGCCAATGGCGTGGTTGTGCTAGAGGTTATTATTATCAACTATAACGTACGATAATAGATCAATAGATGACGGTACACCACTGGAGCAAATTCCACGAGTATATACAGCAAGAAACAAAAATCTATTGATGCGGCTGCTTCCCTTCGTCTTTTGCTCAACAGACTAAAAATATGAGATGATACAATAATACATAGTGAAGATGGTTCCAGCTCCCTCTTCCAAGCGCTGGGGCTGAAGCCACCTTCACTTTTTGATAGCAGAATCAACAAACCCAGATCGTGGTATTTTCCGGGTTCAAGATGATGGGTTGGTCGAACTGCCCAACAATCCGTCTTGTCATCACTTTTCCCGTTCCCCCAAATGTATTATTACGGACTTATTTTGCCGTCTCATTCGCAGTAGCCTTCAAAAGGGCCTCTAGGTCGAATCGCGCATCATTCGGGTCGGTGATAACTATGTTCTGGTAAGTCGGAGGCCCGAGGGGGATCACTTGCTTATGGCGTGTTTAAAGCGCTTAACATACCGCTGTTGTCGTCCTTCTTTGGTGGCGAGTTCTTATTCTTCCATTCAGTCTTTGCCTTCTCTATCAAGGACTCCTGTCTCTTGTATTCTCTTTCTATCTGAGCAGCTCTCGCTTGTGTGTTGAGAGTAGACTGGTGGTATAAACCGTAGAAGACACCCGCGAAGAGAGCGGAATATCGCAGGACCTATACCAGCGCATGAGCGTCAGCGAAAAGAAACCCATCGCATAATAACATCCATGATGCCATCAAAACGATTGACATCCGTATATCATTCTTTTCGGGCAGGAATTTGCGATTGAAGCCTTACGTTAACTCCTTGAGATGTTGCCATTTTGAACGACGAAAAAAACTAAGGAAGAATCCCCAGATCCCGGGGAGTCGAGAGAGTAGTGAGGTAGCGGGAAGAGGCGGAGAGTATATATCTCTGGCGATGCAATTCACGCAGCAGCCACTTGCGACTTGAGCTCAATGGAGGTTCCCGGACGACTGCTTGGTGGTGTTTTTCGACCAAGTTCGGATTTGAGATTGAACGTTCCGGGATTTTCTGATGTTCCTGACTCCGCTTATGTAATATTTTGATATCGACGCCAGGGATGAAAGCAAATGCAGCGAGCAGAAGAAGTTCGAGGCACCAGGTGGGTGAAACTACACAGATTTACGAAGCTGCTGCTGCGGAAGAAGGAGAAGATAGGACAGGACAGAAGACAAGCTGTTGGATAAGCAAAGATGGCGGACCGGAACATGCAGCTGAGGAAGGAGGAGATACTCGCGAAGAAGGCCAAGCTCGCGGAGTTGAAGCGGCAGCGAGAGCTACGACAGAGGGAGTTCTCACAGAACCGCATGAGCGTTGGAGAGAGCTCTGAGGTAGGTGACTTTGTATATGTTTGGAGTAGTTGAATTGTGGGTAATAATACTGGACGGTGTAGCTAATTTTTCTCATAGGTAGTGTCTCCCGTTCCGAGTCGATCTGACAACAGAGCCGAACTAGACAGTCTCATATCCAGACTGGTAGATAGACCGTCGTCTGCAGCTTTGAAAGATGGGGGCGAGCAGTCTCCAAGAGGCCGGGGGAGCAGGCCGAATTCAGTTCTCAGCACTGGGCAGTTAAGCGGAGATATGGAACCGTTTACACCTCCAGTCAGACCTCTGTCCCTATCTATAGCGACCCAAACGATTGACGAGACACCTTACAATGCTGTGCCAGAACCCGCCCCAGCAGCTCCTCCCAAGGTAGAAATCCTTACCTACAGCAAAGGTGTCCAAACCGACTCGATTCCAGAGCCAGAAACACCCGTGGATGATGATGATATATCAGAACTGGAAGACGGTGGCTCGCCTACAACCCCGTCTCGGTCGTCTAAGCGCTTCAGCCGGAGAGCCAGAGAGAAAGATGAAGAGATACGCGATAACTTACGAAAGGAGATTGAAGAAGAGCTCAAACTGGCGAAGGACTGGGCCAATGGCGGACCACCGTCTACGTCTACGCAGTTGCGATACCCCCTACGAACATTGACTGCAGACGAGCTAAACGCAGTGACTTCAGCAAGCGAGTTTTTGGATTTCGTCGAAAGATCCAGCAAGGTTATTGAGCGAGCGTTGGACGAAGAGTATGATGTTCTTGCTGATTATGCGTTGGGCGGCGTTGGGGCGGAGGACGAGGATGATGAAGAGTACGGTACGGGCAAGAAGAAGAGAGACCTGAAAGAAATCACACAGTTTTTCGACGAACGATGGAGCAAGAAGCGAATGATCAGTGATATAAGTTTCTCTCCAAAGGTGCGTTTTGCCGCGTCCTGACTTGCTCACCCGTATGGTATAATAATATAAAATACTAACAGGAGTGTTTAGTTTCCCGAGCTTGTTTTGGCATCCTATACCAAAAATCCAACAGCTCCTCACGAACCAGATGGCCTGGTACAAGTGTGGAACCAGCACTTGCACACACGGCCTGAATACGTATTCCATTCGACTTCAGACATCCTGACAGCCAAGTTCTCTCCGTTTCACCCAAACCTGATAGTGGGCGGGTCATACTCTGGACAGGTTCTACTATGGGATACGCGATCATCCCGAGCGGGCGGCGGCGCTCCCGTACAAAAGACACCGCTGTCAGGCTCCGGCCACACCCATCCGGTGTACAGCATCGCGATCGTGGGAACACAGAATGCACATAACATCCTGACAGCTTCAACGGACGGTGTTGTCTGCGGATGGACGGTCGACATGCTCTCACAGCCGCAAGAATACCTGGAGCTGACCACTCCTCCTCCATCCAAGACCGAAGACCTTGCCCCCACGACACTGTCCTTCCCTCAGTCAGACCCAACCTTCTTTCTCGTCGGCACTGAAGAAGGGACAATATATCCATGCCATCGATATGACCGAGCAGGCGCCAAGTCCGGTACCGACCACCGTCTCTCGTACCGCGGCCACGCAGCCCCGATCATGTCGACGGCGTTCCACCCTGCGCGAGGCCCCGTGGACCTGAGCGACCTGATGCTCAGCTCGAGTCTAGACTGGAGCGTGAAGCTGTGGCGCATCCGTGCTCCAGCCTCGACCTCAACTTCAGGAACCGCGTCCACCGCGCAACTACAGACCGTCTCGCCCATCCTAGACATCACCCGCGAGGATGTAGTGTATGACGCTAAATGGTCCCCCCACCGACCCGGCATCTTCTCCCTCGTTGACGGCGCCGGCAGACTCGAGATATGGGACTTGCAGCAGGAGGTAGAGGTGCCCGTTGCCAGCGCCACGCCAACCGCTGGCCGCGGCGGTGTCCTGACCAAGGGGCTGAACAAGGTCGCCTGGGAGGAACGAGAGGGCCGAAGACTTGCTACCGGTGGCCTAGATGGAGTGGTGACTGTCTTTGATGTTGGGAAGGGATTGAGTGGCAGCGCCGAAGACGTCTCTGCCGACGAGTGGGCAGGCATGAAGCGCCTTACGAGCAAGCTCGAGCAGGCCAGCCGTGAGCGGAACCTGTAGCCATCTCTCTCCATCTCTCTTACTGCGCTTCTTTTCCATCTCTTCAAGCCTGCTTGCTCCTTGTACCATATACCGTATTTAGTATACCCCTTGTTCTTCACCTGCGATAAACGGATTGAGCGTAGCACTTATCTCTTTCTATCAATATATACTTCCACGTCATTATCAACACTATCTACATCGTCTACATCATCTACATCGTCTACATCGTCTACATCATCCACGCCATCTACGCTACCTATTCTCTCTATTATCTACATCATCTGCATCATCTACATCTTGTGTCTTCTATCTTCGGTCTTCTGTAGGCGGTTATTATATAATCCATGACTAAGCCTATGACGTTCATCATTTCTTGCACCAAAAGAAGAACAAGAAAACAACAAGAATCAAAGCAAGAGACGAAAGAGACAAAAGTGAAGACGAAGAGAGCGAGAAAGATGGAGGAGAACGACGTGGATCAAGCTGTCTAGTACAGTGAAATCCTCAGCTCGACTCTCATCGCCGTCCTCGCTTCACCGAGTCTCGCACTGCCCTGTCCTGGGGCTCTGAGAAACTAGCCGTGGAGTCAAAAGGAAAAATGCACCCTTGGGCAGACGGAACCATTTCCACCATCCGCCGTGTATACTTACAAAGACCTATATATACCTATTAACTAGGCTAACCAACCCCCCCCCTAGCTGCAGCTTTCGTGCTTCTCTGTCACCTTCGCTCTGCCAGAAGAGTCATAATTGACACCTAAGACACCTCTGAGCCTGCAAAGAAGCAAGCATAGGCGCTGTCACTTCTGGCCCCCGTTGAACTACCCGTACGCGTGACTTTGAACCCCCCTCCGAGTATAAAGCCGCCGAGCAGCGCAGCCTGGGAAGAAGACACAAACAAACACCTCGACACTTGCCGTCGACGCTGACACTGACATTGACGTGATTCTTTTTACCTGACTATGGTCGAGTACATTCCTCCTCCTGAGCCGAGACAGCTTCTGGCGCCGCTGCTTGCTTGTCTTCCCCTCGGCTTTGCGGCTTCGCGGCCGCCACCAGTGCTGCTGCCGCTGCTCTCTCCGGTCCTTCGACAGCGAGTACAGCTGCTGGGTGGTGCAGGTGCAGGTTCGGGGTCTGCTTCGTCGGCGGACTCGTGGCTTCGTCTGCTGTGCTGGGGCCCGGCCAATGCTGCCGAAGTGGAGAGGATTGTGGGCGAGGCAGAGAGCTCGTTTGAACCACACCCTGTGTCCGGAGAGATAGAGATCCCTGACGATATCACAATAGCGTATAGATGGTTTGATGCCGAGACGCTGCGGTGTCAGCTCCCGCTGGACGAGTTTGGGCTGACGGTGGTGTACGTGTGGTGTCCCACGGACCAAGAAGGTGGTGGTGCCGGATGGAGAGTCGCTGAAGTTCTCCCCCTGGATGCTCTGAGAGACGACGAGGGTGCCTGGTTTGGCTCTGTCGAGCAGGCCAACGAGGCCCTACGAGAGTTGGCGGCCAAGGAAGGGTCGAAAGAGACGGCTCAGAGCTCAAAGGCCAGCATTCCTTTCATTGTCCACGAGGAGGATAATGGAGACGAGGACGACTACTGGGCCCAGTACGACACTGTGCAGTCGCGAACGCCGGCGAACGGTGCAGTCAGCATAGGCCAAGATCAGCACGACAGCAGCCACAGAGGGGAGCAGATGTCTGATACTGCGTACTACAACCAGTACTCCAATGTCCAGCCTGCCCTGGACAGCGATGACCCTACCGTCGACAAGGCTGACGTCGGAGACTCTTCTCTCAACGGCAATACCCTGGAGGAAATCTTCAAGCGGCAGATGGGCAGCATACTTCAGCAGCAACAGCTTCAGTCCCAGTCCCAGTCCGCCGCACCTGAGCGAGGAAGACAGCCGGCCGAAGAGCCAGATCTACCACTCAGCCACCCACGTCCCGCATCTGCCTCGTCCTCGAACAGATCCGACGCTATTTCCAAACTCGAGTACTCGGCAGAGTGCCAGTCGGCCTCTGAGATGGCCATCCGCCAGCACATCTCGACCAACGTCAAGAGCATGTTCCGCCTTGCCCGGGCAGCCGGTATATCGAGAGCAGAGTACCAGGCCATGATAACGAGAGAACTCGACCTGCTTGAAATGATGGAAAATGACGATTAAGCCCTTGCATGGACGGCGTTTCTGGTGTACACACAGCCTTGCTTGTTATTGTTATTGTTCTTGTTTTCTTCTCGCTTTGGATCTTCATCGATGCATATTTGAAGCATTTACCACTGTATTAGAAGCCCTCTGTATAGCTATCATTACCCAATTGTATACTCCGTACGCATATCTCACGCTTCTGCTCGTCTCGTCCTGTCGGAGAATTAATAAACAGCCTGCCCTGGCGAGTTTCAGGCGAAAGCTGGCCAAGCGCTGCAAGGAAGCGAGGAAATAAAAAAAAAGCTGCAGCTTCGATGCTTCAACGCCAGCAGCAGCAACTCCCGCCCCCTTTCTTCCTCCTAACTACTTCTACTTCTACTTCTACTTCATCTCTTTTAATCCATCTTCTTCACTGCCTTTCCTTAACGCTCTTTAATAATGGCCTTCTAAGGCCTTTTTCTTCTTTTCTTTTCTCACGTGCATGAGGTACGCAAGCAGTCGCGATAACTAACCTCCTGTAACAGAACAGGTACTTCTTCGTTTACTCTGGCCAGCGTTGATGCTAACGTGTTCAGTTGTGACAGTTGGTAAAATAACTACACAATCCCACTTTTTTTCAAAGCAGATTCTCGTTTGATTAGAGGATATTATTGAGACTGCTCGCTACCGTTCGCTGCCTGCCAGACGATGGCTTCCCCGTCCTCCAGCGTTCGACACCGGGGCGGCAAGAAGGATGTCGACAGCTCTACTCCCCCTCCTCCACCAGCCGCGCCGGCCTCGAAAGGCGCTGGGAGTCAGTCGGCCATAAAGAAGGGAGAGGGACAGGCTGAGTCCTCGTCGGAATGGGACTATAGACTTGCCCTGGCGATTGTTACCATTGGCGCGTTTGCTACGAGATTTTGGAAGATCAGCTACCCTGACCAGGTAGTGTTCGATGAAGTGCACTTCGGAAAGGTCAGTAGAGGGCATTCATTGCTTTATTATTCTACAGGATAGAGATGAGATCATAGGGGCTAACGGTGTGCAGTTTGCTTCGCTTTATATCCAAGGCACATACTTCTTCGACGTTCACCCGCCGTTCGCCAAACTCCTCTTTGCGCTGGTCGGCTGGCTCGTTGGATTCGATGGAAAGTTCCTCTTTGAAAACATTGGAGACTCGTACATAGACAACAAGGTGCCTTATGTCGCTCTCCGCGCTCTGCCGGCCATGCTTGGCTCCCTGACCGTGCCCGTGGTGTTTCTCATTATGTGGGAATCTGGCTACTCGCTTCCTGCATGTGTCCTCTCCGCGGGCCTGCTTCTGTTCGACAATGCCCATATCGGCGAAGATCGGCTGATCCTTCTCGATGCTACGCTTGTCATATCAATGGCATTGAGCGTGCTGTGCTATATCAAGTTCCACAAGAACAGACATCAGCCGTTTAGCCGAAAGTGGTGGAAGTGGTTGCTTATGACTGGCATTGCCCTTAGCTGTGTCATCTCGACCAAGTACGTTGGTGTCTTCACTTTCGTGACCATTGGATCCGCCGTCTTGATCGATCTATGGGGCTTGCTTGATGTGAACCGCCGCCAGGGCAAGCTTACTCTGTTCGAATTTGGCACCCATTTCGCTGCCCGAGCAGTCGGCTTGATCATCGTTCCCTTCTTCATCTACCTCTTCTGGTTCCAGGTCCATTTTGCTATCCTCACCAAGTCTGGTCCCGGAGATGATTTCATGAGCCCAGAGTTCCAGGCCACGCTCAGTGACAACCCCATGTTTGCTCAGTCCAAGGGCATCGAGTACTATGATGTACTCACCTTCCGACACAAGGATACCAAAGTCTACCTACACAGTCACCCTGACCGCTACCCGCTTCGATATGACGACGGCCGTGTCTCGAGTCAGGGCCAGCAGGTCACCGGCTACCCTCACAACGATACCAACAACCACTGGGAAATCCTGCCCCAGACGCCGTTTGCCGCTGAAAACCGTACTGGCCACAAAGTTCGTAATGGACATGTCGTGCAGCTCCGCCATGTTGCTACCAACACCTTCCTGCTCTCACACGACGTTGCATCTCCCAGCTACCCGACCAACCAGGAGTTTACCACCATTTCCCCTGAAGAAGCAGCCAGCACCCGACACAACGACACCCTGTTTGAGATCCAGGTCCCCAAGGGCAAAGCCGATGAGGAATTCCGAACCCGATCCAGCCTGTTCAACCTGATCCATTTCCCTTCAAAGGTCGCCATGTGGACTCACACCAAGCCTCTGCCGGACTGGGGATACAAGCAAGCCGAAATCAACGGAAACAAGAACTCCAAGGAACCAAGCAACCTCTGGTACGCGGAGGATATCCCGTCCTTAGCTCCAGACAGCCCTCGCAGCAACCAGGAACCACGCAAGGTGCAACCGATGCGTTTCCTCAAGAAGTACCTTGAACTCCAAATTGCCATGTTCCACCATAACAATGCCCTGACAAGCAGCCACCCGTATGCAAGTGAGCCGTTCCAGTGGCCCTTCTTGCTCCGCGGTGTCAGCTTCTGGACAAAGAACGACACCCGAGAGCAAATTTACTTCCTCGGAAACCCTATCGGATGGTGGCTTTCGAGCAGTCTTCTCGCAGTGTTTGTCGGTATTATCGGAGCCGATCAGCTATCTCTCCGTCGTGGAATCGACGCTCTAGAAGAAAGTAAGTAGTACTCTTTTCTTTGCCCCATAACGTTGCTTGACGCATCTACTAAACAGCATATCTTTCTACCAGTCTGGGGCCCCGGAACTCGCCACCGCGTCTACAACAGCACCGGCTTCTTCTTCCTCTGCTGGGCAGCTCACTACTTCCCATTCTACCTTATGGGCAGACAGCGCTTCCTGCACCACTACCTCCCTTCCCACGTAGCATCTGTCCTGGTAACTGGCGCCCTGGTCGAATTCATCTTCAACATCGACCCGGCTGGCCTGAGCGAGGGCGCCGCAGTTAGGAAGCCTGGCCGTGGTCCTCTGAAGGTCAAGCACACCCGCCAGAGCCTCATGGCCATCTGGGCTGCGACTATCGCCATCTTGGGCGCCACGATCTGGGGCTTCAGCTTCTTTGCTCCCCTCACCTACGGAACCCCAGGCTTGGACGTTGCTGGAATCAACGCCAGAAAGTGGCTTTCGTACGACTTGCACTTTGCAAAGTAGTTTACTCTCATGAGACAGACAGACGCCTCGAGTTTCTGTACAACTTTATGGGGATGTGCATGTTCTCTATCTACAGAAACCTCCCCTTACCCCCTTACACCCCTGACCTCTCTCAACCGTACCATCCCCCCTTGCAAGACCTTCTATTTCCTTTCCTATCCTCCATGCTCAGCTAGGTTTATTTTAATAAGAGCACTTTTTATTGCATATCTCTCGCATGTATCTTGTCTCGGCTGGCCGTACCCGTACCTGCTGCTGCACATCTTATGCACCAGCCAGCGATCCATGATGGCCAAGTATCTGACTGTTCATCGAGTAAGCAGGGCCCAGACAGCCACAACCATGCACAAAACGGGGCCCATCAGCATCCACAGTCTTCTTTGTCGGCTACAATTCCTCCCACATTCTCATCCCTTTTGCCCTTTTGCCCTTTTTACTTGCTTACAGCCTCCTTTGTCATGCTGCGCTAAGCCCGCTAAGCCCAACCCAACAGAGCCGAGGCCTGCGTTTGTCAGTGATGACAAAAGCTTTTTTTGGTTTCTTTTTCTTTCTTTTTTTTTTCGCCTTCGCCAACCAAACAGCGAAGCCAGCGTGAAACCGCAGACCAAGCATCAAGACAAGAGGAACCGACATGATGGTTCGGCAATGTGTTATGGAGAATTAGAGATCCTTCGGCTAATTGAGTTGATGCGCGGTGGATCGTCCAGAGGCTTACTCAGGCTCTCATAATGCGTTACTCGATACTTATAAAGCCCATGGAAGAGCACGGCCAGCAAGTGTCTGCTCTACCATAGCAGCAGCAGGTCTTCTCATAGAAGATTCTCGTTCTTATACCCCGAATATAAATACCCTCTCGTTTCCCATGGGCTGGATATTTCCTTCTTTTTTCATCATTCTGATTTCCATCATTGTCTCGATATCTCAAGTCAAGACATTGAATCTCTTTAACACTTCGAACACTACGAACTTTCCTCTGAACAACAACACCAGAAACATTCACCCGCTACATACCAACATGGCTGCCCCACGAGCAATCAGACAGGCCTTCCTGGCCATAGAGAAGTCGGAGGGTGTCGGTGCCCGCGTACGACGATCCATCGGCACTCCCAAGCTACGCAACTTCAGCCCCTTCCTCATGCTGGACCATTTCACCGTCGGCAAAGACGCTGGATTCCCAGACCACCCGCACAGAGGACAAGAGACCATCACCTACCTCCTCTCTGGCGGTGTAGATCATGAGGACTTCACCGGACACAAAGGCACCATCGGACCAGGCGATCTGCAATTCATGACTGCCGGTCGAGGCATAATGCACGCCGAAATGCCTCACAACAACCCGGACGGCAGCCCTAACGTCGGCATACAGCTCTGGGTTGACTTGCCCAAGAAGCTGAAGATGTGTGAGCCCAGATACCGTGATCTTCGCGCCACGGAGATCCCCGTTGCTTCCGCAGATAACGGCCGAGCTACAATCAAGGTCATCTCGGGTAAATCTCATGGCATAGACTCGGTCAAGGACCTAGCCTACACGCCCGTCTGGATACTGGATATTACTCTCAAGCCAGGCGGAAGAATCACCCAGACCCTACCTATCGGATGGAACGCATTCGCCTATACCCTTGAAGGCACCACCACTTTCGGCAAGAAGAGCGTCCCTCAGTACCATAACGTCGTCTTCGTACAGGAGGGTGACTCTGTTCAGGCTTCGAACGAGTCTGGTGAAGAGACCCGTTTCTTGATCATTGCCGGCCAGCCTCTCGACCAGCAAGTCGTTCAGTACGGCCCCTTTGTCCTAAGCTCGACAGAGGATGTCTACCAGGCTATCAGTGACTTCCAATCAAGCTCTAACGGGTTTGAACGGGCCAGAGGGTGGCAGAGCGAGATTGGAAAGAGAATGCTATAGAGAAACTAAACACACTGCATTTCTTTTTTTTACTTTCGACGCGGATTAGCATTTTATGAATGACGCTGGATTTCCCGGAGCATTTTCTTACTGTTTTCGTTTTCCTATGATCCACCTGATGAGATATGACTTGTACCCCCAAACATTCCTTCGCATGTTTCATGATATATTTGTTCTTTGCTATGCATGTATTTTATTCATCAGCTGTTTGTTTAAATGGACTTCCTCGTCGCCACATTCCTGTTTACATCTTACGTCAATGTAGTATAGCATCCTGTAAACATGATGTCATAGCATCTTTCATGTATCTATATATTTACTGATATGTGCCTACTCTCTTGATCAAATTCACAATAACAATCACCTGCCAATATATTACTTGCTCTACAATCCCCTCAAAATGTCACAGGGAGCATATCAGGCGGAACGAGACCTCAATTTGTACCAGGCAAAGACCGGCCGAGGGAAGAATATCAGTGATACCAGGTCGTTTTCCCGCCTTTTTAGTAGCTGTTCTCGCCCTTTAACACTTTCCACTATACTAGCCCAAGAATCCGGCGTCGATGCAGATGTAGAGAATAGATTCCCGGGATCAGAGGTGAGGGTAGGACCCGGCTCGACCGCCAGTGGGAGTGATAACTGTGTGATTCCGCCTGAAGAGGGTGGTGAATTCGACGACCGGGGACAGTAAGGCGCTCTCGTCCATTATTATTGCGTCGTGTGTCCGGATGCTAACGTCGTCGTCTTTGAATGCAGCGTGAGCAAAGCAAGGGGCTTCCTTGAGCCGAACAAGGAAGATTGAAAGCCGACATGCTGAACGGCCCTTTGTCGCTGAAGGGTAGATGGATAGCTCAGCAAGGTAGCTAGATGGGTATATAAGTAGCCATTGAAGACGTATGATATGGACAGCTACTCGAACCAAACCACTCTTGAGACTCGAACATCTCGCACCTCTACAAATAGTTACCCCTTGAGACGCTCTACACACTCTCTCCTGCCGTCTAGGACATATTCACCATGAATAAGTTAGGTGACTACGTATACGAATACCCCCCTGTGCGCGGAGGAAAGATCCCCTCATGGCTGCCAGCGATTCTACGGCCCGACTATACATGGCCATCACCCAATGCAAAACAAATTGAAGTGACCAAGATAACGCCCCCGGTTCCCCGCATACCATGCCGGATGGAGAGAATCTTCTGGGGATTCATCCATAGAGGCCTAATTCGCTTCGGTCATTGGTATGTAAAATGGTCCGGTGCCCCGTACGGTAACCCTTTTGGCTTCGACACCATGCATCTGCCTTTCGGCCTGGAATTAAAATAGTCAGAAAGTACAAGCCTAGAGGAAGCCCTAATGATGCAGATGGCAGACGCTGGCGGTATCCCAACCTCCAAGGTTCTTTGCTGTGGCGAACATCCAGCTCATTACTTCGAACGGACTTCTTTCTCTATCCTGATGACGAGGCTTCCCGGAACACCTCCCATTGACAAAGGTGATGATACATTCGACCCCACAACAGAAGACCCCTGGCTCGGGCAATTAGGGGTATGTCTGGCTTGCATGCGTCAATGGTGTGCTCCTGAAGGGCTGGTCGCCGGCTCCGTGATTGGGACTGCTTTGCGCAGTCGAACGGTTCCATGGGGTATGATGGGGCCCTTAAAAACCGAGAAAGGGCTATACGGCCACCTATTTTAACCGCCTCAGCACACCGAACTCGCTCGGAGAAAGAGTTCCACAACCTGATGGTGAAAGCGAAGAAGCTATACAAACGCCCGCATTGGCAAGTCCCGCATCGGGCGACGTTCACTCATGGCGACCTTAGGTCTTTTAAAGTCCTAGTTAAGGACGGACGTCTGACAGGCATCGTGAACTGGCAATCTGGTGGTTGGTATCCCGAGTACTGGGAGTATGTAACCATTTTGCGGTCCTGGACCAATATTGGGGGCTGGTGGCGTGAGATTTTTCGCTGGATGGGAGGCGACTACTACGCGCGTGAGCTGGATGCATACAATGCATTAGTTATATTAGACTAACCCGCGGCTCATACTGGCTTAGACAGCTGGCCTGTTTTTTACCCTCTAGCCTTGAATCTTGAACGGTGATACTACGATTCGCATATCCTATTAATGGCTTCCCAAGTAGGACATCTGCTAGGAGGATTACTCGTGTGCGGTGTAATGGTATCAACGCAAGTATAGCGCTATTGCGAAACAAAAGGGAAGAAACATCCCTCCAACGCCTTATTTTCTGATTAGAGCACTGCTATGACTATAAGGTCTACTGGTGTAGAAACCTGGGTTTTAGTCGTAATTAGGACAGTGTCTACCTTTATTATCCTTGCGTCCAAGAACTCTGGAGCAAGAACGGGGTGGCCGATGTCGTAGGCCCTGGGCAGAAGAGAAGAGAGATGGAAAGCATCACAATTCCTTGGGAAGATCACAGCAGAAGTCTCGGAGGGTGAGTTGAACAAGCGAGAATTTTGTATTGATTGATAAAGAAGAGATCAAAGCATCGAAAGTTGAAAGTTGTAGATGTGCTGACTAAGCTCAAAGCCAGCGTGTTGCGTTCGCATAGTTACCTAAGTTAAACCAAGTAGAAGGGCAAGACGAAGCTCCAGCAAGACAATATTGAAGCTGATCGATGAGCGCAACAGTCAAGTCTGCCTCGTTTCTCTTCTGTTCAGCTCGTCTTCTTTTGTTGGGCCACCATGGCCAGCGGTGCAATTGAGCCGTTTCTGAAGGGCAGCACCTCTGAAAACACCCGTGGCCTGCTGCGTGTCGTTATCTTGCTGCTCATCGCCGCAACTGCAGTCGCTAGCAGATTGTTCAGTGTGATAAGTATGGATAGACATCGCCATAATTCTCCCGGTTTAACCTTGTAACACGATATAGAACAGAGTAGCTAACTGTTTTGTCGCTTTTAATAGGATTCGAAAGTATCATCCATGAATGTACGGCTACACTTATCCACCACCTGGCTATCAGTCCGACGATATATCCCATTATTCTACGAAACAGCCTGTAACTGACCATGATGCGCTGATATAGTCGATCCGTGGTTTAATTTCAGAGCTACAAAATACCTCGTTGAGAATGGCTTCTACAAGTTCTGGGACTGGTTTGATGACCGTAAGAAGCACCGCATCCTCATACAATTCCTCTTGCTCTAGGACAGTGGCATTGATACTGACGGAGGGCCGTCTAGGAACATGGCATCCCCTTGGACGTGTCACTGGTGGCACTCTTTACCCTGGCTTAATGGTCACCAGTGGTGTCATCTATAAACTCCTCCGACTCATTTCGCTCCCCGTCGACATTCGCAACGTATGCGTTTTACTTGCTCCCGCCTTCTCTGGCCTGACGGCTCTGGCCATGTACCTCCTCACCACTGAGATGGCTCCCTCGCCATCAGCCGGCCTTCTCGCTGCTGCTTTTGTCGGAATTGCACCAGGCTATATCTCCCGCTCCGTGGCTGGAAGTTACGATAACGAAGCAATTGCCATCTTCCTTCTGGTCTTCACATTCTTCCTCTGGATCAAGGCTGTGAAGAATGGGTCGATCATGTGGGGTGCTTTGACAGCTTTGTTCTATGGATACATGGTGTCCGCCTGGGGTGGATATGTGTTCATTACCAATTTGATCCCTCTCCATGTGTTTGTTCTCATTTGCATGGGGAGGTACACCTCCCGTCTGTATATCAGTTATACCACATGGTATGCTCTGGGGACCCTCGCCAGCATGCAAGTTCCATTTGTTGGTTTCCTACCAATTCGAAACAGTGATCATATGGCAGCCCTTGGTAAGCAACATTGGTACAGTCCAAAATTGGATCCTGCTAACCATTGAATTAGGTATCTTCGGCCTGCTTCAGATTGTTGCCTTTGTAGAGTTCCTACGTGCCCAAGTCCCCAGCAAACAGTTCCAGACGGTCCTTACTAGCCTTGTCCTCTTGATTTTCGTCGTGTCATTTGCTGGACTGGTACTTCTAACCGTCTCAGGAGTTATTGCACCATGGAGTGGTCGATTCTATTCATTGTGGGACACTGGTTATGCAAAGATTCACATCCCCATCATTGCATCCGTCTCAGAACATCAGCCCACCGCCTGGCCGGCTTTCTATTTTGACCTGAACATGATGATCTGGCTGTTCCCACCGGGCGTATATATGTGCTTCTATAGACTCAAGGATGAGCATGTCTTTGTTATCATCTATGCTGTTCTGGCGAGTTACTTTGCTGGAGTCATGGTCCGATTGATGTTAACACTTACCCCTGTTGTCTGTGTTGCCGCTGGACTGGCCCTGTCCCAGATACTGGATGTCTATCTGCGTATTGACTCCCCCAACCCGGATACCCAAAAACAAGGATCTGGTGACAAGTCAGCTCAGGGAGGTCTACGCATTGCCCGCAATAAGGTTGTGGGTATTTACTCCAACTTCTCAAAGCTAGTGGTGTCTGGAACTGTTCTGGTTTATCTTCTCTTCTTCGTTGCTCACTGTACATGGGTCACTTCCAACGCTTATTCATCTCCCTCTGTTGTGTTAGCCAGCAAATTACCCGACGGCAGCCAATTTATTATTGACGACTACCGCGAGGCATACTACTGGCTTCGACAAAACACCCCCAAGAACTCGAAAATTATGGCCTGGTGGGATTACGGCTATCAAATTGGAGGTATGGCCGATCGACCAACTTTAGTCGATAACAATACCTGGAACAACACCCATATTGCCACAGTTGGTAAAGCAATGAGTTCCAGTGAGGAAGTCAGTTATCCCATCTTGAGACAACATGACGTGGATTACGTGCTCGTCGTGTTCGGAGGTCTGTTAGGATACTCTGGAGACGACATCAACAAATTCTTGTGGATGATCCGTATTGCGGAGGGCATCTGGCCTGAAGAGGTCAAGGAACGAAACTTTTTCACGGATCGCGGAGAATATCGCGTTGACGAGCATGCCACGCCGGCTATGCGCAACAGTTTAATGTGAGTTTTTCCTGGCTTAGCTCGGTTCACGGCGTACCCCATTTACTAACAGCTGTTACCAGGTACAAAATGTCCTACTATAACTTTAACAGCCTTTTTCCTCCAGGCCAAGCCCAGGACCGTGTCCGTGGTGTCCGAGTTCCATCTCAAGGGCCTCAACTCACCACGATTGAGGAGGCATTCACTAGTGAGAACTGGATCATTCGAATCTACAAGGTGAAGGACCTCGATAATCTAGGTCGAGACCATGGAAGTGCGACTGCATTTGAGAAAGGGCACAAGAAGAAGACTACTGCTAGCAAAAAGCGAGGGAGACCAGTGTTGCGAACTGAATAAAAAACTTGACCTGCTTTTTATGAAAACAAATGCGCATCTAGGTTTATCGGAGATTCCTGTCTTTCTAACGGATTGTTTTATATAGAAATTTTTTATCCTAGGTATCTACTAGAGCCTAATACCCTTGGAACATACATTTCACACCGTTTCTCCCATAGTTCCAAGGGTTGTATTTTGACCTCCCTCTTTTCTTTTATCTTATCAAAGATGACGTCGTAGGCTTTGCTAGGTAGTTCTTACGTAATCATGAACGAGCCACCTTTCAGTCAATTGAGAAAGCCGCAAAACATCCAGTTCATCCTTTGATATACAGTTTGATAACTAGGTAAGTTGACACAGCTCATGGAACGTTTTTTGGTGTGTGACTACGTAGTACTGACTTCAGCATTGGTTGCCCATATAGAACTTATGCGCATCCGCCCAGTCGCTCCCTCTCCAAGCAAGCATGGCTTCATATCAATAAATTGACCAAACGACCTGGACGAACAGCAAAGCCAATTCATTCTTTTCTCTATACACGGGTCATGCTACGGGGTATTAAGATATATTTTGACTCGAATCACCGATAGTAATTGAACGAACGAGAAGCTGCCCGCCCGGGCTTCACTAAATACCTTATCAAACATGCGACACCACACGCTTGCAGCTCTACTAGCTGGCGCAAGCGTTGCGTTTGCAGCTCACAAGCCATTTAGCCTACAGGATGATGTGTTAGCTAACCCTCAGGTATGTATGAATGCTATTTACCGGAAGATATGCAATCGGAGAAGGCCAGACTTCTAACAATGCTGTTCGTTATAGTTTGAAGTTATCTTTCCTGACGAATATATACTAGAGTCGGACGCACGACTACGGCTTGCAAAGGCTCAGTCAAAACATAGTGATGCTACAAAGACGCCTTCTCAGCCATCAGATGCACCAAGCATCGTTTCCCAGGACGACAGGTCTGATCTATCGGAACAAGCACCGCTTCACGGCAGGTCAGAAGCCGAGGATGAGGAATTGAAGCAAGGCGGGGATGATATAACAATTGATTCCTATCATGAGATGGTTCTGGACGGCCAACGATTTCTTTGCGGAATTCCGAATGTATCACCTATCGGAAAGGAGAATACGTCTACTTCTACACCTAACCCGGAAGACGAGGCAGTTGAACTGGCAAGGGCAACCAACCGGGGTCTCGAGCTGCTTAGTGACCTGGAAGGCAAATGCCTGTACTATGCTGCTGGTTGGTGGTCATATTCTTTTTGTTACATGAAGGAGGTACGGCAGTTTCATGCACGTCTTCCCGGGCAAGGGGTGCCTGTCTATCCGCCGGCCGAAGATCCGGACTCTAAAACTTACGTCCTTGGAAGATTCCAAAAGAACTCAGAACTTGGGCAGCCTACCGCGGCATCTACTGAGGTGGCTGCTTTGCAAACTAAGGGGGAGTCGTGGTACTTGGTTCAATATCTTGAACGAGGCACTATTTGTGATTTGACAAGGAGGCCCCGCAAGATTGAAGTGCAGTTTCACTGCCATCCACAGTCTCCCGAGCATATTGCATGGATTAAGGAGGTTACAACGTGTTCTTATGTCATGATGGTCTACACTCCACGACTATGCAACGATGTGGCCTTCCAGCCGCCGCGAGTGGAGAAGCCGAACAGTATAAAGTGCCGGGAGATAATATTGCCAGAGCACGTCTCCATCTGGGAAGCGGCCTTGGCCTCCAAGCGTGCACAGGCTAAGAGAGAGCTGGTTGAAGGTACCGATGAGCCCTTTGTCACGGTTGGAGACATCCAAGTTGGTGCTATGAAACTAGTTGGTAAGGACGGAAAACGAATTGAAAAAGACCAGTTCGGAGTCGGTGGGGAGCCGAAGGTTAAGGTCGTGGCAAGGAGCGAAGGAGGAAAGGTGAAAATTATATCAAAGGAAACACTGAAGAAGCACAAGGTGACAAATGAGAAGTTCGAGAGACTGAAAGAGGAATTGGACGAAGCTGCGGACGGTGAAGATTGGCGATTGGAAGAGATCTCGACAAGCAGGGGAGAGGGACTACGGGCGATTATTGACGATCCTTTTGATGATGTGGGGAGAGAGGAGGGAGAAGGAGAAGAAGGAGACGCAGAGCCCGAGACAGAGAACGAGGGCAAAGCGAACAAGGACAGCCCGAAGAAAGAGACTAAGCTCAAGGATCGGCAGCAGCAGCAGCTGAAGGAGAAGAAGAGCACGAAGAAGCAACAGCCAAAGCCGAACAAAGTGCGGATGCTGCGCAAACTCCAGGGGCGGGAAGCATCAGATGAAACTGCACCTGAAGCTGGCAGTGATGAAACATACAAAACCGATAGCAAGGTGGCAAAGGAGAAGAGCGAGAAACCCCACAAGGCCGACAAGTCTGACAAGTCTGATAAGGCGGATAAGAAGGAGAAGGACGAGAAGGACGAGCTGTAGAATTGATATCTTGGATCTGCTCTTCCTCGTCGTCTCCCTTTTTCTAGATATCGAGCCATGTTTAGGTAATCTTTCGTATTAGCGCTGTAAAATACCACAATACCATATGTTTAGCCCGTGTATTGGCGTCACGTAAAATACATCCAACAGTTCGCCCAGCCTGCGAAGTTCGAACATCGAGAAACATCGGCGACCTCGAGACAGCGTCTTCTCTCCAACTAACTATACGAAGCGACCAGCCAGCGAACGCTGCACCAGCATCAATCAACTGGACAGACTCGCTGTAGCAGTGCTGTGTCTTCCGTCAAGCCTGCCCGATCCCTACGTCTGCGCGTGTTGGCATTGCTCGAGGACACCTAACTACCGAGTCTCCCGCACCCCCCTCACCACCGGTAGCTGTCTGGAGCATGCAGTGGCAGCCTCATTTATAGGACTCCGGCCGCCTATATTTCCGCCGTCGCCCACTTCTCGTCTCTAGGGGCTGCTCTAGAAAGCTGTTGTCTGTCTTACCCGGCCTGCCCTGGCTAATCTATCTACCGAGAGACACCGCCGTTAACGTGCATTACGTACTGCCCAGACCAGATTCCAAAGGGCCGCATATACCTGTTTATTCCCACCAGGGAAGATATTAAACGCGCTGCTGGAGAGGAGGATACCGAAACCGTTGGTTATCGCTGTGGGAGGTGGTCAAGATGGGCTTTGAAGGTGTCTGCACTGCTGTGTACGACTACACACCACAAGGAGAGAATGAGCTAGCCTTTGCAGAAGGTGACTTATTGTACATACTGGATAAGTCGTCAGACGACGGCTGGTGGAAAGCAAAGAAAAAAACCACTGAGTTTGAATCCGAGGAGCCTGTCGGATTGATCCCTCATAACTACGTGGAAGAGGTGCGTCCCCCCCTACCCCTATTGCGCTTTCTTCTTACCTGAGGCCATCCTCAGTATGGTTGCCCATTGGAAGGTGTCCTGATTTTAACTAACTGTGCTACTCATCTTATGGCTACAGGCACAACCAATTCAGCAAGCCAAATCCATCTACGATTATACGCGACAAACGGACGAAGAGGTGTCGTTTGCAGACGATGTTGATATTTTAATTTTTGACACCTCTGACCCTGACTGGACACTGGTCCAGGTAAACTCCGAGTATGGGTTTGCTCCGTCGAATTATATTCAAGTGATAGGTGATATCGAAGCGCCTGGAGCTGAAGCTGCAGCACCTCCTGCAATCGAAACCCATAAAGCGGTCAAGTTCGCAGAGCCTGAACCGGAGGCTCAACTTGAACCTGAACCAGAACCGGAACAGGAACAGGAAACCCCCCCTGCTCCTCAAATAGCTCCAAAAGCACCTGCTGGACCAGCCGCCGCCCTCGCTGGAATACTACACACCCAACAACCAAGCGAATCTAGAGCTGTCCCTCCTCTTCCGTCTCGTGAATCCCCAGCAGCAGCACAAACAGTAGAGCCCGCGCATGAGGACGACGAGGTAGAAGCCCCAGCTCCTGCCCTTCCACGCCGACCGCCATCCCAACAGGAATCTCCGAGGGAACATTTGCCCTCCCCCAGGGAATATCGACCTCCTCCATCCCCTAGAGACCATTTGCATTCGCCAACGGGCTTTTCCCGTGAGGGATCTCGTGCACTGTCTCCACATGATTCCCTCAAGCGAGAATCGACAGGAGGTGTCCAGCCCTCTCCTCCATATAGTAGGCTTGCTCTTCGAGATGACATTTATCCCCGCCATACATCAACATCGCCCTCAGGATACCACATATATAACATCAGTGAAATGATATCAATCATGGGGAAGAGGAAGAAGATGCCAACAACCCTTGGAATTAATGTTGCGGCTGGAACCATTTTCATATCGCCAGAAAAGTCAGAGGATGGCCCTCTCCAGGAATGGACTGCCGAAAAACTAAAGCATTATTCTATTGAGGGTAAACATGTGTTTGTCGACCTTGTTCGACCCAGTAAAAACGTCGATTTCCATGCTGGAGCCAAAGATACTGCCCAGGAGATAGTGGCTGCTCTCGGTGAGATCTCTGGCGGATTCAGGGCCGAAGGATTGAGAGAGGTTATAGCAGCTGGCACCAGCGGAGCCAAGAAGAAGGGAATTATTCTTTATGATTTTGTTGCCCAAGGTGAAGACGAAGTTTCTGTGGGTGTTGATGATCAAGTTATCATCTTGGATGACTCCAGGTCCGAAGAATGGTGGATGATCCGACGGGTAAAGAACGGAAGAGAAGGTGTCGTTCCCAGCAGCTACATCGAAATAACGGGAGTTGCGGACTCAGGATTATCCGGCGTAAATGCTGGGTTATCATCCGTTGAACAAAACAGGCTAGAAGAAGCACGTCTAGCTAAACAGTCAACCCGGTCCTCAAAGAGACAAGACTCGGATGGGACAGGGTCCATAGAGGTAGGCCCAGGTGTGAAATTGCCGCGCAGACGGAGCAGTCTTGGAAGAATTGATGGTAACCAACAGTCACAGCGCTCGAGACGAGAGAGCAAATCATCAAAGTCAAGTATGCTCAGCAATCCCACTTGGTTTCATGCATAGTTCACTAACATCACATAGAGCCGAATCCCGCAAAAACGAGAAAATGGACCGACAGGTCCGGCACCTTCACCGTCGTTGCCGAATTCATTGGTCTGGCAGACGGCAAAATGCACCTTCACAAGCAGAATGGCGTAAAAATTGCTGTCCCAGTCTCCAAGATGTCTATTGAAGACTTGGAATATGTTGAAAAGGTTACTGGTGAGTCTCTTGATGAAGATAAACCTCTATCTGATATCCGCCGCCGTAGCCAAATGGGAAGCGAGCGCAAAGTTGTAGGCGCTTCTATCAAGAAGGAGCCGGAATACGACTGGTTCGACTTCTTCTTGAGAGCTGGAGTTGGACCCCATCAGTGCGAACGGTACGCAAGCAACTTTACCAAGGATTCAATGGACGAATCAGTCATCCCAGATATCACTTCGGATGTTCTTCGCACCTTGGGATTGAAGGAAGGAGATATAATAAGAGTGATGAAGTATGTTGAAGAGAAATACAAGCGGAAGGCTAAGGGAGGTCGGAATGTCACATTTGCGGATGGCGATGAAGAGCCTGCTGCCGGGGGTCTGTTTTCCGGTCCTGGTGGTGCCTTACGGAATAACACTCGCAAGGGACGTCCTACACCAGCATCTCAAGCCAGCGACGTGGTTGATCCAAAAGCCTTTACACCTAAAGATAAATCCGAGCCCGCTGAAGGGAAAGGCGCATCAACAGACAAGGAGAAAGACGGCCCTACAGGATTCGAGGATGATGCATGGGAGGTTAAGACCCCAACTAAACCTGCAGCTTCAACCGCACCATCCTCCGCTCCAACTGCTGCAGCAAGCCAGCCAGCATTGACTGGCGCTATGGCAGACCTGTCCCTGCTCCAGACCCCCTTAGAGCCCACGAAAACCGCTCCAGCCCCCGCTGCCAAACCAGCTGAGCCGGCTGTCACCCAACCTCCAGCTACTCAAGCACCACCAGCAGCTCAACCTCAGAATCCAGGCGCAAACCCTCAGTTTTTTGCACAACTTGGCCAGCCTCAGATGCAGGCTATTGCGCCGCAGATGACTGGATACGTCCAACCCCAACTCCAGCCCCAGCAAACTGCTATGCCACCTCGACAACGCCCTCAGCCCCCTACTACAGCAGCTAATCAAGGGTTCCTCACTCCTCCACCACCCCCTCGACCATTCTCTGCACCCAATAACCAACCAGCACCAAACGGCTTTGTAACACAGCCGCTACAACCCCAACTCACTGGCATCCCATCCACGGCTCCACACATAGCTCCACCCGGCCATAGCCTGGCAGAACTCAATCAACAGCGATTCCAACAGCAGCAGTTGGCACCTCAGCCAACAGGATTCCCTTCTCAGGTTCCAGGAATGACCGGCCAGTTTGGTTCTCAGGTACCTTTTATGAATTCTCCCCAGCAGTTCATGGGTGGCCAGCAACAGCCCTTCCAGACCAGCTCGCCTGCGCAGCAAGGGTTCCCGGCTTTGGCTCCTCAACCCACGGGTTATCCTCAATTTGGACAGCAACAGCAACCGCCCATGCCAACGGGATCTATCAACTCCGTTCTCCCCACTCCCCTACAGCCCCAGCGCACAGGTGCAAACGGTTTTGGAATCAATCCAAGCTTTACCCCATCACCACCTCCAATTCCACAGCAGCCTGCCGCTGCACCACTTCTTCCTCAAAAGACGGGCCCAGCTCCTCCCGTACGTTTTGGTGTCCACAAAGATGCTGCTGCAAAGAAAATCATGCCACAGCCAACTGGAAAGGCAAATCTCGCTCAAGCAAGTATGTTATATTATATTAACCTTTGGCCACGTATGATATTTACAATGATTTCTCTCGACTAACCTATTGCTTAGCCCCATCCAATCCATTTGGTTTTGCCTAGACCGATCCAATCCATCTGAACTTTTGATCTACTTACGAATGACTCCACAAAGAATAACGATATCATTGCTCATCCTTACCTTCCACCGCCTTCCATCTCCCTAATAAAGAACCTTTTCAACCCTGGTTTAGCAATAACCATTCTTACATTTTTACTTGCGAATAGTTATTCAATTGCTCATTGGATCCGCATCACTGTCTAACCTACTACTTTTCTTTTGTTCTCAAGCTTCCTTCCTTCCCCTTCCCTCCGACTCCCAGGAATCTCCATACCGTCTAACCTGACCTTGTGCCCATAGTTTGTTTCAACTTGATCTTTTCCTCTGTCTCTTAGGCCTTTGCATGATTCCGTGTAATCATGTCGACTAGGATAATCACTTATAGACAGCATTTTCTCCGTCACCACCTCTTTTCTTTGTTTATTCCTGAGAAATACTTGTTTACCGGGTCCATCTTTCGCTACCCCTAGCTCTTTCAATTCACCTTTATATATTTCTCGAATTTAGTCTTTGGCTGATTTATGACTATTCCTGCAAATTTTTTTATATTTATTAGCATACTTGTTGTCTTCCCCAGCAACCTACGGTTCCTATCAATCCAACACAGCTCTATACATGCATACACTTCCGAACCGAATATATTTGCCACGACCTTGTATTATTTTTAGCAATGCCGCATGAAGATCCACTTCACTCATATACTTCTAGTCTACGGAGTATATCGCACCTGGGGTGCGGTAAAATTGTTATACAGTAAGTGAAAGCGTATTCTCATTGATATCAGGGGCACATAGAGTCATTAAGCGTACATGTTTTCTGGCAAGGCCAACTCCTCAACATAAAACACATGGACAAGAAACACTCAAGAACAGGCTGGCAAAAGGGATATCTTGCAAACAAGAAGGAATCGAAGGCGTAAACAGAGCATGACAAGAGAAGGGAAAAGGTACCAAAAAACACGTCGAAAAGGTCCATTTACATCAACTGGAAGACAAGATTGGAGGCCAATTCTCCAGTCTTATTCAAGAGATCACGGAAAGTCAGCGGAGCGTCTCCAACTTCGGCATGATGCACATCAGGTCTATAGGTAGCTAGCTGCCTCACTTTGCACGCAACATAGTGAGTAGTGAGTTTGCGAAGTCGGTTCTCTCTCTCAGAAGGGATATCTGCACTAGCATCTAGAGACGGAAATCTCGGGTCGTATGGCTTAGTATTCTTGAATGTGTAGTGCAGTAACTCCAAAACATGGGGGATAGTGCCGTTGTCTCCATGCCCATTGCCAGATCCTCGCAGAGGAAACGAGACTAGTTCTCGATGAAGTTTCGTCAGGGCGAGCTGAGCAAGGGCGGGAACAAGGTAGCGGGAAGCGAAGACATAGATTTTCGCATGGTATAGGATGTAGGGGACTTCGCGGGAGTCGCTGTTGGCCTGTAAATGGCCTGGTAGATGGGTTCTGCGTTCGTACTGTGGATACTGAATAGCGGTGAATTCATCCCAGATAGACACTCCAGCAGGTCTGGAAGATGGAAGAGCGAAGAAAGGCTCTCCTCTTATGGAGCCTTCGGACTTTGATGTCCCGAGCAACGACTCTTCTTGAGTCGGTTGAAATTCAAACCAATCGCCAGAATCCGTGTTGTTCTCCTCGGGCTTTTCTTCAGGTTTCTCTTTCGGTTTCTCTTCTTTCTCCTCTTGCTGAAACGGAACCACTGCTGTCACTGGCTCATTCTTTTTCTCTTCAATCACGGCAACATCTTTGGGCTTTTCTTTGCTCTCAGTTGGTGGAGGGGTTTTAGGAGGAGTGAGAGTGTTCGCAGCAGGACGCTCTTCAACTGCCTTTTTCTTTCCCTTCTTCTCTTTCTTACCCTTCTTACCCTTCTTCCCAGCGTCAGCGGCGCCTTTTGCCTCATCTTCCTCCTCCTGAGGCTGTGGCGGAGGGTCCTCCTTCACAACGAGTGCCTGGGGCTGAATAAGGGCAGGCTCCTCCTTTGGGAGCTCATCCTCGTCGTCCCAGATGGCGCAAGAGTCCTCTGGCCGTGGCTCTTTTGGGGAGGAAGGGGGTGACGGCGCCGGTGGTGGTATATGATGGTGTGCAGCTGGAGAGGAAGGTTCTCCGTATTCTGAATTCTCTGGTTGATCAGATCTGGCCTCGCGAATTGGAACCGTGTAATCTCCAGTGTACGCAAATTCACAGAAGCCAGTGAACGTCTCGACATCTTCGTCCTCTAGGACCGCGATGCGGTGCCTGGATTCACGGGTATGACCGTTGTTCATCAACCCATCGAGCCGGGGAGAGACATGTTTGGCAAGGCCAGACTGGATGGTGACTTTTGAATGGCCGGGTCCGATCAGGAAGGTGAACTGAGGAGAGTTGATGATACTGTTTGTCCAGAAGAAGGCCACGGCTGGTCAGCGGATTATTCCATTTGGTATACGGAGGATATTTTCCCGTATAGAGGATGTATTTCTTCAATGACAGTAGGAAATACTGCCATAATGTAGATTCCCATAGCCGATCTAACCGCTGACGGCAATTAAAGCGTACCTTCTGTAATCTGGGCCTGGAACCGAAGCCATGTTGCGCGAGCGTCAATAGAGAGCGCAAACTCTCTCCTCTAGCAGTCAAAGGCGCGTAAAGCAGTTGTCGATATTTAAGTGAAATATCGCACAAACGCGACTGAAAAATTTTTTGAACAGGCTGTAGTCTCTGTGAGAGGAAAAGAAAGCATGCAGCGGCGGCTTTTTCCCTTCTTATAAAGCCTTCGGGTCATGGCCCCCCGGCCGGCGCAGTTTTGAATGCCTCTTAAACACCGCAAGGTAGGCGCATAAAGGGATGCTGACGCTACAGGATCTTTGCTCCTGCATAAATGGCCCTCTGCCGCCCGGCATACGTGTAGGTGAGCGACGCAGAAACCCGTCTCGAACCAGCCTCGAGGCTGCAGATGCGAGTCTCAGGTCGGCAGGGCCTTCTGTAAAATCCACAATAATGCGATCCTCTCCTCTATTCTTGCAGCGACGAGCTACTGTATGCAAGGCCGGAGACGAACAGACTTGCGGTGTCAATCCACTAACGGATGAATGCCCAATGGGCGCGCTATTACTGCAGCCATACCTTGCCGTATCTTGGCTGGCTCGAGGGTATGGCTTCTCGAAACGCAGGCAGGTAGCAGCTCGAGCTCTCAGCTTAAGAACGTACGTTAGCTCGAGGGACAAATCAAATCCGTCTTGACGGCGAAGCTGGATAATTGGGTATAGGTACTGATAGTTAAACGCCTGCGCAGAGGTGGAGAGCACCCTTCAGCGCGCTATATGCACTCCATAAACACTTCACCATGACGGACAGCCCAGGCCGGCCTGTTTCAGACTAACCTTACTGTCATTTTGTCCGGCATAAGGTAAGCCTCTCCTACCCGAGCTGCCGTGAAAGCTGTGAAAGTTGAGAAGAGTAGGCAGGATTTGAGGTTGCTGAGGTTGTGTTGTGTTTATATCAAGAATTGATGCGCGGTCAATTGGCACATTCCACCCACAGTACAGTTAAGTTGGTTAACGGAGTAAGCGTTGAATTACCAACTAAACACAGGAACTGCATGGTATCAATTCCGTAATGGGCTCTATTCTAGGCATATGTATACATTCTAGTTGAAAAGTACATTATTTACAAGACCGGCTGTACCCAATCTACCCCATAATCGTCAAGACAGCCTGCGGCATCTCAATGGACCAGCCTCACACTCTTGGAGCCTGGTTCCCATTCTCTCAGTCCATCTCGAATCGTGTACCAGAACTTAAGCTTCGAGCACAGCATCGTAGCACTGTCAATATCGCCCGACTCAAAGGCCTGGCCCATCTCGTTCACCGTCTGCAAAATCCGCTCCTCATTCTCCACCTTCAGGTCGGCGATTATGTTCTCGTCCTCGGCCTCCTCAACGGCTTCCTGCACCTCCATAACTTGCATCAAGGTTTCTGGACTCTGTGGGTGTTTGTTGGCGCCATCCTCAGCTGTCACGTCGATGTCATGCTGGGAAGCGAGAAGGTACTGCGCACGAGCTAATGGATCACCCAACGCACGGTAGGCTTCATTGATTCGAGACGAAAGGGCCTCCGCTTTTCGCTTTGCCGGCCCGTCGGGAAATTTGTCCGGATGTGCAAAGCCTTGGAGGGAAAGGAACTCGCGGCGGAGTTCTGGCAGAGAAATGTCAAATGAGCCATTCGGTGGAGGGCCATCAGGTAGAGTTTTGGGGAATATAGTGTAATGGGTCGTAATGTCAGGGATTTTTGCTGTTAAACCTGATGGCAGGTCTTCGGGAATTGGTTGTGAGGCAGGGTCTGCCTGTTGGGAAGCAGCCCTTGGAATAGGGCTCTTGAATGACAGAGAGCGTGATGTGTTGAATTGGCGGGACTGAGAGCTAGGGGGCCGTCTGTATAATCCGCTCTGACAGAGAAGACATTGTTCGTTGCTGCCTTGAGCAGTTCTCCGGACGGTTGGGTTTACTGGTCGCAGAGCAGGTGTCGGCCCGATAAGCCGGAAGACGGCGGAAGAAGGAATCTTCTTGTGCATATTAGACAAAAATAGCAGATCCTGAGTCAAGATGGTTCCTCCAATATCTATTCCTGTAGGTATTGTGCGAGATGATGAGTATATGCTGATGGCAATGCTGTTTGTTCACTTCAACTTGGGATGTTGAGGATGCAGCTTTTTTTTTAATCTGATCTGCATCCGGATCTGAATCTGATAAGATAAGATAACTTGATTTATAATCAGCGCAATCCATTACGTAATGGATATTACCAGAGTCTAGTGATATTTAATCCGCTCAGTTTTTATTTTTATTTTTTATTTTATTTACTTCCAATCCAACCTCAAGTGAACATCTACGAACCGATGTTGATAGTTAGTTTACAGAGACAGATACCCATGGGTGATTGACCCAGAATTTTTTGTGCCGTCTATAGACTGCTCATTCTTTTATCGTGCGTGTCAATCACCAGGAATCCGATAATACAACCATGATGCTAGGATTATGCATACACCGGAGCCTATTACTTTATAACCCTTCTTCAATACCCAGGCCATGCCCTCTGGAGGACACGAGATATTAGACTCATGTCTTTCATGGGTTCCGGTTTGGTCGTTGTAACTGGTGCTAACGGTCATGTCGCACGGCATGTTGTGTCGCAGCTGTTGTCTTCCCACATCCTAACCCGCGTACGTGGGACGGTGGCTCAAAAAGCTTCATACTGCCTCCAAACCCTTTGTTCCAAGTGGAAAGCTAGAAATTGCCATTGTACTAGACCAGACGATGGATGGCGCATTTGGCCATGCTATCCAAGGCACAATATATGTACCTTGGAGTCAATAATGAAAGAGGCAGGCATAAAAGCAGTCGTCCTTACTAGCCCTATCGTTGCCGCATTTGATGCACTTCATGGCTCCCGCCCGGGATACACCTACACCTTTACGGATTGGTGTCCGATTGGCGACAATGAAGCTGCGAACGTAAAGCATGACGTGAGCCAATACCCCGAAATGTGGTCGCCCTGGATAACCTACATGGCGTCGAGAAAATCTGCAAAGAAGGCCGCACGGCATTGCTACGGGAAACATCAACTTTCACGGACTCCCGGTACAGTACAGCCGAAATTTATTGGAGGTCGGTTCGCCATATCATTGGCAAAGGTGCTGATAACTTGACTTCTAGCTCGAGTTTGATTTGGGTACCTGCCTTAATCTACTACCAAAAGTATGCTAATACCTTCCCAAAGATGGCCACCGGATATATTGTTGAGAAATGGACAGAAAAAATGCAGGTGACCATTGTAGCAGAAATTCATTATAGTGGAAAATAACAAATTGATACAGGCGCAACACTATAACACTGACGCAGACTCATTTCTATCTATTCCGAGAATGGGCTCCTGGATACCCTTGAACAAATGATCGTTAATTTGATAAAGCAGCTTAACACGTCCATGTTCAACGATGCGTCATGGATTTGTTCTATGGTTACTGGACAGATACCTCAACCTCGAAATCTAACGCGCAAGACAATTGTCATTTGTACCTAAAGGCCTAGTCTAGGTCAAGTGACAGGGGAGCCTCCACCCTCTTAGAGGCCTTGGGTTTCTCGGCGGATTGACAATCACAACCACCACAGCCATGTCTCCCTAGGTGTGCCTCGCTAGCAGCATACAGCGGACCTTACTCGGGGTTTGGCAAGCCCTGTGTAGAAAATCTGCTCCGTGATGCATCAGCTGCAAAGATTCTGACCCTCCGCCACTGTATGTATCGAGTCGCTCTGTAAGCTCTACTCTGGTCCATTGGCAATAATCCGAACGAACAAGGCCGTGGTAAGTTTGAAACCTCGAGATCGCTTAACCAGCCAGTCGAAGCCACCCAAAAACATTGATGTGACACCCAGACTGACAGTCTCGCTGTATCGACTGTCAAATATTTATTACAATTCACCAGCAGCGCCCGAACACTGAGCTAATATTGAGCCCGGCCCAGAGCGGATAATCATGAGACGTAATGAGGACAGCAGAAGCAGGAAGCTTCCCATGAAGCCCCGACAAATAACTGTGGCCAGACGTTGGAGATGGGAAAGGGCTGAGGCTCAACCCTGTTTCAATATGAAAAATCTTCGCTATCCTGTCCACTACCATAGGCCAGGATTTGAAACGGCTTTTGTTATTTTACCGAGTAATAACGGTGGTGGTCGTGAGTATATTCCAGTAAGATGTAAGCATTCTCTATCCTGGATAACTAAAGAGGTTGTTAGTTATTACATTGGCGGAATATAACTGGTCATAATTCTGCGATAAGATTCGTCTGACTGGTACGGAGTATGCTCTCAAATATTATTAGTTATTTAACTTGGTCAATATCTCGGTAGTTGCAGAATATAGCCCATCCCGGCTAAGGAACGAATCGATAACTGCCTGTTAACATTACGCTGTCCTACATGATCGTCCAAGATTCGACCAGCAACCGCCAGATAAATAAATATATCTGCCTGCGCTGCATTCTTCCTCCTGTGGCTGTGCAGTCAAGGAAAAAGAAAGAGGCAAACGTAATAAGCAACTAGTCAGTCTTACTCAGTTATATATATGCATTACATTACGATACATCATGGCTTTCCCAAACAACCCCACAGCCCACATCCAACCAGGTGTTTCAGGCCGGCCAGGTTACCGATATATTTAAAGAGCTCCAGAGGGCGAGCTTTACATGGAATCCTATCACAGCGGGCATGTATGATGCTGAAGGGAGAAACAAGACCACATTAATCACTAGTTATATCCATATTCCGCCTGTCAACCTCCAGAGGGCATTGTACAGACGACTCCTCACCGCTAACTAATGGCTGCTTCATTCGAGTTACGAGCTCGCAAATCAATATCTGCTTTCGAGAAAGCCAGCCTGGCGAAGCTAGCGTGGCTAAGAAAGAACCATAACGGGGTGATACAACAGGATACCCAGCCTCTGTATGAGCTCTTCCCCATTACAAACGTTATACGCACCCCCAGGGCTGTGGGTGAAGCGGAAAATTGAGTATTACTTGAATAGCATTGTGTCCTGACAACCATTGACTATAGAAACAGAGGCAAGCCGTTTTCGTGCTGGGATGAACTACCAGTTGAATTGGTTGTCAACATATTCGGTCTCTGCCGGCTCCAGGATCTAGGCAGCCTGCTCCTTGTTTGCCGGAAATTCTGGTATCTTTTGCAGGTTCACGAAGAGGCTATCACCAGAGAGTACTTGCGTATCCGGCGGCATGGGACCCTGCCGTCTCGAGATCACAAGCCGAACCATTACACAAGGGCGCCTGAGGACGATGTGATATTACTGTCCGATCTATTCCCGCCTTTTACTGAAGCTACCAATCGCCGAGAGCATTATTCTTTTAGGTATCTCGCAGACTTACGTCGGAGACAGGAAGTCTGCTCGAAATTATCATACTACCTTGCAGATCATGTTCTAGACCGGTTCATGGAGGAGAACCCTGCCTGGGTGAAGTCCTTATCACATCTCTCGAAACCAACACAGCAGAAGGTTTTGGAACGTGGAAGTGCCCTTCTTCAGTCGAAGCTGACTCCTCTTATGCAAGTCAACCTGCTGTTTCACGACTTCTCCAAGCTTAATTCTAATATATATATTTATATCATTAGGTTTTATACCATGTTTTTCCTGAAGAAGTATGATGAAGCACGGTCAGAATTACAGGATTCCCTTTACGAAGCATTCGAAGCAGGAAAGCTCCCGGTACCAGTCCAGCCTCGTGATCGGTCAATAATGTACCGCGCACTTCAAACAAGGATTCTCCAAGCCTACCCTTTCATCGACTCACGGGCGTTAATATCAGCTCACCACTGTATACGGCTACTGATATTTTCCCTCCATCGAGTTCTCGTTGCGGAGACACCTGTTACGACATCATGCGAGAAATTTATCATTATGCTACTTACTACCTCCGGCCTGGAACGAGTCACGGAATTCTTTGCTGCCGAAAAGGGCGGAAGCAATCAGCGTGCTATGAGAAAAGAATTTATGCGCAAGACACAGGTGGACTGGGACATGTACAGAAACGACTCCAAGGCCTTGAAGGTGTTTGACGCATTGAGTGGTGACTGTCACTACCCCCCATTAATGACTGAGATATGGATTGGACCGGCAATCGAGGAAATCTCTAGACGGCAATTACTTATACAGCATCCCAATGAGGATTTTGTGACGCTGTGGAATGATGCACATATCAGCCTCGGCTGTAGTTATTGTGCTAGAACGAATGCGAAGATTAAATGGCAGGCATGATATACGAGCAATCAAATTTGACAAGCGCTGTTATTTTTCATTTCATTTCATTTTACCTTGTTGCATGTTTCTCTTTGCTCGGCGTTTATCTTGCGACTTTAACTATAGATTTTATGATACTCCATCCTGCTTCAAGAGAATGTTGATTTTCAAGATTTTATCATTCCCTTCTGGTGGCAAGTTCCTAGAATTGCTTCCAGTTGACATACTCATTACTTACCTTTGTCGGAAAATTGACTAGCATTCCCGTACCTTAACTAGCTAGTTAGACGGGTTGGCACTGGTACTCAATGACGGAAAACAATGGAACAAATAAAAGCTGGCTGATCGTGCTCCTCCAGCTAGTGCTTTGTTTGAATAACTCCTACAGTTAGTCCGAACGTTGGGTTAAGTTGAGCGGAACGGGCCGTAATTAGTTGGTTAGGCTACCCGCGCGGGTAACCAAAGGCCCATAGCCGCTCTCGGCTATGGTGGTGGTGGTGTTACACTAGGAGATGCTGAAAGCTTTATTCTTTTTCTCATACGTATATTTTTGTCATCATATCTCAATACGAAGGCTAGATCTATCTAGTATCGTACTTGACTCAGGGAACACTGCAGAGTGTGGAGGCACTGTAGAGCGGGAGCCGCCAGATTCCGTACGCACATCGGCGGGAATGAGTGTCGACGAGCTGATAGATACAGGACACAGGTAAAAACCGGGGCCTTGAATGCACGTATCTCTCGTTGGGTATTCTCACACTGTAGGAATTGGCGCGGTTTCTCCTTAGAGGCGCTCGTGATTGAAAAATACGGTTTGAACCCTTGGTCATGGAGCATGGAGTCGAGCTTTCGGGCATTATATCTGTGCTGAATCTTCAAAACATATTATTCGATGCCCCATAGCTTGACAGTTCGATCGTGTCCGCAACTTGCTATCCACTTTGCATCGGTACTTATATCAACGCTTAGGACATTTCCAGAATGGCCCTGCAGTGATTTCACCAGCGACCAATCATCCGCACTGAAAATGTTGACATTCTTGTCAAAGCCACTGGAAACAAAGAATGTCCCTGATTTCTTGGGCTGAGGAGGCTGTTCGGGTTGATCCTTCGTTGAAGTAGGCGTTATATCCATCGCGTCTCCATTCTGGTCCTGTGCTAAGGTAGTTGGAAGGAGAGAAGCCGAGTCACTCCCCTTGTACCATCTTAGATCAGACACGACGCTCTTATGTGCGCCTACTCCTCCACTACCACGAACTTGCCGGAGATCCCAGCACTTGACCCAACCATCCGCTGACCCCGACAGGATACGGTGTCCATCTATTCCCCAATCCAACGCATATATTTCACGGATATGGCCCTCTAGAATCATAACGGTTCGACCGGTACGTAGGTCCCAAATACGTCCGATACTATCAAGACCGCCGCTAGCTAGAAGTGAGCCATCCGTGTTGAATCCTAATGCATAAACTCCACGTGAATGGCCTTCTTGTAGGAGAAGCTCCTGGTTCGTTTGTACATCCCACAGTCGCCAGGTGGTATCAAAAGAAGCAGAGGCAAGATATTGCCCTGACGGGTGAAATTCAACACGGCATACTCGGTCAGAGTGTCCAGAAAGTGTTCCAATAGATGTATCTTTATCAAGAGACCAAAGCCTGATATTCCCTTCAGCACCTCCTGTGGCAAGGTTCAAAGACGATTCGGATACATTCGATTCAGGCAGGGTGGCCCCTGGGAACCATGATATACCGCCAATTCGATCCGTATGGCCTCGTAGGGTGGCCTTTTCTTCCAAATTTGGCACCGTAAGTAGTTTGACACCTCCGCTCCAATTACCTGCTGCCAATATATCTCCATTTGGGGAGAACCTGGTGATGCTCACGGGTCTGTCTCCCGCAATCTGCGAACCGTACAACTCAAAATTGGCAAGCTTCTCCCTTATTGCTTTTCTGTGTTTAACATGCGTTCGGAGAGGTATGGTCGATTCAGCCTTTTGTCGTTCTATTCTCGCCTTAGCCCTGGGTATGGAGTATCTTGCAATATCTCTTCGCGCCTGGAGCAGCGCCTGTGAGCCTTCGGTATAGAATTCTTCTTCTTGGTCTTGATCCTCCTCCTCTGCTTCCATGCCTCCCATACCAACATCTTGTGCACCAGCCTCACCTGCCGCAGCCTGTTGTTCTTCCAAGTCTGCTAGTATTTCTCGCAGTCTGTCACGTCTGTCCGTGGAGTCTTCACCAAAGAGGGTAATTGGGTGGCCCAATTCCCGCAACCGGGCCTTTACCCGTCCATCGTCTGTAGGTACGGCAATAGCGGCAGCTCGTCGTTTTCGCTCGAACTGAGATAATATAGCGGAAGCTTTCTCAGGAGCTATTCCTGCTGTAGCTGAGGGTAACTCGTAGTCATGGTCCACGGCTATTGAACAGACCCGTTAGCAAATGCGCGTGGATAACAACAAGCCGTAAAGGAAACATACGAATATTCGCAAGGTCTACTCCCATGTCCGTATCCTAATAATCCCAAATGATGGCCGTAAATCAGCTTCTGTCAATTGATCTATATATTGGCGTTAGGCATAAGGTGAGAGAGCTGCTTGCTTACCTCCTGCGCTTCCTCCACATAAGCGCGCCGTGCGGGATGCATGATTCCTTGACTTCCGGGTCAGATACTAAAGCTATTCGGAGTATATTTGGCAAGCTGACGGCGGCACAAGCTGTTCGAAAGCAAACAGTGGCAGCGGGTTGAAGCTGGCCGTGAGCTTTCTTTTGCGGCTGGTGTGAGATTTCTTCTTGGCTGGGACAAAGACGACTCTTTATATTTATTTCTTCGGCCAAACGAGACTCCTGGCAACAAAACACCTACGGCCAGCAGCCCGACCACACTCCTTAAAGACTGCCAGAAGGGCCCAGAGGGATCGGAATCTGAGGATCAGTCCCTAAAGCCAAGGATTTACCCCTTTCCAGGCTGTGATATTTTCTATCTAAATACTGAATATCCGCCGAACAGCAACCAGCGCGTGTTTGAACTCCTTAACCGTGGGCTACGCTGTGCAAATGCGCAGAGGAGAATCTGGCAATCGGACGGCCGCGGACTGGGAGGACACGGGAATTTTGGATATTTACTTCTGATGGCGACGGTGACGTTCTCTTCGAGGGCTTTGTGCTTTACCCGGCTTCAACGATTTGGTCTCCATGATATTCGACCTCGAACATCCCGAGTTCGCGTGACGGCCGTGGGAAGACAATATAACGGAGGCAGGAGAGGGTTTAGCAGTGCGATCCCACTGGAATCACGGCCCAAGATATCCTTTCGACTGGCGGTGTCGTCGTCTGGAAAGGGGCGGAGATTCAGTCCGGACAGGAACTTCTACAACTTCCACCCGCAGGTTCACGATGCTTTAGGAATACAGAGCTCGAATTATTACGACCGGAAAGCCAACAGGCCTGATAGTGGAGAGGATTCATTCTTCATCAGCAAGATTGGATACGATAATGAGGCTCTTGCCTTTGGAGTAGCAGACGGAGTCGGCGGATGGAGTGAATCAGGGATTGATCCTGCGGACTTCTCGCACTCTTTCTGCGGGCATATGGCAGAAACAGCCTTGAACTGGGAGTCCTCCCCCGAGAGCTTACGAGCTATGACCCTTATGCGGCTCGGATATGAGAAGACATTGATGGATAAGGCAGTCTTTGCTGGGAGTAGTACGGCTTGTGTTGGAGTAGCCCGGAATGACGGTTCAGTCCAGCTCGCAAAGTATGCAATACTACCTTCATATCCCACTATGTGTATGCTAAGCTGACCGTTTTTGTATAGTCTCGGCGATTCTGGATCGCTTCTCTTCCGCCTGGCTGCAGTCCACCATTACTCCGTACCGCAGACCCATGATTTTAATACGCCATACCAACTCGCGGCCGTTCCAGAGTTGATTCGACGGCAGTCCTATCTGTTTGGTGGAAAGCAGTTTGAAGACCTGCCTCAAGACGCGGCAGTGACCAACTGCTCGCTACAACATGGAGACGTCCTGGTCCTTGCCACGGACGGGGTGTTTGATAATTTGAACAACCAAGAAGTCCTTAAGTTAGTGACGACTCGAATGATGGCCACCGGGGCATGGACCGGCACGGCAGATATGGGTATATCTGCGTCGGATGACCTTGAAGCCCTGACGAAGCCTGGTGGTCTAAAATTCGGCAACAACCGGATAAAGCCTACCAAAGCAATTGCTGCTTCTGAGGAGGAGGACCCTCAGGGCAAGGGACATACCCTACAAGCACTTTTAGCCGTTACCATAGCCGGAGAGGCTAAGATTGCCAGCATGGACTTTCGGCGAGACGGGCCGTTCGCAAAAGAATATCAGAGACACCGTCCATGGGATCACTACCGGGGAGGCAAGCCGGACGATATCACGGTTGTCGCTCTGGTAGCTGTCGAAGAAGGTCGATCTACATCTAACTCATGAATTATACTAAAAACCTCGATACCCACTTTCTCCCTTTACCACGAGCGCTAAAAAGCTCAATCAGCTATCTACTGCCATCTTACCCTATTGAATTGTGCTCGAGCAAAGCCTTTTGATTCCTTCCTTTGGGCCTCCCTTAGACTATCAGCTTTAATTGCATACTACGGGGCATCTCTTTTTTACCTTCTTCACTGTGTGAAGATGCATATTGCGTTTATGCTTTTCCTTTGTGTACTCGGGCGGCAAGCTGGACTTTGGAGACAATATATGATGTATAAAATATATAATATTAGGTGCCTTGATCTCAAATAGAGACGTTTTTTATAGACAAGTTCTGGGAAGAGACGATGTCAAATTCATCAACCAAAAATTGTGCCGGGAAATACCTTTGGTGCAGACAGTGAGCGGTATAATCACTCCTCAGGTCTATATGAGACGATTTTACCCCAGGTGTCTGCGGTGCCCCAGATACCCCTTCTCAAACAGCTCAGCTGGACGATCTGTGAATTATCAACGAAGAGATTGACGTCAATGCCGAATTCACGAATATACCAACTGAACACCTTCGGGTCGGCCGCTACGCGAGCAATGAATCAGCTCTACATATGATAACGGAACAATGCTGAAGGATAGCCTTACCTTCAAACATAACCCTTTCCTGAGGCAGCTCCTTCATGATCTGTGAAACGACATCTGTTCTCCATTCACTGACATTTTCAGTTATGCCTTCGCTTTCAATCATGAGACGCTCAACACCAGCGTCGAGGAACTTTTTGCCCAGGTTGATAAGTTTCCCAGGGTCACTTGTGCCTATTGCTTCGAGCTCACTGGTCTCGGTGTCTATACAGATATGTTAGACGCGGCTTTCCATAGCTTATATACGGCTGTTTGAACGGGAATACGTGCCTCCTCCGGCACCGAACTGGATTCCCAGCTCTGGCTTTGGTTTCAAGCCGTACGACTGGACTCTCTCGACAAGTCGTAACCAGTCATCTTCCGGAATCGAAAGGAAACCAGCAGATAATTCAACGACATCGAACCTGCGTGTATCGGTTAGATCTGGGTTGGCTAAGACGTTGAATGGAGGAATATACCCGAGATCTTTGCACTTTTGGAAGTATTTATCCATAATTGTGGTATTATCTGGGTGAGTTAGGAGATGCTCTGCCCATCCACCCTATCTCATCCCGTCAACCAAAGCTGACTCCATAGGTAGGAGAGGAAAGGGGGTCCTTACGGTTGAAACATAAGCACCGTTCTCATGAGCAATATCAATCAGCTCTCTTAACTTGTCCTCATGGAAGAGAGAGAATGATCCTATCGAAATTAGCCGCATTGAAGGAGAAGATATAGAATACTCGGACTTGACTAACCTCCTGAGAACTTGAGGCCGTCGACATAGTCGCCCATCCTACGCTGCTGTCAGCAGTTCGATGTTCATCTCTGATGCAGACAGGGACTGCCCTACGTCTCGAATATATCAGAGAGGTATCTCTTTCCCATCACCTGGATCGAAAAGTTAGCCAGTATCGAGCAAGTGAAGCATTCGGCCTAGAGCCATACCGCATAGTAAGGTCCTCGAATCTCGGTCACTCCTTTCTTCCGTGGCTTTGGCGGAAGGGCATTCGACTTTGCGAAGCCCAGGCCGCTCTGCTTGTTCAGTAGAAGAGCATTTGCTCCTTTCCCAGCTGCGCCCTTTGCGAGGACAGGTGAGGTAGAAACTCTTCTCTGCAGGCATGTCTGGGGTTTGAATCCAGGGCATCTCAGCGCTTGAGTGGCCGCACAGAGTGATTTGGAAGACAGCATCCTGGCTGAGTACGCTATCCTGTATCAATAGTATATAGAATATATGGAATACAGGGACCTTCTACATGTTTCAAGAGTGTGAAATCACTGTTCAAAATATTTATCTTGCCGGTATCTGTTATAACTGTCGTCTGGGAAAGCTGTCAGCGTCATGATGTCATTGTTGGACACGGTGGAGTTAGATCCAGAAGCCCAAGTCAAGAGCCGGTACTCCGTATACATTACTCTAGCTGCTGGTACCTGGAGTTGATGCTCGCCGGTTGCTGTATCTCTTATTGTGTGCTCTTAATCGCGGCTAATATACGTGGATTCTCCATCAAGCCATCCAGTTAGGTATCAAATATTCTATCGAGGCCTCCGTTAGGTCTACCAAATAGCCAAAGTACCAAAGCAAGAAGTTAATAGCCACCAGTATTGTATAACCATCTACATCCACCAAAAAAATACATTGCAGCGTTCTAGTAGCTATAATAGACAATAATCAATGTAAATACAATAGATACTATCATCTGCTCCTTTGGTATCTTCCGTCTAGTTAGCTTCTATCAAACTGTACAATGAACAATCTTAGCAACCAAATAGCCACGCTTCCGCTAAGCTGCCTCCCAGTTCTCTCCGGCCCTTTTATTAATCTTGTCTTTTCTTCTTTTCTACTTTTCACGGCTTTTTATCACCGGTTTAACAGTAAAACAACACCGGGATATCAAATTCCTTATTTCCACTCTCACATTCATTAGTTACCTTCCTAACGCCACTCACTTCACAGGGTAACTTCCCTACTTCCACCCACTTAGTCCCTTCGCGGCTTCAGCTTTTGCTTTCTTTTCTTCGCTTTTCGCATCGCAGCAAAAAGTCGAAACTTCAACCTCTTCGGCTTCTCGAGCGTTTTCATCTCTCACGGCCAGTTTTGCTGCTTCGTTTCGTTCGGGAGGAGCCTGTATCCTTGTATATTGCGCTTTTGGCCGCGGCAGCACGCTCTCGGCTGTGTGCATTTCTCGAGCGTGGGCTGCTTGATATACCCCGAGCAGCGCGGCGGCGTCTCTGCGCGCTATCAATACCCCCCCGGCTACACCAGCCAGCCAGATATAAAAGAAAGAAGAAGAATACTTCTGGAGACAAGAAAATACGTCTTCCACCAAGGAGTGACATCCAGAGGCATTGATTGATCTGCGTTGGCGGCAGGTTGTCTCTCCAGCTCTTGATAACCGGACCTTCACCACCAAACCACCCACCGCCAACCTCGAGCAGAGAGACGAACAGACAGATAGCCGCCGTCTGACTCTGCCTCTTCCGCCCTTCTAGAGACGAAGAAGACCCTCCTCCGACCGTCTTCTGCCTCTCAGAGCCCGCCAAGTGGACGGCCGACCAGCAGGACAGGGGTTTCTACCGACTTCTACGGCTCGGAAAACACGCCTGCGACCCTCTGAGGCACTGATACTGGCCTACAGCTCGTCTCTACGCCCATAAACTACCGTCTCTGCTACACTACAGACGCTGGACACTCGCTGTTGTTGCTTTGCCCGCCAGCATCTTTTTTGCGTGGTTGCCTGTCAATCAACACAACGCGTTTTTCCTGTTTCACGCCATTTTTCGCGCACCCAAAAAACTCCATCCACTCCGAGCCAGCGCTGAAAAACCCAACACAAAATTTCCTCGGCTACCCGACCATCGACGCATCACCACCATCGTCTGCCAGCCACCACCATTCATTGACCGTCCATCGCCCGTTTACCTCCTACTCTGTCCGCCATGGCTGACACCGGTAAGAGCTGCGCCTCCGTTTCTGTCTGCCCGTTGATGATGACTCTGGAGAGCTAACCACCTGTCGTTGTTGTTTTTTTGCAGAACCTACCAAGACACCAGAGCCATCGCGTCCTGAACAGCAGGAACCCGAGCCTGTCAACAAGGAAGCCGGTCAGTCCAATGCCTAATACCCTTCCTGCACCCTCTGCCCTGCCCTTTAGCTCGCCTTCCCCCTTTTTTGATTTTCTCTGCTGTCTAGTGGACTAACCAGGTCGCGACTTCAACCAAGCAGACGCGGAACCCACCACTGAAGCAACCGACAAACCCCAACCCGAGCCTACAGAAAACACCGAAGAGAAGAAGCCAGCTGAAGCCAGCGCTGACGCAGAGGAAGATGCCTCTGTAGACAAAGCTGATGGCGGGGAGGGTGGCGAGGCTGCTGGTACGACCGAGCAAGCTGCCGCCGAAACAGCTGCGAACGGCTCTTCATCTGTCTCCAAGAAGGCTGCCAATGGCAAGCGCAAGTCGACGTCCGGCCCTGGCCAGAGGAAGCTGAACAAGAAAAAGTCAATGAACCGGATATATCACTTGGACGTACAGCCCGGAGAGACCTATCTCGCTCGAATGAAGAGCCATCCGCCATGGCCTTCCATCGTTTGTGACGAGGAAATGCTGCCTCCTAGCCTACTGAACACGCGTCCAGTCACTACCAAGCGAGCAGACGGTACATACACCGAAGCCTACAGTGATGGTGGGAAGAAAGTGAATGACAGGACATTCCCAGTCATGTTCATGTACACCAACGAATTGTGAGTGAAAATATCACCAACCTCTCCCCTACCTCCTTCTCACTCTGCTACAACAATCGATTGGCATATCATCATCTTCATTGACTAATACTTGTCTACTTTCAGTGCCTGGATCCCTAACGTCGACCTCACCCCTATAAGCCCGGAAGACTGTAAAGACGTCTCGGAAAAGAACAAGACAAAGAACCTAATTGCAGCTTATCAAGTAGCTGCCGAGGGCCACGATCTCGACTATTTCAAGACAATGTTGGCCGACTTCGAGCGTGCTAAAAAGGAAGACCAAGAGGAGAAGGAAGCCAAGGCTGCCGCAAAGGCCGCAAAGCAAGAGAAGAAAAAGCGAAAGAGCATGGAAGTCGTTGATGAGCCTGAAGACGAGGAGATGGAGGACGCTGGGGAGAAGAAAAAGAGCTCCAAGAAACGCAAGAAGGACCTGGAGAGCGAAGGAGAACAGGAAAAGGTAAGACTAAACGCGGTGCCTGATATAACTAGTTGCTGTTGTGTGCGAGCCTGCAGTGCGCCTCCCCTGCGCAGAAATTACGGATGCTGACTAGAGATGACTGTAGCCCGTAAAGACACCCAAGTCGGCCACAAAACTAAAGCTGACGACGCCCAAGGCTCCCAGCACTGGTGAGAAGGGTGGTAAGAAGGCTGCCAGCACCGGAAAGTCTTCTAAGGGGAAATCCAAGAAGAAGGCCGATGCTAGTGACGAGGAGATAGAAACCCCCAAGGAAACTGAGAAGCCAGTCGATCCCCAGGAGGCCAAGGCAAAGCGGGAGAAGGAGAGTACGTGTCATCCGAATTTTATCCGGTTTTGATCATTTTCCGAGTCTGATGCTAATGCTTCTTTCCAGTTCTATATCTTCGATACAAATTGCAGAAAGGTTTCCTCACGCGTGACCAAGCGCCAGAGGAATCAGAGATGGAGTTGATGTCCACCTACATTAACAAGCTGGAAGCCTACTCTGACCTCGAAGTGAGCATTATCCGATCTACCAAGATCAACAAGGTGCTCAAAGCCATCATCAAGCTGCCCACCATCCCCAAGGAAGAAGAGTACAACTTCCGAGGGCGATCTGTCCAGATCCTATCCAAGTGGAAGCAGCTCCTAGAATCAGACATACCCTCAGCAGGTGAAGGATCTACTCCAGCTGATAAGCCAACGTCCAACGGTGTGCACAAGAAGGGCAGAGCCGGAAATAAAAAGGCCGAGACAAAGAAGGGACAAGAGAAGAAGACTGAAGATGCCGATGAAGATACGGCTGAGCCATCCAAGGATGGTGACATTTCGATGGCTGACGCAGATGACGAGAAGCCCGAGACCGAAAAGGAGGAGAGAGTAGCTGAGGAAGAGGAGAACGAGAAAGAGAAAGACGAGGAGGAAAAGGAAAAGGAAAAGGAAAAGGAAAAGGAAGAGGAGGCTGGCACTCCCACAAAGGACGCTGATGCCATGGAGACATGAACTAAACAGCCATATCTTATAAAGGAAGGCTATGCTCATTTGTCCTAGCATGCTATACGGCTTGCAATATACAATCCATTTTTGCAAAGCCCGCTACTCCATGAACAAATGACTTGACATAAAAGCCTGAAACCAAACCTACCTACGCTTTTCAACTGTTCTCCCATTCTTACAATCCGGCTGGAGCACGATGGCGGAAAAAATTGTACCTTTCTTCAATTCTACCTCCCGTTCCCATTCCCATCCTGCTTCAAAGGCCAGGGAATCCCAAAGCGATGATTTACCCTGCCTTGAACCACCTTGTCCGACCTGTCTCTTGTTTTGCTGTCTTCGTTCTCTGGACCGTCCGTGTATTATGTTGCAATTTTTGTGTGTACTTTGTGTTAATGCTACAGGGCTCTTTCTTATAATTAATTCCCTTGTTAACTATTATTATCATTACTGTTTCTATCTGTTTTTTCGTCCTTTTGGCCTGTATCTGCCCCTATGATGTCTACAGTCACTACTATAGCTATCACTGGAACGGAGTTGTTTTTATTCAGCCTAGTTATGCTTGCTCTGCGTGGCTCTACCAGCCCCTTTTCGCCGGGCTCTTGGAAATATCAACCGTAAGTCAACTATACAGTGCACAAATACCGCCTGCTAACCTGCTAGACTATAGCTACTCTGATATCTCTCTACTTCATAGATACTCATCTATTCTTTGTCCTCTCTACTCACCTTTGTCTTGTGCTTTGGCCGCTATCAGCACTCAATAGCATAACTAGAATAACCGACTCGACGATGAGATGATTGGCCGCCACCGTCAACGTCGTTAGTAACTCAGCTAGCTGACTGCATATAAATAGCTACCGGACAGCTGCTCAACCTGGTCTGCCTTGTCACCGGCTGAGTGGTAATGGCTATACGTTTATACAGCATCCTGGTTCCTCAGAAGGCCAGGCAGAAGACCAGTTATGCATGAATTGAGCTCCCTGTTGAGTGTTTAACCCGTAATGACCCAAGCTAGTTAGTTAGCACTACTGCTGACTATCGATGCAGGTACAAAGCGGATCGTACGAGAGACAGTATAGACACGGCTGATAATGCATCCATTTGCGACGAGGATGCCGAACAGGACAAACTGCTCTCTACTTCCAACCGCAACTCAGGGGAAGGCGAGGAGAGGCCGTCCGGTACAGGGCCTTGTTCGTACGAGTCAGCTCAGGAGAGCTTCGCGAAGGACCCGTTTAACCCGTTCCCTTTAAGGGGCTTTCCAGCTGCTGAAAACGAACAGAGGATTCTAACCTTCCGAGCTCTGCTTGTTGGAATCTCCTGTGGTGCGCTGGTGAATGCATCGAACATATACCTGGGACTCCGGGCTGGATGGACATCGTCTGCGAATATATTCGGAGTAAGCCTGCGCTTCGTTACCCAGCAGTTTCGTTATATAGTTCAATTTGGGAGATATCTACTCTAACATCAACATACGATATCTAGTCGATCATAGGCTTCGCAGTGCTCAAGTCATGGTCGTCCTATTTTGCGCCCTCGTCTATACTAGGCGGTTTCTTCGGGCCACAAGAGAATAACATTGTTCAAACTGCTGCCACTGCTGCCGGGGGTCTGGCAAGTGTTTTTGTCTCTGCATTCCCAGCAATGTATCAGTTGAACTTGCTCGATACCCCCTGGAAAGACTTCCTGCGTGTTACTGTCCTTACTGCTGCAGGTGGATATTTCGGTTTATTTTTTGCAACACCCCGTAAGTCTATAGCCTCAACAGTTGCATATATACAAGTGCCTCAACTACCATGCTAATAAATGTTATGAAAGTGCGCAAATTCTTTATTTTCCAAGTTGCAAAGGAGCTCAATCTTGTGTTCCCATCTTCCTCTGCGACTGCGATCACAATTTCGGGCATGCATCTTGCCGCGGGAGGGTCACAACTGGCCCGTCACAAAATGGTGGCCCTGGTATTTGCCTTTGTTTTTGCGTTGATGCTTAGGGTTATATCTCAATATGCCCCGGGAATACTTTGGGTAAGGAATAGCTCCAATTAGGTATATGTAAGGAGCAACGGCTAATTTGGAAAATCCAACAATGGTATAGGACTGGCATTTTTTCACCTGGTTGGCGCTTTCGGGCGTTTTACCTTCAACAATGTTCGCTATACAAAGCTGGGGTTGGTTTATAGAGTGGACACCGGCGTTCATAGGTACAGGGATGCTAGTTGATATGAACGTTGCATTGTCTTTTGTCTTTGGGTCGGTATTGGCATGGTAAGTTCATTCTTCCCGTCTTACTACTTGTCAACGCTCCCATTAAACTCGCCTATAGGGGTATTGTCGGGCCAATTATTACAAAATACGGCCTTGCGTTCGGGGAACCGGTTTCAACAGATAGTAAATGGGATGGGTTGATATCATATATCTCCTTTTCAAAGGAATTTGCCAATGCAACGCACCCTAGCCCCAGGTATTGGCTACTATGGCCTGGAGTTGCATGTATGATAGTGGTTGGATTCACGGGTACGAATATTCCCCATCAATACATATTTGCTAACCAATTATACTAACTTATGGATAGAACTCGCTTGCCAATGGAAAGTTTTCTGGCTTACAGGATTGGAAATATATAAAGCCTGCAAGAACATACTATCTCAGTTACACGAGAAGCAGCATGAATATAAACATCTTACTGAGGAAAACGAGGGGCCCAAATCAAATCGAACGACAAAAGGAGAAATTAAAACGTGGATGTGGCTGCCAGGTCTTATTGCGGTCCTTATATTGACCTGTGTAGTTAGCAAACTACAGTTTGAGATCCCTGTCTCTTCTTCGATTCTCTCTCTTGTCCTCGCATTTACATTTTCAGTTATTGCCATCCAGTCAACAGGTGCAACAGGTATGCCCTCCATTTCTCATAATCATCTAATAAGATGTTATTTGATGCTTATATTATATAGATATTACCCCCCTAAGCGCTATTTCAAAAGCTTCTCAGCTAGTCCTAGGAGCAACAACTCGTGGTCCAGAATGGAAATTAGAAAGCTCCCAACGGGTTAACTTACTCGGGGGGGCTTTAGCTAGCATAGGTGCCAGTCAAGCCTGTGGTAAGATTTTTTTATACCTTTAACACCCATAGGAAAACTTCAAGCTGATCAATTATAGACCTCACAGGAGATTTCCGAGTTGGGTTTCTACTTAACACTCCGCCATCCACTCAGTACGCTGCTCAGGCCATAGGAACATTTTTCGCTGTCTTTCTCGCCCCAGCCGTTTTCTCCGTGTTTGCTAGTGCATACCCTTGCATTCTATCTACAGGCGATGAACCGCATAGCAAGAACGGAACTACAAGCCTGACATGCCCCTTTACAGCCCCTGCTGCTTCTGCCTGGCGTGCTGCAGCCGTAGCTGTAACAGATCCTGAATTCCCGGTTCCCAAAACTAGCGTACAGTTTTCTATCGTGATGGCGGCCATTGGTTCAGTTGTGGTTCTGATTCGACATCACTTGTGGACAGGCAAATGGGCATGGATGCGTGACTATCATCCAAATATGATGCCTATGGCTATGGCATTTCTTATCCCTACTACACAGTACAGTACGGCTATGCTTATTGGTACCACAATCGCCATGATATGGAAGAGAAGGGATAGTGGCTCTTTTGGATCATATGCATACGCTGTAGCAGCAGGTTTTATGGCCGGTGAGGGAATCGGAGGCGTGATTAATACCGCCTTGACGATAATTGGAGTTGATGGTGCGCGCCTTGGGACCAATATAGGCTGCCCAGGGGGTATATGTTGATATCTTATCCCTTGGTAACAAAGGACATCATTTCTTAGTTGCTCGGGCTTCGAATAGTCTGGAACTATTAGAATCATTGGCTCTCATTATGTAGTGTATATCACTAGAATGGGTATCATAGTAGGGTTAACCTTACATGCAGTCTTCACAGTAAGAGGAAACAGAACATTTTGATGCCAAATGGCTGTTGCTATTGCTGTTGATATCTGGCGTTGGGCAACGCGGCTCATGTTAGACTCCACTTGGCGCTGCCGCGCACGGGCTCTTCCCGAAGTCTCCACTGCGGCTGCAAAGCGACGGCCTAGTGTCTATCTCGCATACATAGCACCGAGTACTCCGTAGATAAGGAGTAATTCTGATGGAGTAGGTGTTGAAGGGACGCTCTATGAAGGACACATGGATATCCCTATCATTCTCTGTCATATAGTGTATTGAACTCCGTATCGGAAGCTACGTCCCGGATGGTGATAGGTACCCATTTGTTGATATTGGCAAAGGCCTGCTCCCATAAGACTAGGGGGAGGATCGCTTTTCGGCCTCTGATGCTTGTTTGTTGCATGTCTGGACGACTGCTGGCGTAGTGCTTATAGTATACCCTAGCCGGCCTTGTCTTCAGGGTTACAATATACTAATAGCCTGATTGTTTTCCAGTTGGAAAGCTCTCTCTAGAGGTGCTTGCCAGAGATGTCTCAAACATTAAGCAGTGACTTGGCGGGTTTATCAACATCTCATCCTTTATGGCGCGTTGCATGGAGTACCGTATCAAGGTTGACCTTCCGGATGCCAGCAAATATCCGTTCATGGACACCCCAAATAGTATGAAGGACGATGATATCGCTAGAATCGCAAGGGACGCCTGCATAGTATATCTTGCTGGCGCCAGCATTCATAGATGATGAGCTGGCAAGGCAACAGCCGTGACCGTGATACCTTTCAGTTATGGTGGTCTAAACTGTCACAGTTGGAGGAGAACGGAGGCTTGAGTCCAGGGGTGAAGGCTGCCATGGTATAGGCAAGAGAGAAACGGGTCTCTATGCACTTGGAGTTCTTCCGAAGCCGATGCCGGATGGAATCAAGGGAAAAAAAGGAAGGAAGAGATGATTATTGCAATCTGTTTCTTGGATTTGATGTATTATGTAGCCAGAGTGGGTTGAATAGGGAAGTCATGAAATAAAATATCAAATCAAATTCGTTAGTGGTCAGTATCGTCTGGCGAAAGGCTGTGTCCTCGAAAGATGCATCGGGTCATGAAAAAAGTGTGAGTAAGATGGATATAGAAAAAGCAAAAGTCATCAAATAAAGTACATAGTAAAAGCACATCTGCCAGCTTTGGCAGCCTTATAACACAGTAAAGTACCGCTCAATTGTCCGGAAGCTGCTGTATGGTCTCTTTGATCAGAGCAATTAGTTCATCAATGTCAGGCCGCTCAGCAGGTTCAACCCGCAAGCAACGTCTAACCAGCTCCTTTACTGGTTGGCTTATTCCTCCACTCTCAGCGGCATCTGCACCAGCGGCATCCCCTGGTGAAGGGACTCTGGTTTTACCCTTTCCAGCATCTGTATTTCCGCTCTTCTCGTCGGGGAAACGCCAGTCGCCGCCAAGGACACACATGGCCAGACTGCCGCCAGTCTCTTCACTGCGGGCTTCAAAAGGGCTCTTGCCTACGAGACAAGCGTACAGAGTGCAGCCCAGAGACCAGATATCTACTTTCTCGTCGATGATGGAGCCAGTCTTCACGTCGAATAGCTCTGGGGCACGGTAGGGCATGGTGCTGTGTTCGGCCGCCGTGTCTTGGACTGCTATGGCAAGAGAGCGAGATGTGATTGCGATGGGGCTCGGGCTGAGAGATCCTAGATCCATGAGAATTGGTGTCTTGCCGTCATCATCGATCATGATGTTTCCTACCAAATGTGTCAGTAAAGTGCAGATAATGATAAGGTTTGGTGGACGGACATACCGGGTTTGATGTCTCGGTGAGAATACGGTCTGTATTCTCCCTCCTCTACGCCCTCCTGGCTGATTGCAACCTCGCCATCCATCAGAGGCTCCTGTTCCGTCTCATCATCGTCGTTATCAACCCTTCGACTCGTCCTTCTGGTTGGCTTGCCTCTTGATTTGCCCTTTGCGGCTCCATTTCCATTCCCTCTCGATGCAGAATCCTTCACCTTATACTGATGCATACACTTCAATGCCCTGGCTACTCCGAGCATCAGCACCATCAGCTCTTTCTCCGGGAACGACGTATGGTTGACCAGATTCGCATTGATGGCGTCCTGAAGGTTCCCTCTCTGGTAGTACGGCAGAAGAATGTAAACGGTCTTTGAGCCAGCATCTGCACCGTCTGATCTGAATTTCGACCCGGATTCAGTTACAACCGAGTAATCGATGGAATGGATGATGTTGCGGTTGGGTGTAAACAGGCCGTATGCTTCGACTTCCTTGAGGGCGAGCGAGACGGATTCCTGACCGAAAGGACATCGTATCTTCTTGAGCGCAAAGAGCTCATCGGTACTTTTATCCTGGACGAGATAGACATAGGAGAAGCCGCCCTAGAGACCCCAAAAATCCCATTAGATATGCCCATGATACATAACGGGCCAGGCTGTATTTGTTGGAGGACGTACCTCTCCGAGCAGCCGCAGCAGCTTGAAGCTCCGGTTGTTTATCTTCAGTTGCGGAGAGCTCGGGAAGCAGCAGAGACAGTCTGTAAAGGTGTATAGCAGGTCGAAGAAGTACTGCGCCATCGTCAACGTCCTCGCCGTCGCTGGATAGTCGATGAAGCTGGGGTCGTGATAATGACAATAACAATAGTAGGACTGCAGGAAAGGAGGCCAGCGCAGGCAATAAGTAAACTAGGCAGGCTAAACGGCGGTTTCACACCTGGTCTCGACCCTCTTGTCTCGTCCGTGTCCAATTAGTGACGAGCAGAGCCAGAATCGCAAGCTGCAGAAGCTGTAGAAGCGCAAGATGGTCGTTGTTGTCGAGGTAAACTCGAGGATGCGCGGCTGTGGCTGAAAAAGGAAGAAGATGAAGACGACGAAAAGTGGCTTTTCTTTTCTTTCTGTGTCTCTCAACATCGCCCAAAAACCTGCAACTCGCCAACTTGCTGCATCTCAGGCTGAAGAGCGCTCGAGGAAGACGGACACCCTCCCTTTACTACGGCATCTCAGCTTGATCTGCTTCGTCTTGGTCTGTCTCGCGTGTTTTGATCCTACTTTTGGCCCTGATCAGCCGCTGAAAACGGTTATAAACAAGTAAACAGCATCACTCAGACCAGCTCCTTTTCCTCCCTCGCTCAATCCTTTGCTGACTACGGAGTACTCGACTCGAATCCAAGCCAGGGGGGACTCGCCTGTTGCTTCTCTTTGCTTTTTTGACCTTCTCTGGCCTTCTCTGGGGTTTCGGTTTCGGTTTCAGCTCCTTTTTCCTCTTGTCCGAGTCCTACCAGCTGGCCGGAGCCCGTGGCTGTTTGTGAAGACGCCTGATCTCACACTCTACTGCTCCGTTATTACTAGGATCACGACTAGCGAGCCCTCGAGACAGCCAGGTTTGGAGGCCTACGATGATTTAAGACGATTCCCGGATCCTTATCTGATGCTATAAAGAGGAAAGATTTCTACACCATGACGGCCGCAGACGATGTCCAGGTCGGTGACCTGGTCAATGTTCCAGGTGGGATGTACGGGACGGTGAGGTTCTTGGGCGTGGTGGCAGGCAAGCCGGGCAGGTTTGCTGGCGTCGAGCTGGCGCCCGAGCTGGCTGGCAGAGGGAAGAACAGCGGAGACGTGGAAGGGAGACACTACTTTACGACCTCGATCCCTGGCTCGGGTATATTTGTGCCTATGAACAACTCGAAATATGTGACGAGACGTGCGGTTGCGCCGCAGTTGGCACCGACTACGAGAACTGGCCCGTCAATCACAAACTTCAGTAGGTCTGTTGGGCCCGGGTTGAACCTCTCTTCGACCGCCAGACCGAGGATTCGACGGCCTTCGCTACCCCGTCCGGAGTCACCCAGCAAGGGAGCACCTCTGCCGTCGCCCAAGCTGAATATCAGTGGCCTACGCACGCCTTCTGGCATGCCAAAGGGCCCTCCTATGAACGGAAGGCCACGTACGCCGCTCAAGAGTAGACCGACGAGCAGACCGCCATCTAGAATCAGTATGGAGAGCACAACTCCAAAACGGACAGAAGCCGTCCGGACACCTGCTCCCGAAGAACCCGATGTAAATGGCCGGACAAGGGAGCTGGAGCAGCAACTTCGTGAGCGTGACAAGCAGTTGGAAGACCAGGCAGCCACTCTTGCGGAGTTCCAGCAGTGTGTCACAGAGCTAGAGGGCTTAGACGCTCTCCAGGTCCGAGCACAGCTAAAGGAGAAGAACGATAAGATATCTGCCCTCACTGCAGAGTTTGATAGCCACAGGGCGGATTTCAGGAGCACTCTTGATACTCTCGAGGTAGCTGCTTCCGAGACGGAGCGGGTATACGAAAAGAGAATCGAAGAGTTGCTCCAGGCAAACAGGGAGCTCCAGTCCCGCGGCGAAGACGTCGAGACGGTGGCCCTGCAGCTCAAACAGCTAGAGGAGCTCGTGTCCGAGCTCGAGGAGGGTCTCGAAGACGCTAGACGAGGAGAGGCCGAAGCTAGGGGTGAAGTTGAATACTTGCGTGGAGAGGTCGAGAGAACCCGCCTGGAGCTCAAGCAAGAACGGGACAGGTCCTCGGCCTCATTCCAGGACGGCGAGTCCGCAGGCGAGGGATTGAGTAGGCATCATCCCACGATCAGAGACTTGGAGCAAAAGGACGATGAGATCCGCGGGCTTAAAGCTATCATTCACTCCCTCAGCCGCGGAGACCCAACTTCGCAAGCGTTCCTCCAGCAAAACGGCATAGGACAAGGGAAAGGGGCGTCTGACGGAGATCAGGATGCCAGCGATCAACTGTCCAGGATGGATCTGCGTATCCAAGAGCTTGAAGCCGCCCTGGAGCATAAAACCCAGCAGATCAACGAGCTGCAGCAGGAAGTCGAAATGGGCCAGGCTCAGACTCAGACAAACGCCTTCCGTGGACACAGCCGCAGCGGCACGATAACCACCTCGCCGCTGAGAGTCCACAAGAATCCGCAGCCCGCCAGTGATAGCAGGGCCGGCCCCAGCGCCCCGACCCATGCCCACACGCTTTCGGACCGCACGATCGTCCCCGGAGACTGGACCGAGAACTCTCCTGAACAGGGCAACGGCCACAGCAACAACAACATCGAGACCCAATCGGCTAGCACCGACGACGGCAGTGCAGCCTGGTGTGAGATCTGCGAGACCAGTGGCCACGACATCCTCACCTGCACCAACATGTTTGGCACGATGAATGCAAGCAAGCCGGCCAGCCATCCGACCAGCCTTCAGCCGGCAAGCCAGCCGCCGCCAGTGACCGGACCACCGGAGCGAAGCAGCTACGTCCAGGCCTCGATCGATTCTGCGCTCCGCGATACCATCGATAGCGGCTTCTCCTCGTCTCTCAAGCCCTCCTCGTCCTCCATCACGGAGACCAACGGATCCGCGAAACACGGCAGCCCCAGCTCCCAGCGGACAGGCAGAGATGCCGTCCTGGAAGGCCTCAAGGGGATCGGCGGCCTCCCGTCCTCGTCCATGTCCCCAGTTGCCGGGAAGGCGTCTGGCGTGATCGACGAGTCGAAGTGGTGTGCCTTGTGTGAACGTGACGGCCACGAGAGCATTGACTGCCCCTTTGACGAGTAATTTGACTGATATTTCTCCATGGTCATCACAATTACGTCTTTCCTTCCGCCTTGTCATGCATCTGCTGCTATTTATGCGAGTCTCTCGGCGCGGTCTTCCTTTTTTCTCTTGTTTGCGAGTGTCCCAAACGTCCGCTGTTATGGTCTATATCCCCTTTAATACTTACTTAACTGATGGCCTCTTCTGTATTTCGGAACTTGACTCACGGCCATGATGCATATTCATTGAAGGAAAAGACGAAGTAGAATGCGCTTCATACCCCCTATACCATCTCCTTACCAACCCCGTCTTCCTTTCGATTGACTCCGGTATACGTTAAACCGTATACCAACACCCCCCCTTTTCCCAGTGTACATGCTTCTGGTTCAGCATAGCCTTGCAGGTGTCTCCCTTATTTCCCTTTACATTTATTTGCCCATTCCCTTTTGTTTTAATATCTCGCCTTTTTATATCTTCTTCTTTCTTCCCTTTCGTCTTTTTTGAGAATATAAGGTCTTTCGGACTCAGTTGGGCTTTTTCTTCTTTCCACTCGTTTCGTTTCCCGTGTACCAGGACTGGCAAAAGAAATATTACTTACTTCTATTCCCCCCCTATTAGCGTCTATAATCAATATCATACACATCTGGTTTCTTCGGTATCTGTTCTTCTTCCTCTGCATGCATGATATCCCTACCCCTGGCTCTATTCGGGCATTCACTGCGACAGGAATGCACGACTCGCTGCTTGTCCGGCGTTGCACAGCAAGACAGACAGGAATGAATACCGTGGTATACTGACATCAAGAATATAGGGACCGAGCAAAGCAGACACAAGAGAGGAGAGGTATTATTTTGTTTGTTCTTTTTCATCCCTTAACATAAGGAACAGGCAAATGCATGGCTGGATCATCGCGCGAAATATACGAACCCGGGGCCCCCATCGATGGATGAAAAGGGTTTATCTATACAAACGCCGATCTCTCACTCCTGCTCCCACTCCAACTCCAATCCAACTCCCAACTTCGCACTAGATGTTAGTAGGCTTGCTTAATCTTCATCATCGTCGTCCAGGAACCGAGGAGGCTGCACTACCTCGCCATCACCATATCTGACCGGCGCCAGACACCCGCACTTCTTGCACTCCCGCTTGCCCCTGTCACCGGCAAAGTCGTCGATGATGCCGTTCAGCTGGGTGCCGAGATCAGTGCAGATAAAGCTCTTCTCCCAGACGATGTTCTTGCACTCCGGGCAGTACCACCGCAGCGTGTCTTTGGCGCCCTTTGCCCGGGGCACTTCCAGCACGACTCCCACGGTGTCCGCGAACCGGACGGGCGAGTGCGGGGTGTTTGGCGGCAGGAGATAGAGCGAGCCCTCGTGGACAGGGATGTCCTGGAAGGTCGGCGGGCTGGTCGAGTGGTCGACCACCTTGATCACGATCGAGCCCTTGTGCTGGTAGAAGAACTCCGGCGTGGTGTTGATGTGGTAGTCAGTCCGGGCATTGGGCCCGCCCACCACCATCACGGTGTATCCCTGGGTGGCCTTCGAGGACGGGTGGTAGACGCAGTAGTTGCTAATCGGCGGCTTGAGGAGATGCGCATTCTTCTCCAGCCTAGTCTTCTGGTCAGCATGCCGAGCGTCTTGGGTGCTCGCGTGGGCAGCGTCTATCCTCTCTGTACGTACCACTTGGGGATGTTCAGCGCGGGAGGCAACATCGTCGAGTCTTGTGCTGTGACGCCGTCTATGAAGCTGTAGTTCGGCAGCGGAAGCAGCACATCCCATCTACACCCTGAGCAGACGTCTCTCCGCGCCAGGCGCTCGCATGTCAGACCTCGGCCGTTGCTTTTATACAAACCCAACAGCCACCAACAAAGGAGGCGGACTTTATGACTCTCACTCTTCGTTTCTTTCGTTTCTTCGTCTCCTTCGGATCTTTTTTTATTCTTTGCTTTTTCTGAAATTTTTTTGTCCCGCGATTAAAAATAAAAAAAAAAAGAAAAAAAAAGAGAAAAAAGAAAAAAGCCTCGGCTCGGCAGAAAGTTTCTCCTTTTCCGGCGGTTTTTGCTTTTTTCTTTTTTTGTGTTATTTTTTTTATTTTTGATATCTTGGACTTTTTTCTAACGACGACGACGACGAGGAGTTGATATCCCAGGGTTAAAGACGAAGACGAAGAAGAAGAAGACGGGGAGTGATGTTTTGATAGGAATTGTCCTGGTCTACCTGATATAATGGCCGCTACCGCACAGCCGCCGGTGCGCTTCACGGGCCACGAAGGGCTTGCACTTCGCCTGGTTCTATCGACCATCACCGGACGAGCTATCCACGTCTCCCAGATCCGCTCTGCGTCTCTCAATCCTGGCCTCACGCCCTACGAGATCTCGTTTCTGCGCCTGTTGGAAGCAGTCACCAATGGCTCGCACCTGGAGGTCTCCTACACGGGTACCATACTGCTCTATAAGCCCGGCCTGATCACTGGAAGTGCTGCCGGAGTGGGCGCAAGTCGCGGCGTTGTTACACACGAACTGCCGGCTGGATGCACTCGCGGAGTGAGCTATTTCCTGCTGCCGCTGTGCCTGCTTGCGCCCTTCTCCAAGGCCCCTGTCAACGTCCTTTTCACCGGCGCTGGCGTCATCACATCCTCCACCCCGTCAGGTGACATGTCCGTCGATAGCGTGCGGACTGCTATTCTTCCGCTATTTGCACAGTTTGGTATCTCCAATAACGTCGAGCTGCGCGTGCTGCGGAGATCTAACCCGGGACCTAACGGTAGGGGCGGCGGTGGAGAGGTACAGCTTGTCTTCGGCCATCAAGTTCGACTGCCCAAGACCCTGCATCTCTTGAACCCCGGCAAAGTAAAAAAGATCCGTGGAGTAGCCTACTCGACCGGTGTTTCCGGCAGCAATAATGCACGCATGATAGATGTGGCCCGAGGGATCCTTAACCCTTTCGTATCTGATACCTACATCTTCTCCGATGTCTCCTCCGCGCCCTTGGTCCCCGCTCCAGAGAGGAACAACCCTTCCGCAAAGAAGAAGATTGGCGTCGGCTTCGGCCTTTCTCTAGTCGCCGAGTCGTCGACCGGTTGTCTGTACTCCGCTGATGTAGCCTCTCCACCCTCTGGCGGCCAGCCTCCCGAGGACATCGGAAAACAGTGTGCATACCAGCTGCTGGAATCGATTGCCGCTGGAGGCTGCGTGTCCAAACCCGCCGCTTCGACTATGCTCACACTCATGTCGATGGGTTCAGAGGACGTTGGACGCCTGCAGGTCGGTCGTGACGTCGTCGCTGATGAAACCGTTGTTCGTCTTGCTAGAGACCTGAGCAAGCTTGGAGCCGCTGGATGGGGCGTGAGAGATGCTCCCGATTCCGATGACGGGGAGATCATCCTCAGTGTTGTTGGAAGGGGTATAGGAAACATCGGCAGAAAGATCGCCTGATGTGTACTCTTTTCCTTTCCCATCAGAGTCGTCGAGATCAACTTATCTTTTATCAATAAGCTGCTTGCTGCTACCCTGATGGTTACACCAGTGGACGTCGTCTCCTTCCTGCACTCACGGTAATGCAGGTGCAGACGTGCTCGTTAACGGGCCAACGCCCGCATACCACAACCTGGAGGACATCACTCATACGGACTGCCGGGCTCTATATTTACTATATCTCCCTACGAGGGAAGAGCCGACGCCAAACACACTGGTCATCCTATCCTCATCCCAGGTACTTCATCGCAGCCTACTTCTACTATCCCTTTGTCTCTCCAAGGGCATCGGCTTCCATAATCCATTACACGGCTACGTCACTACACGCAATTATATCCCGCTGTGTATTTATGAGATATCCCATGACATATTTTTGCCTCCATGGCTATACGGCTTATCCAACACCTTTATGGTCTCTTCCAGCGCCTAAGTTGCCGTCACTATGTACAATAGCTAGCACCTGGTCTACTGGATCTATCAATACAATATCCTGTTCTACCATACTCCTAATACATGTTTCAACCTGCTCCTGCTCCTACTCCTACTCATTCCCTCCTACCTCTACACCTACTCCCGTCGTCGTTACCCTATGATTATCCCCTATTCTCAACTGCCGCCACCAACTAGATTCCATGAGATTCTAACTGGTGTCATCAGCTGGACATCAACCACTGGTTCAGCATCCTATTTAGGAATACATGACGCCAGTTCCAGATATTCAACAAGTCTGGGGCAAAATGCTGTCTATTTAAACCCCATCTTTTCCTCTTTCCCTTCCTCTTCCTTTCTTCTTTTTTCCTCTTTTCTCGTCTCCATGCTCCTGTGTGTGTTGTCGCCCACCCACTTGCTTCACCTTCTTGCTAATCCGCACACTCGTCAATTGGTGTGCCCGTGATATCATATACCGTACATATATTTTATCACGTATACCGCCTGTCACTGCCAGTATGGCATACACGCAAATGTACATGAGTGGGCCAACCCACGTCCTGCCCACGATCGGTTCCCTCGCCGACACAAGCCAACAAACCGAGGACACCACCTTTTCCGACTTCCTTTGCTCTACCCCAGAGGCGGAGTCGATCCGAGCTGCTTTCGGCGAAGCAGCATACCAACAATATGTCGAACAGGCTCTCGCTAGCCAAAAGGCGAGAGCGGCCCGAGAGGCCGAGATTAGCAAGGAGTTGGCCTCCAAAAGGTCCACGATCCAGAGATGGATCACGAAGATCAGACACGCATACACCGAGACCAACTAAAAAAAAAAAAAAAGGAATAAAGGAGCGTCTGCCTTCGCTTTTAGGTATGCCACACTCTCCCCAAATCTCGGTTCTACTACCACTTGCTAACTGTTTGCTACCTCTCCTAGCGTCGATACACTGATCGCATAGTGGGAAGTTCGACACTTGCTCTGTTCGCACTGTATGCAGGCGCATATATACATTCTGGGGGGGAATAAAGGCGGGATCGATCCCCAAAACAAGGTATGTCTTGATTTACCATGCTCTTCTATCTTCTTCGAATAGTTGGATCTGACTCATTTTCTGTGTTGTGATATCATCGTCCTAGATATGCTTTTTTAAGCTTTACCGTCGACCCGAAAAAGCGGATAGCGGCTCATTACGCGTTCCACAGCCTGAGCCAAATCCAACCGTCATCGACAAAGATAGATCGGTCATACCAACACAACCACTGCTGATAGCTACCACGGCCAACCACCAGCCAACCGTCGTCAACGTCATCGTATGACACCAAGGGCTTCGAGGAATAGATGGGATGAATGTTTTATGAGCATATGACATTATGACGTTATGAATTTACGATTTGATGACCTTATGACTTTATGACTCAACTGTTTGGGGTGTTTGATTACTCGTCTGCTGGCAGTCAAAGATACGCCTAATGTTTATGTTGAGAGCCTGTATAATACTAGTGATGGCAGCCAAATATACCATACTTCATTTACTTGACCTAATTTCAAACATGCTGTGAATCTTAGAGTTTTATTTGCAACCGTATGTAGATGGTTTCAATGCTCATATATATAACAATCACTTATTAATGAACTATTCCAAAAGTATATGTCAGAGTGGCTGTTAAAAGGGCAGCTGGACAAAAATGTGTATCTAGCTGGAAAATCATGGTTTCTTTGGGGTCATATCTTCTGGGAAACAGTTATTGCCGTCTTTGTCAAGCAATGGGGCGAGTCCCGCATATTTGTTGATCCAGTTGATTACTGCTCTGTGCCAAAGCAAGGAGTTTTCCGGCTTGATGACCCAATGATTCTCATCCGGGAATGTCAAGAGTGCACTCTCTACACTACGCAGCTGAAGTGCGTTGAAAAGCGCAAGACCTTCAGCGATCGTAAGTCGGTAGTCACGCTCGCTATGGATGACGAGGTGCGGCGTCTTCCACTCATTAATGAACTCGGAGGGATCCCATTTTATCCAACTTTCAGGGTTCTTCCAGTAAATTCCATTGAGGTCATGAATAGGGAAGTATAACTCCTCAGCAGCCAAGGAGAATTTGGTACTGAAAATTCCATCATGGGTAACCAAAGCCTTGAACTTTCTTCCAAGCTCATGTCCTTGAATCCAGTTCATCATGAATCCACCGTACGATGCACCCAGAGCGACGGCCCGGTCAGTGTCCACGAAAGTAAGATTGTTTTCAATATGCTCGAAGCATTTAACGAGATCTTCGTAAGGTAGGCCACCCCAAGACCCTCTGATGGCATCAGTGAAGCCTTGTCCGTAACCGGTACTTCCAGTGGGGTTTGGCGTGACGACTACGTAGCCCTGCTCAGCAAAGATTAGAGGGTTCCATCGAGTGCTCCATTGATCATTCCATGCTCCTTGGGGTCCACCATGGACAAGGAATGCCAGAGGATATTTTTTGCCTTGCTTGAAGTCAGAAGGCTTAATGACCCAAGCATGAACTGGGTGGTCGTTGGCGCCTTTCCACCAAGTCTCGCTGACCTGGGATGGCGCGAGACCAAAGGATGAGCCATTGTTTGTAGCCGATGAGATTTCTCTGGTTTCCCCTTGGTGTTTGGCTTCTACCAACGAGTATAGGCTGCTTTCCACAAGGCTGCTGCTTGAGAGGAAAAGGCCCTTGGGAGTGGAAGCCACATCCACAACTGAGCCGGTAGAGGAGATATTAAGCAGATTAGCGGTGGTCAAAGTCTTTGCGTCTCCCATTGGGACTTGGAATACGAGTCCCCGGCCTGTATCTTCTGCCTTGATTATAAGGGAAGAATCATCGTAAGCCCATACTAACGAGCTTGGGCTGCGGTCCCATGCGCCCATGTTGTCCTCGCTGGCAAAAAGTTCGATAGGCTCAGACTCCTGATCAAATACACCCTTGGCTATGACTACTCTGTTCTTATCCGATTCATATCCATCTTCTCGCATAGCAAGGAAAGCTAGTGTGTTATTGACCGGGGATATTACCGGGGACGTTAAGGCTCCCTCAAGTGATGTAGCCTTAACTACCTTGGCTTCAATGGGGTCGATAGATTCGGTCAGGGCAGCAAAGGGAATGGGGCACACATAGCAGACGCATTTTGTATGAAGAGCATCGTTAAGAGTAGGGTCTTTGCTAACGAAGACGACTCCTTTGGGGCAAATATCGAAATGGTCAGTTCCACCAAAGGGCAAAATTGGAGATTCGACACGCTGAGGAAGATTGAATAGCTTGAACACATTTTTCAACCCAGATAGGGAGTACTGGGATGACCCAGGCCCAGAAAGGGCAGACTTGCGTAATGTTCCAATCCATATTGTTTGCTTTTCGTCTTGGGTATATTCATCCCAGTGCCTTACGAAAAGAGAGGTATAGATCTTGCCGGAGCTGACTGGTTTCTTCACATTGGAAGGGTTGAAGAGTGTTCCGTCCGCGTTTGCCTTACCACTAACAGCAAAAGCAAAGTGGTCTTTCGATAACTGAGTGACTTTGAGATTCGATACAGTGCCAGGAGTCACACCGGCAACATAAGGCTTCGAGTCACCCGAAACCTCGGTGACAATGAAGCTCGTATTTCCGTTACTCTCCTCCTTCAACCAAATCAACTGGTTATCACCAAGCCATTGCGGACTTCCACTGTATGAATTGGTAAGAACCCTGGTCTTTTTCGAGGCGAGGTCGAGTATGATTAGCTCCGTGTGTGATGAATGGGATTCGAAGCTATACGTTGATTGCGTATAGGCCAAGAGCGTCCCTGCTGAGTTCGGGACGCATGCTGAACGGCGGGGTGCACTCAAGAGGACCCTGAAATCTGTCAATACTTATCATAATCATAAAAGAATTATATGGGTGTCAGGCATACTCTGGGTCAAACTTGGTCTTGTGTACTGTCATGTTGCTGGATGTGGTCCAGCGTGAGGGCAATATAGCTAATATGCAGTCGAGAAAGAGCCAATCACAAAATTAAGCTGCCAAAGAGTTATCTAATATCAATTTTCACTATATCAAAAGAAAGCGATATCAAGGCAAGAGAAGAGGCGTTGGATGTTGTTGATGCCCGCTTCAGCTTGTTATAGAGAGAGAGGGAGCTTCTACCTGGGAACCTTGGGAAAATGCGGGGGAACACGTGACCCGGCTGTCGGCCGCCGGCAGCAACCAAAAGTTGGACATCAATTTGCTTTTTGGGTAGACAAATTGATAGATTCGATTTGGTAGGAGACGAGACAAACAGGGAGAAAGAATTATATTGCAATCAGTTATACATACATGCATGAGTTTTTGAAATGAATGCCAAAAAACCAACACCTCGAGAAGGAGAGATAAAATGCAGCAGATTTATCGCACATCTACTCTTCGTCTTCCTCATCTTCGTCTTCGTCTTCATCCTCATCCATACCCTCGGCAGCTGTTATCTTGAAGGTAGGGTCTTGGTCCACTCCTACATAACTGTCACTCATGATATAGAGGGTCAACTCATGCTCTCCAGGGCTGGGTACGACGTATTCTAGCTTCATCTCCAGCTTCCGTCCAACAGTTACCCTCTTGAGCGAGAGTAAACTGTTCGTTTTCTCCTCACCAACCACAAGCCACCAATTCTCCATTTTCTTTGCAGGATAGAATGGAGCGGAGACCGTGGTATCTGGCTCCTCATCTTCGTCTAGCTCACGCTCAATCTTCACTTTGAGATATGCAGGTTCACCGGCAGTGATCTCCTCTGGGTCGAGCACAGTAAAGTCAAGGTCCAGGTTCGGGTATTTGTTGTTGGTAAAAGCAGCGGCCTGAGCGAGCTGTTTATTATCAAGGCCGAGACGCTTAACAAGGGTGCTGTAGTCCTTGTTCTCCGATGGATCCATAGCCTCCATAAACTCAAAGATGTCACGAATCCTAGTATAATCGTTAGCATTCTACAAATTCCAACATGCGACAAATTAAATGGGACATACTTGAACTCGTTGGCAGCTTTAACTGCGTTTGGACCAAAGTGGGGAATCTGCATTAGCGGACTATCCCTGTCCCACATAGATTGGACAACCATCTGCGACATTTCCATAGCGTTCATGGCGTTCAGATGGCCCTTGGACGAGAGAACATCGACACAGGCACTGAGGAGGTTAAGGATCTTGCCCACAATAATTTCCTGGTCCTTTGCAAGGTCAATTGGTAGTTGGAGACGTGAAAAATGAGCTTGGAGGAGAACAAAGGCTTTGAAATGTGGAGAGTCGAAGGCAGGCTCGGCCATTTTGACAGGTACTCGGTCGTAAACTCGGCGAAGAATGTAATCTTCATGACGTCGTACTTGAATAGACTCAAATTCTGTGGCAGAAGTGACAATTTCAAGCATGCCCTTAAGCTTGGTCCTAGGCGAGAGCGAAAGAAGGAAGGTCTGCATAGTGATAAAGGAGATGTTATAGTAGGCACCAATCATGGCAGCATTCAGAGGAGAAATATTTTCATCTTCGTCCATGTCAACAATCTGTGCTTCAGCCAACTCCTTGAGTGTGTTTTCAACAAGTTCTGATAAGAAAGTGCTCAGTCCCTCGTGGCTAACATCAGTAAGGCCGTAATAGCTCGGGTTGGCAAGAAGTCGTCTGTAGAAATACGAGTAAGTCATCCAGTCAACAGCGTCTTGGGTAGATGTGATCGTTTTCGTGCTGATTTCCGTCACAAATGCATCATGAAGATACAGTTGAAGATGACTTTCCATCGGTAGCGCCTCATTGAGGAATTTTTTATAATATTCACGCTTTACGGCAGGGACCATTAGGACACCTTTGCCAATTCTATCCTCACGAGGCCGCGTGGCTTTTCCAAACATCTGGAGAATCTCGCTAATTGGGTAGTCGAGATATCGGTGTTCCCGTCCATCAAATGATTGCGTTCCCATGATGATGACGAGATGTGCCGTAAGGTCAAGTTCCCAGCATACATCCCGAGAAGCAAGCATAACTTGAAGAGCACCGATCTTGTAGAGATGTGAAACAATTCGTTTATCGCCTGTGCTCAAGGCCTCGTGGTAATAACCAATGCCATGAGATATCGATTCAGCCAATGCTCTCTCCTCGATCCGGTCGAGTAGAGGCGCTATCTCATCAATATCAGCGTGCAGAAATCGGTCTTCATTGTCACTAGCGACGCAGGCAGTGAAAATATCCAGAGCACTCGATCGAGCTTGTTTGCGACTGGGTACGAATATCAGTGCAGGCTTGTCGGGTGAAAGTTGCAGAATGGATAAGTACGCAGGTTTGGCCATGGCGAGCATAAGGGATGGGAAATGGGGTATCGTAAAAGATTGAATATGCAACTCCAGGGGAACTGGTCGGACATGAGGGCTGAAGTTGAAAATGGTATGCTTTTTTGCTCCAAGCCATTCTCCAATATCACGAGCATTTGCTAATGGAACGCTAAGCCCGACTATCCGCAGTTCTTGTTCGGTCTGAAGAGATATGTAATGCATTCGTGACACGATGACTTCATATACATAGCCCCCTTGTCCTCCAAGAATGTTGAGGTCATCCGCAACGAAGAGCTCGACAGCTTGCACATTCTTGCGCCTCTGCCACTGTCGAGAGATGACGTCCCATTGCATAGGTGTTGCAAGGACGAGATCTGCTCGATCGAGGATCTTGAGGTCGGCGGTAGTCTCCCCGGTAAGCTTCTGGATTGACTTACCGCCGGCAACATTAGCCAAGCGAGCGGTCCAATCAGCAAGTCTCTGATCCACAAGTTCCTGGAACGGAGCGATATATACTGCCTTTCTTGAATCTTCCTTAGACCAATGCCTAAGAATAGCGAATTCGGCACATACTGTCTTTCCGCTCCCAACAGGGGCACCAACGAACACGTTGTCGTCAGAATCAAATAGTGCCTTGAATACTTGGGTCTGGACTTTATTGAATTTCTCCCAGTTGGGATATAGGCCTTGGTAATCTGCTCGCCTCAAAGCTTTGACGGGAACAGGCTGCATATCCAAGAGTGGAGTATGGGGTGGGAACTTTTCGGGAAGAATCAACTTTTGGAAAGCAACGGCAACCTTGGTTTCTGAATGTGTCCACCGATCAGAAAGCAAGGTGATGAAATAGTTGGGTGGCATAGGTTCAGTGATTGGAACAGTAAATTCAACCAGATGTTCGTTCATCTCCGAGATTGCATATTCTTTCCTCAGGATAAACTGGTCATAGAAAAGAATGTCTTCTCCGTCACAATCCTCGACAATAATCCAGAATGACTCTGCATTTCCATGCAGCGAATCGTCCCAGGTGAAATTAGGTGTGATGGTCAACTCAACGCGGAGCATCGAGCGAGTCATTGGCTGTACCTGCGCCTGCAGTTCAAGTCGGGGGAACTTTGAGACAAGGTCACATACGATACGTCCAGCTTTAGGGATACCTAGAAGCTCACCCATTCGTGGCGGGTCTAGGTCGAAGTAACTGGACCACGGGACGTCAATTCGTTCAGCCTTCTGCATAATATCTCTAGGGCAGCTTGGAAATTGGCGGAGTGGAGTCATGGTTGGCCACATTCGCTTTTCAGCCATCTTGCAGAGATCCAAAGCTGTTTTTGCAACAGATGACCAACCCTTTCGAAGAGTAATCTCGAAGATGGCACGCAGGATTCGACCAGCAGATTGGGTGACATACACCATATCAGCCATCAAGGCGAGTCCGTCTAGCTTTAGGCGTGAAATAAAAGCCTGAAGCAGCACATTAATTTTAGCGTGAGGTTCCTCGATGCTCTCCTTCACAGGAATAGGGACTCTGCTTAACAACTTTGCTAACTCCAATTTCTCGTCTTGTCGAACAGGAATATACTTGAATTCCTCGCTCAGAGAGAAAATGCGGAATAAGTCAATGGTAGAAATCATGGGCTGTAGATGGTGGTTGTACGTTAGCATTGAGCTGTGGGAAATATAATAGTGAGACGCGATGCGTCCGAGCTCTGTGGCCTGGAGTTTGCCGGTTTTTCTATCGTATTTGACGAGGTTTGATTTCTCCAATATCATTGCCGCAGAGTGGATAAGATCTACACGGCGCTGCTCAAGGGAGGTGTCATGTTCATAATCGGCGCCAATGCTATAAAGTCCAGGAGAACGAAGCATTCTGACGAATAAATAGGTGTAACCTAGCCATTCCATGCCTTCTTCACGAGATCGTACATTTCCGAGGACAATCTCGGCGTTGAGGTTATCGGCAAGTTTACTCATAAGCTGACTTTCAATGGGTAGCTGTTGGTTGAGTAGTGAAAGGTAATACTGAAGTTCGCCCTGCGTGGTGATTATGATGCCTTCACCAAATGAATCGTACTGAGGTCGACCTGCTCGCCCAAGCATCTGAAGGACATCTTGAGGGCTAAGCTCAACCCAACTGCCTTTCTCGGGAGAGTATACTTGGGTTCCCTTAATGATAACACAATGTGCGGGCAAATTGACACCCCACGCAAGTGTAGCAGTGCAGACAAGGACTTGCAAACTACCGTCTGCAAACAGATCTTCAACAGACGTTCGATCCGCTTTGCTCATTCCAGCATGATGGATTCCAAATCCGTAAGGCATCAGGTCTCTCAGTCCAGGATCATTCACTGAATCAGCCTCTTCAGCTAAGATAGCACGGCTGGCCGCATCACTTCTTAAAATCTGGCCAATCGTTTCCGTCTCAACTGCCTTGTCTCTGATATACCTTGCTGTTTTGAGAGTTTCCTTCCGTGAATGGACGAATATCAGCATTTGATTTTTGTTGGCGCCCACTTGATCAAGGACTTTGGTGTAGCAGATATCGTTCATTGTTTTCAACTGCTTAATTGCCTTTTTGTCTGTAACACCAATAAATTCTTGTTTCAATGGGCATGGCCTAAAAGTGCCATCGAAATGAAACAAGCCGTGGATAGGGTCAACGCGTAGGAAACTGCCCACATCACGATAGTTGGGAAGAGTCGCACTAAGTCCAACTAATCTGACGGGCTCTCCGGTCTGCTCTGTCTTTCGTATCGTTCGGCTGACTATACTTTCCAGCACAGGACCACGTTCATCGTGAAGTAGATGAATTTCATCGATGATAACGAGCCTAACTAAGCGAGTATAGCTTGTATCGGTTGCTTTTCTTGTTATGATATCCCACTTTTCTGGAGTTGTAACAATGAGCTGGGTATCTGCTATCTGCTGTTTGGTTAACTGACGGTCACCGGTGAGCTCGGAAACTTTGATGCCATAATGTTGAAGACGCTTTCCAAAGTTTCCTACTTGCTCCTGGACCAAAGCTTTCAATGGAGCTATGTAAATGATTTTGAAGTCGTCAAGCATAATTTCACCAGTTTCCGGGTTTCGGTTTTTACCAATTTCACGAAGCATCGTAAGCATGGCGACGTTGGTTTTACCGGACCCAGTGGGCGCGCAAATCAGCATGTTGCCGTCATCATTGAAAGCAGTAGGAAAACATTTCGATTGAATCAAGTTCAGTTTATCAGTGTTGCCGAAACCTGGTCGAGACCAATCCGGAAGTTCAGTGATTGGTATCCTCCGAATGTCATCATCACGTCTAGGTTTCGGTGCAGGAACATGAATCTCTTCATAGCCCTTGAATGTTCGCTTCGTGGAGCCTTGGGGGAGTTTAACATTAGGATTGGTCATTAGATGGTTGCCCTGATCAAAAACCAAATTCTCAAGGTTGATAACCTTTGATGGAGGAAGTCCACCGACCATAGTCCTTGGTTTAAAGTCAGTCCCTTCCTCTTTTTTGGTTACGGGGGTATCGACATCCATGGAGTCAACTTCCATCTTTTTCCTGGGACGCTCTGAGGCGCCTTGGGCCTTGCCAATGAGTTCATCGAGGAGGAGTCGGTGTCCGCTTTCTATCATCTGGTTTTCGATGAGATGTCTGGCATCAGTATTTTCAGCCTCCCTTCGCCACTTTGTCGTCCAAACAATTCTATCACGGTTGAGGACCAAAGTTCCAACAAGCTCAGGATGGTCATAGTCAAACAGTTCCATCAGGTCATTTTCAACGTCTCTCAATGGCTTGGGAGTGCCATCATCTGACTGTTCGCTCATCAAAGCAAAGGCTTCCTGAGCCTTCTCGTGTTGTATATGGGCATCCGAGTAAATATTTCCAATCTGTCTTTGTAACCAGTACGCATCAATCTCACGAGCGGGCACAATTTTCGTGCTGGCTTCGGATTTTCCGGCGGCAGCCCCAGCTCCTGCATCAATGATCATATCTTCGTCCCCCATTCCCATCACATCTTCGGGTATATTCCGTGCAGCTTCACCCTCGTCGGCGGGTCCCTCATCAGACATGTCTTCATCCTCACTGCTCTCTCCTTCGTCTCTAACTTCTGCGTCGGGTCGCATTTCATCCTCATCTTCATCGGATTCATCGAACACGACAGCCACACCCTGACGTTCATCTAGCTCAGCACCATCCTCCCCTTCCGCTCCGGCGGCATTCACTTCATCCTCGTCTTGAGCGTCGTAGTCTGTTATTTTCTTCCCGAGGTTTACCAACTCATTGAATTCTTTTGGACCCATAGTAACACCTAAAAGATCGTCCACTTCTTTTTTCTTATCGAAATCTTTCATGTTCTCGTCCTTCAGGAGTTCTAAGATGGCATCTGCAGCGCTTCGAATGACATCATGTGGTACATCTCCCAGGTGGCTTGCCGTTGTTGTCAATATCAAATCGTATGTAGCTTGAGTTGCAGCCGTTCGCGGTCGGTATTTGAGACCTTCGATGAGGGCGTCTGCGGCGGACAATATCCCAACACCTCGAAGTTGTGCCTGCTCTCCTCGTTTCCTCTTGCGCTGTTCCCGCTTCAATACATCTGCACCTTCTCTTATCCCTCCGCGCTCAATGTCTTTTGGGGCAGATGCTTTCTTCTGTTTGATTTCCGGACGCATGGCGTGAACGCCCATATCCTTGATACTGAGGCGGCCCGCCAGGGACTCTGGGTCACCCGTAACCTCATCAGCACGGCGAGTAACAAACCGGCGATCCGCCTGGAGAACCAGGTTGGACATCGCCGAGTACTTGTACTGCGCGACATTATTGGGGTCCGCCATCTTGGGGGTAATTCGGTGGTCAACAATCCCGTTTGAAGCTCCGTTTTTACTCGTTTAAGAGGCCGAATCGATACCCTAACAGCATCAACCTGAAAACAAAGACTTATAACTGCAACCCATCCGTCGATAGAAGAAACCCCGGGAATAATTAAAAAAGGACGGAGGTAGAGGTTTGTGATTGATATCTTTCTCTCGAAGCTTGCAAATTTCAGGTCGAACCGCGTCAAAAGCTCGAATTTTACATAAGCACGATAAGCTTCCTAGAAATTCTAGAGTTAACGTGGTCATGTGATAGAAGACGCGCCAAAAAGAGAAATTCGCGACATCGAAAAGTCTACAATATAAGAAACCAGTGACTCCATGATCGGGACGTACGATGAGGCTTCTAAGCACTCGAGGACGTATAGTAAGGCCATTTATATACCCTAGAAGCTCCATTCTTACCGAAAAACGTGGCTTTTTGCAAGTTAAGGCCATAAACCCAATCGTACCATGGCGCGGTGCCAAAACGAAGTCGGCGGCAAGACTGTCGGATCTTGTTCAAGGTCCCCTGGAATCCAATAAACCCTTGGCTCCATTTACCGATGATGTACCGCAATATCCCACAGTTATCCAGGGAGCTAAATATAATATGCAAAAGTTTCCTAATTGTGTTCTGCTCACAAGGGTTGGGAACTTCTATGAGGTAAGGCCCTTTTAAGCTTCAGTCCAACATGCGATCCACGGATTTTATAGCAATGACTAATTACATTAGTAGCTTTATTTCCATCAAGCTGAAGAGTATGCCAGTTTGTTGAATTTAAAATTGGCATACAGAAAAACGGCTGGTGGCCCTGTTCCAATGGCTGGCTTTCCCTATTTTCAATTGGACCGCTTTCTCAAGATTTTAGTTCAGGAGATGAAGAAAAATGTGGCTATTAGTGAAGAGTTTGCCAATGATGCAGCTGCAAAGGCGAAATCTGGTGGACTAATGTTCGACCGCAGGGTTGCTCGTATAGTAACCCCAGGCACATTGATTGACGAAAAATTTATTGACCAATATCAAAACAATTATCTTCTCTCGATACATGTCGATCCCAATCTCACATCTTTGCAGTCCAGCACAGATGGTCAAGCAACCCGAGGACAACTTCATTGCCTTCCTGAATCCGACATAATTGGCCTCTCGTGGCTGGACTTGTCAACTGGAGATTTTCTAACCCAGATTACCAGCCCCCAAATGCTTGCTTCGGCAATCACACGAATAGGAGCCCGTGAAATCTTAGTCGACCAATGTATTGCGGAATCTCTACGATCAGAGCTAGAGGCATTGGTTGTCCAGGAACACCAGCCGATTACATACTTTAAACGCCCTAAAACTATCCAAGCATTATCAGAGTGGAATTCTAGTTTCGATTCCCCGATGACTTCAGAGGCTGCTTCTATGTTCACTCCACAGGAGGTATCCGCCTGTCACCTGGTTCTAGAATATGCCAAGACACAGATGAAGGAGACAGATGTGAAACTTCAGCCACCACGCCGAAAATTAGTTGAGGACTCGATGTCTATTGACCGTAATTGCCTAAGGGGGCTTGAAATACTGGAAACAGCAAGGGACGGGTTTGGTAGAGGAAGCCTACTGCATGCGGTACGGCGAACTTCAACAAGCAGCGGTGCTCGTTTGCTAAGGGAACGATTGAGTAAGTTGTCTATTTCTACCAAGTCTATATCTTGTCTAATTTAGCGTCTATACAGCCGCACCGTCTGCCTCACTAGGTGTTATAAATGAGCGTCTAGATCTAGTTTCTCTTCTCCTAGAAGATGAAGATTTACGCGAAAACATCATGAGATTATTGAAACGTAGCTATGATACCCAACGTCTAGTGCAGAAATTCTCACTCGGAAGGGGCTTACCAGATGACCTTATATGTCTTTCACGAGCCATTCATGCTTCAAAGGAAATTAAGTCGATATTGGAACAAAAGTTCCCGGCTGTAGAATCAAAAACTACAGCTGGAGCCGATTTTAGCAGTTATATAAGCATCCTACCATTATTAAACCGGTTCAGCTTGCATGGCCCAGGAGAATTATCACAGAAGATACAGGATTCGATTGATGAGGAAATGCTTCTACAGAAACAACGTGTGGAAGAGGATGCAGCCGCTGATGATTCGGCCCTTGCCCATGACGTCCTAATAAGTGAGGGGTCAGCCGCAGACCTCAATGCCATGCCAAAGAGGGTCAAAGATTCGAAAGGAGACGGGTCAAAGGGGGCAAGTGGGCCTGACTCCCCCAGTGACACCGCCTGGATTATGCGTCCGAATGCTAGCAAGATCCTAAAAAATCTACATGATGCTCTTGAAAGCCTTTACACCGAGAAGGCTGTACTAACCAAAAAGCTCCAGAAAGCGTTAGACACTGCACAGCTAAGTTTAAAATGGACACCTGGTCTTGGTCATATTGTCCATATCAAAGGAACCAAAGCAATGAAGAAGTCACTGGAAGATCTAGGAGTAACACGTACTGTCTCCTCGTCGAAATCGACGCGATCGTTTTATTTACCATCTTGGACCCAACTTGGTGCTAAATTGGAAAGCATGAAACAACAAATCAGAGTTGAGGAGCAACACATTTTCAAGGGGTTACGGCATGCAGTGATTTTGAACCTCGTCAAACTCCGCCGCAATGCAAGCGTTTTGGACGAACTTGACGTTGCATGTTCCTTTGCAACCTTGGCCAAGGAGCAAGGGATGGTTAGGCCGATTGTTAACAATGGTTTAAGTCACAAAATAATTGGTGGTAGGCATCCAACAGTTAAACTCGGAGTTGAAGAACAAGGCCGCCACTTCGTCAGCAACGACTGCTTCGTGGGGGATAAGGAGCGCATTCTACTTATTACCGGGCCCAATATGGCTGGTAAAAGTACATTCCTTCGACAAAACGCTCTAATAACTATCCTTGCCCAAGTGGGTTCTTATGTTCCCGCCGAGTACGCAGAGATAGGACTTGTGGACAAGATATTCAGCCGCATCGGAGCAGCCGATGATCTATTTCGCGACCAATCAACCTTTATGGTTGAAATGCTGGAGACTGCATCTATACTAAAACATGCTACTCCTCGCTCGTTTGTAATAATGGACGAAGTTGGCCGAGGAACCACCCCGGAAGACGGAACTGCAGTAGGATTTGCCTGCCTGCACCACCTGCATAATGAGAATAAAGCTCGCACTTTATTTGCGACTCATTTCCATGCGTTGGCGGACATGACGGCGGATTTCGAGCACCTAGGCAGATATTGCACCGACCTGAAAGAGGATGCTTCCGGCAGTTTCTCCTTCATTCACAAATTGAGGCCTGGTGTTAACCGACAATCCCATGCACTAAAGGTTGCTCACCTTGCCGGCTTGCCTCAAAGTGTGATCGATGTTGCCAAAGATGTGATTCAAAAAATGCCAGCTATGGAAACAGAGCTTGGGCATCAAGTGGAAGAAGACTATCGTAAAGCGGCCCATTCGTCGTCTTGATAGTGCGTTGGTTGTTTCATAATTCTCCTTCCCTTCGATTTATCTCTTTTCATTTTGGTCTTTCCCGCTCCTGAACCCATGTTTAATGTAGACTTTGATACCCGATACTTAACCAAATATCATGAATTTCCTATCTTTACTTGCTTAATATCAATGTATATAAGTGATACGTTATATGGATCTATTAACTAATAATTTCCTCCGTCTTAAACTTAGGATGTAATTAGTGTAAGAATGTTGTTAGTAGGCAGCTCGGCCTGACACTACAGCTTCGCGACCACCCTTGAAGAGCGAGCATCAGCCTCCACAACAATGCCATCTTCCAAACCAATGAGCTCACAATCGTCACGATCAATTCCATTTACATATTGAACGACAACAAAGTCTATCCTCTGTCTCCCGATAACCACCATAGGAGCGTGCCATGATCCAGCTGCATAAGTCACAGCCTGACCAGGCTTGGCAATAAATGCTTGTATATTGTTAAGATCTGGAGGATCGCGTATTGATGTTGCTGAATCCACCTGGCCTACTAGAGACGGAGCAACAATGACCAAATAGAAGACGTCTTCGGTCATGCTATCTCGCCTCCCGGCATGATCACGATTTAGACTCCGTGATAAGGGTATGAATGACTGTGAAGTGTATGGATGCCTTTCGAGAAACTTTACGTCAAATAATCCTGATAGATTCTGGTTCCATAGTCCTGAAAATCCCTTGGATGAAGAGGAAGGGAATAGAGATAGAGGAGCGCGCAACTCCCGGGGGAAGCATGAGAACATGCTCATGCGAGCTTCCCCTTGCTTTGAGCTTGTTCCATACGAATCAGTTATAGGTGATATCGGGCTCCATTTCACAGCAGATCCTTGATTTGCGGATTCAGCGGTGCAGTCAGGAGCCTTGAAGCCGGCGATAGAACTCGGTGGAGCGTTCAATGTTTCGGGCAACGGTGCTTCGATTGCTGTCCCGAACGGCTTAAAGCTTTTAGGAGTAAGAGGCGAAGCCGGTACTCGAACCGTAGGTGTGAAAAGGAGTGCAGGAGCCATAGGAGGAGGATAGGTATAATCGAACGAGTGTACAAAGAGCTGCTATCAAGCACTCATTTCTGTGCAGCTTCAACTTTGCTTTAAGTTGATGTTTGCTCTTCCCTTATCGATAAACTTTCTGCTCAACCGAGGTCCAGGCCTTAATTATGCCAAGCCTTGAGTTAACCAATTAAATCACGGTAATTCTAACCAATCAGGCAAGGCTACTGCGTCTGACTAATAAGGAAATCCCTATTGGCCATTTTACTATATATCTTCATCTTACCATCAACGAGATTGATAGCTTCAGAGCGCCTCCTGATCTATATATGATTGGGAAGGAGGGAGATACACGTAAAGGAAGATGAAGCAGTTGAGTAGCCGAAGACACAGAGCTCTCCCCGCATCCCCATGGGCCGAAGGTGGCTAGGTTACGCACACATAAGCCTTCACCGACCTTGATTGGCAAGCGTACCGACCAAGTACCTGTTCGTCAGGCTAGAGTGCAACAACAGCGACATGATCGCCGAGCGGTACCTATTCAAGGAACCAAGGATGTATCTATCCCGTGTTATAGGCTCTCCATCCCCGCACGGGAACCCGCTATGGCACGCCTTTACACGCAGTTGGCAGCGCGGCGAGCTCCGGCCGGGGTATAAGAGAGGTCGTTCCCAGCATCGTGAACAACCTCTCTCCCTTTTTCCAGATTTGGACCTGAGGTGGCGTAAAACACGCGAACAACTATCAACATACAGGTTAACAGAACATCTTGACAGCAACCATGGGAGCCGACGATAAGCCTAGTGAGTTTGGTTGTTTACTCTTGTCTCTACGTAAGCTTATATATGGCTCTTCAGGCACGTATCGCTACAACGAGGTTCCGGTCTATACCACCTCTAATGGCTGCCCGGTACCTACGCCGTATACAGACAAGAGAGAGAGTACAGCTAATGGACCCTAGGTTATGGACCCGGAGTCCTCGCAGAGGGTGGGCGAGAATGGACCTTTGCTTTTACAGGATTTCCATCTCATAGACCTGTTGGCACACTTCGATCGCGAACGTATCCCCGAGCGAGTTGTACATGCCAAAGGAGCTGGTGCCTACGGTGAATTTGAAGTCACCGATGATATCTCCGATATTGTAAGACAAATCTCAATTCTAATGAATGAACTAGAAACATGGTTACTAACAGGTTGAATTGCCAGACTATAATCGACATGCTCAAAGGAGTAGGCAAGAAGACCAAGCTGCTCACTCGTTTCTCCACTGTTGGCGGTGAAAAGGGCTCAGCAGACAGTGCACGGGACCCTCGTGGCTTTGCTATCAAGTTTTATACGGAAGAAGGAAATCTAGACTGGGTCTTCAACAATACGCCGATATTCTTTTTGCGGGATCCTGCCAAATTCCCTATCTTCATCCATACCCAGAAACGTAACCCGCAAACAAATCTCAAAGACCCAGACATGTTTTGGGATTATCTGTCTACGCATCAGGAGTCCGCCCACCAAATCATGCATCTGTTTTCAGACCGTGGCACACCTTATTCCTATCGCCACATGAACGGCTATTCTGGCCACACATACAAATGGATAACCCCAGACGGAGGCTTTAACTATGTCCAAATTCACCTCAAGACTGACCAGGGTATCAAGAACTTCACCAATGATGAAGCTAGCCGAATGTCCGCTGAGAACCCAGACTGGCATACCGAGGATCTCTTTAAAGCCATCAAGGCTGGCCAGAACCCATCTTGGACATGCTATGTCCAGGTCCTCTCCCCAGCCGATGCTGAGAAATTCCGATGGAATATATTTGACCTCACCAAGGTCTGGCCACACGGCGAAGTCCCTCTCCGCCGCATTGGCAAACTTACCCTCAACAAGAACCCCGAGAACTACTTTGCCGAGATGGAGCAAGCTGCCTTCTCACCTTCCCATGTTGTACCGGGCGTCGAACCGTCGGCTGATCCAGTACTGCAGTCCCGTCTGTTTTCTTACCCAGATACCCACCGCCACCGTCTAGGTACAAATTACACTCAGATCCCCGTGAACTGTCCTTTGAGGGTATATACACCTTACCAGCGAGACGGCCACATGTCTATTGACGGCAACCATGGCGCGAACCCAAACTACCCATCTAGCTTCAGGAAAGTGGCTTTCCGGCCTGTTCGTGCCAGCCAAGAGCACGAGAAGTGGGCTGGAGCTGTCCTTACAAAGCAAATACCCGTTACCGACGAAGATTTCGTGCAGCCGAGTAGACTGTGGGAAGTCATGGGCAAAGAGAAGGGGCAACAGGATAACTTTGTAGGGAACGTGGCCGGTCATTTGGCGGGGGCGAACGAGAAGGTCAGAAGAGCAACTTATGAAATGTTCCGTAGAGTCAACAAGGACCTCGGAGCCAGGATAGAGGCGGCTACTGAAAAGGAGGTATCTGCTAAACCACAGCCACGCCTTTAATTATGTATGTATTTCAGGCGTTTTAGCCCAGCGTGTAGTCCAATTGAAATTGAGATCATGTCAACATTTAAACCCGAACTTATAGCCCGAACAATTCTAAGCTAAGAAGCAAAATACTTCTATCTATCCAGTTAACAAACGATTATGGGTTTCGTTATCCTGATTCCTCTCAACATATGTCTTCCTCCTCGTAATCAAAAGCCCAATTAGGTAAGCTATGACAACAGTACTTGAGCAGGTAAAATGTCCGTAGGCGAGGATGCTTAGAAAGAGTATCTTTTGACCCATCATTACCTGTCATCACCTATCACTGTCTACCTAGGTGTGCGTTGTATAAATAAAAAATAAAAAATCAAAATGTAATGGGGCAAACCGGGATCGAACCGGTGACCTTCTGATCAACTAGGTGAAACCTTGTTCCTGAAGTTTTCTTCAGTCAAACGCGCTCCCAACTACGCCATTGCCCCAGTGCATGGTGGAGGTGGAGACTTTCTTCATTATGGCCAGGCTCTGCATCGAAAAGCCCATGGCTTGTCCTTTCCCATATCGCTTCCTCGCAGGATATAGCAAGAGAGCGTGGAGGCGACAGCCATATTTATCTGTTGTTTATTATATGTCTCATTCTCATTACAGGTTACCCTTCCAATAAGTGTCGAGGGTTCCTCCTAACTGGCTGATAGTAAATAGCTTGGTAATCCCTATCATAGAAGTACCGAGATAGGTATGTCGAGTCACATTGAAAGTTGCTGCCCGCAGAACAGCTATTGATAGATATTTTACTTGACTTTCGATAATCACTTAGTGCTGTACGAACAGCTCGGGCGGCAGCTAAGTGCATGGTGCTGAATTCGCAAGGAAATGCTAAAAGAGCGCTGTTTAAATGGCGCTATTATCCAAAGGTACGTTCGTTCTCCCGCATACGGTCGAATGTAATGGATTTCAAGCATCCTCACAACTCATTGATTACTAGTGTAATACATGGAGATATGCTCTCTTCCCTCATTCACAGCACGGTCACTTGCCTTTCGAGCGATCCAACGCACTCTGACGGCAACTTGGGAAAGCATCTTCTCTTAATCGATCCTGAGACCCTGTGGATGCTTCTAATAGTTCACACCTCGAGCATCTAACAGGAGAGTTCTCCAACGTGTTATAAGGCAGAACATAAGCGGATCAGATCACGATTCAAGTGGGGGCCACTCATCCAGAAGTGATGATACGAGGTCTCTTGCGAGACCGCCTGTATACATGAATAGCCTCAAATTCGTAGGAGGAAGAACCGGAATTCAACGGCTCAAAGCGAGGAGGAATTGGCTCGGCTTCGAGGGTCCGGGTATCACCTGGAAATTTTAGGCCCTATGCTTGATGCAGGCAGACATTGCATATGTTGCATTTGACGGGGAATCACTGGCTGGAGTAATTCGGCCCTACGACAGGCTAGTTGGGTATATCTTCAACGACAAACTCGAGGATGCACTCCTTTTTAGCCCTATCCCCAGCCAGAAGAGACATTAAAACCTATTCAGCGCCAAAAAACAGATATCATCTGTTAATAACGCTGACTCTCGAGTCCCGCTGGCGGTTGTTGTTTCCAATTGGCATGCTGATAGTCCGCGAATGATGCCGCTGAAAGGGAGAATCACATGATGCTCGGCGTAAAAAGCCCTGATCACACAAAACTCGCGCGCCTCTAGACTAATTTTACTCCCTAACATAGATAGACCCATACCGACAAAAATATAAGAGGGCAAAAAAGAATTGCTGACTGGGTATTGTCAAATGGGGCAAACCGGGATCGAACCGGTGACCTTCTGATCAACTAGGTAGAATACCTTGTTCCTGAAGTTTTCTTCAGTCAAACGCGCTCCCAACTACGCCATTGCCCCTGTGATGGAGTCGATCGGCCGGTGGGGATGCTAAGTGGAAATACTTGCATTTCCATGAGAGGTATGGCTGTCTTCCCCAGCTCATGACAGCTTGGTGGAGTGTTCATTGCAGATGGTGTTGTAGATCAGACCGAATGGATGACCGCTGGGCGTGGTCTACTGGAATATATGCCTTCTGTATGTTCAAGAAACACGCTGCCATTAACGGATTACCATGACTCTATCAGAATTCTATAGCGGAGGAAAGAGGAAGAGAAGAACTTGACATCTACCGAGCCACAACCATAGCAAAAGAAACAGCGTAATCCAAAACAAGAGACATAAGAAGGCCAAAAAAGAAAAGCCACAAAATTAAAACCTTGCTAACAATTGGTCATACCGTCCGACGACGAATCGTCGTGATGCCCTTTTTCTCTTGGCTGTTTTCAAATTAAAGGGGGCTCAAACAAGAGGTAGAAATACGCTGTCAGAATTCAGGAGACTTGTTTGTCCAAGAGTTGAAAGAAGATAAGAGACGAAAAGGGGGAAAGATATGGAGAATGCGACACAGAGACAGTGTATCGGAAGGTGTTTGTACAAAGAAGAGCATATAAGAAGAAGAGAGCAAATAGAAGGTGCAAAAGAATTTCTTCAAAGGGATAATTAGTCTTTTCAGTCATAGTAGCTTTTTTCGTTTTTGGTTGTCGTTGGCGTCCCTTTGCAAATCCGTAATCGTCGATATGTGTCCAAACCCCGTATTCGCGTTAATGTAAAAAAGTAGAGGCAGAAGGAATTAAAGCCACGTGTGAAAAGGATCAGGTGCTGCCACATTAAGTGCGGCCATACTTCGTCTTGCCGAAGGTGAAGGGAACGTATCGATATTTGATCATGTGTTGTATTTGTCGGCGCACTAATTCCCTCACGTTAGATCCGAGAGTGATAACTAGACAGACGCGGGAATATACGTACTCGTCAGGCAGAACAGGATCAGCCAGTATACGACCAGGATTGGCCAGAAGACAGGAATGTTGAACACCTGAGACCAGGTGCAGCAGAAGGCAAGGGTAACAGCCACGGTTGCCGAATGCCAGAACTTGAACTCCGGAAGTCTTCTGATAAAGGGACGGAACTCTTCGTCTTGGTTAGTAGGCAGAGATGCACCGGCGTCTCCCTCCTCTAGTCCGCTGTCCTGGGTAAGAGATGGGTCGAATTTAGGTTGGAGGAACGCGAGGAAGAGGTTGAGTAGGTAAATTCCTAGGGTGTAGGCCACTGTCGCAAAGGTCCGTCAGACTTGGTTCGGTAGCTAGAATACAGCAAGCGATAACATACCGATGTACCAGCCTTGCGCCAGCACTATTCTGAGGAAGAAAAACAAGAGCATGACGCCGGTTCCTATCCACCGGTACATGGTATATGGGGTCGACGCATCGAGATACGCTTGATATTGCTATTAAACATCACGGTTTCGTTAGCCACAAGTACGGCGCAAGTATAGACATGGCGACTAGAAAGTCCACGAGGTTGCATCGCTTACTCTTCTCAACTTCGAGGTTTGCGCGGAAACCGCTGTAAAGGGGCTGTTCTCTGGTTCCGGACGATCCATGGTGGTGGTGAAAGCGTGGAGGTATGGGCTGAGATGGGCAGCACTGTCTGTGTATTAAAGGGAGTTTTGTCCGCGCCTTTAGCTTGCGACGAGAAGACTTGGAAAGTGACAGCTTGACTGACGACAACGATGGTGTTTGATAAAATTAATATTAATCCTGAATACCTATCTTTTGGAGCAAATTTCTTGGCAGAAGCAAAGCCACAGTGCACGGTCCAGACGTGATACCGAGGCTGACACTCGCGCTAGTCCTAATATAACAAACCGATGATATAAGCATGGCTGAAGTGTCACGTGTAATCAGGTGATTCTATCTTGGCAGGTAACAACTTACAGATTTTAGGTTCGGGTAGAAACTTTGGGCACCTTTCAGAACAAAGCATATTCAACTCTTCTTGATCATCCATCGAGAATGACCCTCTAAGGCACAGCCAACCCAAAGAGATTAGTTTCAGATTAGTTATATATAACTCTGATAATACAACTCGTTTTAGTTCAGTGTGCGCGTTCCAAGTGAGTCAGGTTACATGGCAAAAAAGAAGTCCAAGGAGGCTGCAACACAGCCGCAAACAAACACAACTACGCAATCTCAGGGGAAGGCTGTAGCGAAGTCCCAGGAAACTAAAGGAAACGCATCATCACCGCCATCTCAGGCAAAGGTAACCGCACCGGCTCAGAAAAAGACAACAGCCCAGCCTCAGGAGAAGGCTGTAGCGAAATCTCAGGCAACTAAAGGAAACACATCATCATCACCATCCCAAGCGAAGGTAGCTACGCAGACCGCAAAACCTTTCCATCGAAAGGAGGTAAACAAGCAAATTCGCAACGATGTGTATACTATGTACGAAAAGAACCGCAGTGTCGATAAAATAAAGATTGCATCTAGCTATATATTTTTATACCCTGAGAAGGAATCATATATCCGCAACGTACTGGATGGGTAAGTCAGCCTCTTCATGGATATAGGGTAATATTTGCGTTTGATATGCCGTTAATAGATTTCCAGCTATGCTACAATTGTTAAAAAGAAAAACCCGACGCCCAAGCCTTCTACAAAGGAACCAAAAACTCAAAATATGGTACCTAAAAAGGAAACCCCAAAGGTTGAACAACATAAGCAAGCCCTTCCCAAGAACACGCAGTGCTCAACCCTGTTGAAGAAGCCCGATCAGACTGCAGAATGCTCTACTACTAAGTCCAGTAGCATAGAGAAGGAACAAAAAAATGTAGCTATACTGCATGGTACACAACATTTTATTATTGTTTACGGCTTCATGTGGCGTACAGAGGCTGATCTAGGTCATAGAGTTCACTGAATACCTTTCACACAAGGGCCCTCATAGCGAACCAGCTATTCATCAGCTGGAAGTTCCGAGCCTGGAAAATCAGATGCAATTTTTGAATTTAGACCATAATGAATCGATGAACGGCCATACAGCTCCTCGCCTACAGGAGGTGACCTTGCTGTCTCCTATCACCGAAGGCCACGGTCATAAAATGCCTCCTCAATTTGCGCTTTTAGGTCATCAACCATCAAAAATGTCTGCGGGTTTTGATCCTAGGGTGATGTTGAATACCAATATTCCATTTTCGGCGTTTATCTGCGGCGTTCAAGGAAGTGGAAAGTCCCACACGACTAGTTGCATAATTGGTAGTACCCCAGGCCTTTCAATTCACACAGTTAGCTAACTAATCTAAACGACTAGAGAACTGCACTTTCTCCCTCCCTTCTCTTGGGGTCCTTAAGAATCCGTTATCCACGCTCGTCCTACAGTTTAATGAGTACAGTTCGAATATAAGCTCTCAACCAAGCGAAGCAGCATTTCTTTCATCAGTGATGCCAGAATACCGCCAACATCTTCCTCAAGTCCCAGTTACTGTACTCGTGTCACCTTCTAATTTTTACGAGCTCAAGAAGTTATATTCTCAAATCCCCGGGGTTCAAGTCCTCCCATTCAGGCTACAGCCTCGACATCTAAGTGTCAGTACAATGCTGTCGCTTATGTCGATTGGTAAGGGTGATTCAATGCCCCTGTATATGGCCCAGGTGACTACGATGCTGCGTCAAATGGCAGAAGAAAACAAAGGGCCTTTTGACTATCTTGCATTTCGCAGGCGTCTAAAATCACTTGATCTGCAAAGGACTCAAACCCCTTTCCTTGAGCAGAGGCTTGACTTACTGGACTCCTTCCTCGACCTCAAGGGTGAAGTTAGAGAGAGCTATTTTGTTAATAATAGGATTACTATCTTGGACCTTTCCTGTCCCTTTGTGGATAAGAGTACTGCGTGCATACTATTCCGTATAGCTACTAGGCTTTTTCTCGACTCTCACACTTCAAGAGGCAAGATGATTGTTGCCGATGAAGCGCACAAGGTAGTTATATACACCCCGTAAACTTTGTGTACCTCCCTAACAATTAAATTATAATTAGTATATGACCGATGATACTCCGGCAACGATGGAACTCACTGAGGAGTTTCTAAATATAGTTCGACAACAGCGTCACCATGGAGTTCGCCTGGTAATCTCAACACAGGAGCCGACAATATCACCTCGACTAATTGATCTATGTTCAATGACAATAATCCATCGATTTTCCAGCCCTGAGTGGTATCAAAGCATCCGGAATCATATCACTATTGGTTATATGAAGGATAATTCTGCGCCGGAGGATGCTGAAGATGGTCTCTATCAGATATCCAATCTTCGCACAGGTGAAGCCTTGGTATTTGCGCCTTCAGCATATATTCTCGATGAAAACCAGTCGATGAGAGACACCAAACATCGAGCTTTTAAACTAGCCGTCAGAAAACGAGTAACTTGGGATGGAGGTCAATCGATTCTATCTGTCAAATGAAGGATTGTCACACACTATAATAGGCCATCAGCGTTGGAAGTACTAGATGGCCATGCGATTGCCAAAGTGAAAAGGATCTTTGAGACTTCTATACTCTCAAAATTGATGTTTATACAATAAGAATTCTATTTGCCTGAAGCTACATGCTACCCATCCAAAAAAGAGATCTAGTATCATTATTAAGTGTTAAGTTACCCAGCCAGGTAAGTAATATTATCATCACAGTATCTAGGTTCTCAACTACATGGCCCACAAGGCAGCAAGACCATGATTAGCAATTTAATAAATATACGATATTGTTTTATTGGAATGATAATGAGAACTAAACGGTAGTATTGAAATTTTATGGGGGTTTAAAAATGTAGAAGGGTGCCTCAGAAAAATATTGGTAGAGCGCTTGATTCGTATTACTAATCCAAGTCAATAGTATCACGTGATAAGCCATGAAAGCGGCTTGCGGCGGCTTTTCCATTTAGTTACCTCGGCGCTAGTGTTGGCGCGGGCAGGGACATTAAACACCATCATCGTTGAATTGGGACATACCAGGTACACATCGGTCAACATCAACGCTAGAGCTGTTTTTCTGTGTATAGATATCAATTAGTTTGATATATATCTCACATCATGTTTGCCAGACGCTGCTCAAGACTCGTGGCCTCGCAGACTGCCCGGCCTCTGCAGTCATACATCTCCCGCTTCTACTCGACCGGATCTCCAGCCTACGAGTATATCCTCACATCTACTCCAAAGCCTGGTGTTGCATTAAGTGCGCCTGACCATCCCTAGAGTAAAGATTGCGAAGACATTGCTGATTGTTTCTAGTCACTCTTAACCGACCAAAGGCCCTCAATGCCTTGTGTAGCCCACTCTTCAAGGAGCTTAACGAGGCTCTTACCAAGTATGACGAAGATAAGAGCATCGGTGCCATAGTTATCACCGGTAGCGAGAAGGCATTCGCAGGTACGTATAATGGATGGCCAATGGCCTATTTAGGAGTATAAGTTTCTGACATATTACTAGCTGGTGCCGATATCAAGGAGATGGCACCCCTTACCTTCGCTGCCGCCTACAACGACAACTTCATTGCCCCGTGGTCACACCTTGCCAACACAATCCGAACCCCCGTCATTGCCGCAGTCTCTGGATATGCTCTTGGAGGTGGCTGTGAGCTCGCTATGATGTGTGATATGATCTACTGCACCGACAAGGCTACCTTCGGACAGCCAGAGATCAAGCTCGGCACCATCCCCGGAGCCGGTGGTTCTCAGCGTCTGACCAAGCTTGTTGGTAAGAGCAAGGCCATGGAGCTTATTCTCACCGGAAACACCTTCAGCGGAAAGGAAGCTGGCGAGTGGGGAGTTGCTGCCAAGGTTGTTGAGGGAGGCAAGGATGAGCTTATGGAGGCTACTCTTGAGACTGCTAGCAAAATCGCTAGCTACAGCCGTGTTGCTGTCGTCGCTGCCAAGGAGGTTGTGAACAAGAGCCAGGAGCTCTCGTTGAAGGAAGGTGTCGAATTTGAGAGGAGATTGTTCCACGGCCTCTTTGGAAGCAAGGACCAGAAGATCGGTAAGTTTATTCCTTGGTGAAATCTGAACTAGTAGCTAACTTGAGATGAATAGGCATGACCGCTTTTGCTGAGAAGAAGAAACCTGAGTGGTCGCATGAGTGATCTGTGTATCAATATATATTATCCTAGAACGCGTTTATTTCGAGGTTTTACAGAACAGCGCAATACCATATGTCTAAAGAAGCCTTATTTCTCTAAAGATATTCAAGAAGCCTTACACAATTACGACTCCATTCAGCAATTGTCACAATTACCCTAAATTATTCTGGTATTTCTCATAGCATACATTTCCTTCACAATTACATCCATCCATTTTGATTGTTTCAGTGATCAACTCTATCCCGACGCAACCTTGTTGATGTGTTGGCAAGCTAAGCTTACTCGCTAAACTTGGAGGCCTTCTTGCTAACATCACCCATAGCTCCCTTTACTTTCTCTCCGAGAGTGCCGAGCACACCACCTGGAGATACAAGATCAGCAATTGAGCTCTCCAATCGTGTCAATTAAACCCAACAAACTTACCAGTCTCTTGGTTCTCGGGGGGGACGGCACGGCCAGTATGGCTTCCATACCCCTGCCTTCCATAGTCCTGGGTCATATAGCTTTGATCACCATACCCCTGATTCTTACCACTCATTCCAGGCATACCCTCGCCAGGATCATCAGTGGCCCTGGAAGTCTGATGGTGCTGGGAGGAAGAACCTGGATAAGGTCCAGTGGTTCCCTCATCATGCATGCCGCCCATTCCTCCTCCAGAACGAGAGGAATCCTCAACGCCTCTCATACCTTGTCCGCCTTCCAGGTTACGAGAGCCCGAGGAGCCCATGCCGCCGGCCTCGGCCTGGTCGTCCAAGTGAGTATGCTGGGCATACTTCTTGGACTCCCATCTCTGAGCCTGGGAGTTTGGGTCGGTAGACATAATGTCTTCGTTGATTTCTTCGGTGAAGTCTTGACCTCCCTGGGCAGTGCTACGAGTGGTGCGCTGCGAGCGGCGCTGGGAAGTAGCCCAGTTGTCTCCAATTCCAGACATGATGGTTGTACTAATATGTGTTTATTTCTGACTCTTCTTTGAATTGATGGGTATGCGGTATGAACTCTGATAGAGAGAGTAGAGATCGTATCTATGCCATTGTTATATACTATCACTCAACCAATGTTCGCCACAGCATGGAAACAAGTTCAATGGGTATGATATCATAGAGCCGATGGTAGATCAAAGAATAGCCAATTGAACAATCATTAATAGGTATTACTGGTGAATCCTGTTCGGCTTCTATGGCCAGCTCGCTCTAGCTGGAATGTGTCTAAGAGGTGGATTCGTGGCGAGCAAGTTGCTGCCAGTAATGCTGAGCTCCAAAGTTCCTCCCTAACTCACGGTACGTAACATGAACTTTCAACAGGTCGCTGTACCTTTTGGTCAATTCCTTTGTTTTTAGTTAACTCGGGTACATCGACGAGTAGTCAGCCATACTCTTGCCACTATGCTGGGGTAGTAATGTACGGATCAGTTCGCCCCAGAGGTTACTAGCAACAAATAGGGACGCTGGTGACATCTTGTTGACCATGAATGGAACATGTTGAAGATCGCAAGTTAAATCCCGGCCCATAAGCCGCGGAACCTTTCTCTCGTCATGGTGGTAAGGCCAGTTCCGTATGAATACGAATTATGGATCTATCGTCACTAATATGGCCATTCAGGAGTCAGATTTTGTGACCTACAGGGAAGTGCTCCGTATGCATGTCGTATTGAAAAGGTGGTCAAAGTGTCCATTAAGAAGTGAGAATCGCTGTCGCAATAACGCTTATTCCCAGCATCAGGCAGTCTTATTTTTAGCCGCATTCTGTACAATTGGTTACTTCAGGGCATGCTTGACGATGGAAGTGGATATAAACGTCTGTTCGAAGGATCACCAACTAAGATGAACTGGGATCCTATGTCGTGTCAACAGTGAGGACGACTGAATTCCGTGGTTGTATATTACGAATTGGCCTAAAGACGGATTAGTATTCACCCCAATAAAACTCCTGGAGGATGTTGATTTCAAAGCAGGCGAACATAGCCCTTATATCCCTGGAGGAAATAGATTGTACCCACGTTTTTACTGCTATGAACGAATTGTATATATAAGGCCAGGGAATTTCCCCCTAGGGCTAGTCTTCCTCAGCACTCCTAGGCAAAAGCGAAATCGAATACATTTCAAAGAGTATCAGTCTAAGGCTTATTTTATATCCTATGATGGCTTCCTACCTTGTTACCGGTACTTCGCGCGGCATTGGTCTTGCTCTGGTCAAAGACCTAGTTGCTAAGCCTGCCTCGGAAGTGTCTATAGTCTTCGCTGCTGCACGTACGAAGACGGATGCATTGAAAGAATTGATTGAGAATTCCGCCGGCCGCATCGAGTTTGTCTCTATTGATGTGACATCCGTTGAGAAAGTAAAGAAGGCAGCCGACCAAGTTGAGAAAGCTCTCGGAGGGAAAGGGCTGGACGTTCTTATCAACAATGCCGGCGTATTGAACTTCACTCCCGGTGGCATTGAGACTATGTGCGTTCTTTGCAAGCCTCGGAGTATCCTTCTCCTCTTTTTGTAGCTAGCTGATGAGTGTGTATAGGACCGACCTTGAGTGGACGTTCAATACTAATGTGGCCGGCACCCACCTTGTTACAAGGACATTCCTCCCACTTTTAAGGAAAGGTGCTTTGAAGCAGGTCTTCAACATGTAAGTGTACCTGGGAGAACATTAATAGTTTCCACTGGAGACTGATATTATATAGGTCCACGACCATGGGTTCCATTGGGATGGCAGCAAACTTCAAGCCTGCTCCTGCACCGGCCTATAAAATCTCCAAGGCTGCCCTTAACATGCTCACAGTGCAATACGCCCAGTCCCTCGAGGAAGAAGGGTTCACTTTTGTTGCCATCTCCCCTGGTGTAAGTAACCCAGGATTACCATACGTTTAGCACATCCTAACGTTCATGATAGTGGGTGAAGACCGACCTAGGTGGCGAACATGCTTTTTTGACCGTTAGCCAAAGCTCCGCTGCAGTGTTGAAGATCTTGTTTACCGCCACCAAGGCAGACAATGGAAGGTTTCTCAATGTCTTGGTCCCTGGCTGGGAGGTTACTGATGGCCCTGAGAATTACGACGGAGCTCAGCCTCCCTGGTAAATATTAGAGATGTAGAAAGTGTCTGGTTAAATGACAAGCTACCATACTTCTTTTTGTGTCGGTGACAATTTTTCAAAGCTAAATGTAGCTGCCGTGCAGGAGCTCCATGGTGGTAGGCCTCCTTTCCGGAATTTGGAAATTTCAATGCAGTATATACTGTTTCAATGGTTTCCTTCGAGATACCGTAGTTAAGCAGTTTTATAACCCATTGATCCGTTTTTGACACTTGACAGACATTACACCGTTTGGTTCTGCGCTGAAGAGGATGGCATGTTATATATTTCTCCCCGATTTTAAAGCCAAGATTCGCCCATTGGGATAAAGCCTGGAGGTGTAGATACATATCCTTTAAACTTATAGAGGGTGAAAATCCGGGTATTTAAGCAGACGCGTTGCAGCAAGGGGCGAGCTCTTATATAACTAAATGTTGGCACGCAATGCACTAATAATTACAAGCCAGGTGACTTGAAGCGAGGGGCTATCCCACATTTATTGAAGTTATTGATTTCCAAACAGGTGAACATACCCCTTAACATTCCCTGGGGGAACAAATGGTACCTCCATATTACTTTGTAATAGCTATGAATGATGTTGCTATGTAAGACCACGGGATCCCCCTGTAGAGCTATTCTTCATGTTAAATTATAACAGGTTTGGCGGGGCGAGTTCCCCAATCTTAACTTGCGACGGTGGACAATCGGATTTCAGCATGTTGCGGCACAAGCGAAAGGGGATAAACTCAAGATCGCTATCCTTTGCATCAGGTGCGGTCATTATATTGTTGCCGTGGGCCCAGAGGTGGAGCTTGCTTCTGGCGAGGTACACGGCAAGATTGATATTAAACCGGTGCAATTTATTGACATGGTATTTATCCAACTTTTGAAGCGTCAGAAAATGCTGCCTCTCTTGGTTTTCGATATGGAATATGATATATGCCCCTTCGAATCGATGAAGTGGTAATTGATTGATATGTGGCCAAGTTGGGATGCACATATGAAAACAGGCGCACCGGCTCTTCTCTCGCTTTTGGCTTGGGTGAACTCGATGTTTGTCCGCCCGAAGGCAGCTTGCCGTTGTTGCCTGTCCACTGTAGGAAGGCCACGGCACAAAATCCCGACCTGTAAATGCTTATCCAAAAATGTGGCCTCCGCCTCCCGTTTATTGGGGGCCTAATTCGGTTCATCCGTCGTCCAACCAGCGAAGATCAAGGCTAGAAAGTTCTCCATCTCTTGCTCGGTAACTGCAGCGCCGGGATCCAGATATTCCTTCGCGGCTGAAATATAGGTACAAAGTACTATTCGTTGCTGCTTGGTAAGGGAATCTTGGACAACATCGCCCTTTCGCTTTCCATTACACTGAAGTAATGTACGGTCTTCTTCGGGTTTTTTTGTACCTTGGACGTTGCTATCTTGCTTGGTTTTCGGCCATCTTCATGCATTCGATGCCATGCTCGCAAAATCGAGTATGCTCTATGCAAATCTTCGTTATTAGGTAGTTAAGAGGGTTGAAGAGATATCGAAGTCGAAGTATTTAGAACACTTCTGAATTATCTTCATGAGTAAGTTGAGGGTGATTAACACCCCTCTCAGATTTTCTCTTGCGGAAACATCACCGCCCACCGTGAAAGTAGTGTTAATGGTTGTCTAGTTCGGCTCCATGTTTTCCTGGTGGATTAGCTCCATCGCGATAGGATTGCCTTCGATACTCTCGAGCACTTTAACAATCGCCGAGAACGATGGATTACCAATCTTTTTTAACGGCGGACCGCATGGGAAATTTTAATATAGTTGGTATCTTCCTCCGTGGGCAAATGTTGGGCCATAAGGGACAAAACGGCCTAATGCCCCAAGGATACCTTGGGTAATGTGTGCGAGTCGTAGCCAAAGTGGAATATTCCAAAATCTACCCTTAAGTAGTTGGCCAACGTAATATTCACAACGAACTTATAACTGAGCCAAGTGAATGCTTAGTTATTACTAAGCATATAATCTCCTGATTATTGGTGAATGTGATTAGTAATAAGTATTTGTAACGCCAAGAACATTAAATTCGCCCCTAAATCCCCTTATTATCTTGCAAGCAAAAACAACCCGAAACATCATACACAAAAAGTACCAAAAGCTGGAGAAATACGTGCCAAACCCTTATTCTTTCTCTCAAAGGTCGCTTACCAGGCGAATGGTTGTTTCCCCTATCAATTCCGCCCACTACATGTGACGCAACGCGGTGTTCCATTGTGGTACTCGATATTGAACCCAGTGAGCGGCAAATTACAAGCCTTACAGGTCTTAACATTCGTTGTACCAAAGAACGAAGATGATGATGGGGAGAAGAGGTTCTTAGTCTCAGGTGTTTTCACGAGGCCGGAATCGACGAGCTTGAAAATAACCGCGGATCCAAGTCCACCAAAGTTCTCTATAATAGCGAGGAAGTCCGGTCGCACTGCAAACCATTTAAGGTTCTTCGATATAATGTCCGCAAGGATGTTTCGCAGGGTCAGATCGTGCGGCGGTACCGTAGCCATCACTTCTTCAACTACTGTTGGGAACTCTGTGGATTTCCAATTAGTTTCGACCCAGCGGGTGAAATTCTTTGCTGCCAGCGTTTTCAGAAGAGGGATCCCGAATTTGTCGGCAGCAACGTAAACCCGGACATTATTTGAGCCCTCATTAGCCGTTTTCGTCTTCTTTTCGTCGTCATTTGTACTGCCAGTCGTGGAAGACGGTACTATTGTTCTTAGGTTCCAGAATACTGAGTTATTGCTTTCTGGGTATTCTTGTAGGTATAAGAAGGATATAACTCGTTGGATAGTCTGGTGGTCATCGTCAGGCAGATCGACTGTCCTCAAAGTGGCTTCCTTTTCGCCAATTCAGCGCCAGATCCTGAGCGGGTGGTTAATTGTTGACTAACCTTGAAGTCGCCGTCAAGGGCAGCCTTGAAAAATTGAGACTGGGTGCATACAATTGCACGATGGGTCTTGAAAATGAAGCCGTTACAGGTAATCGTCATGTCTGAGTAGCTTCCATCCCGGAGCAGTGCTTTCATTGTCTGCTTAAAGGGCGACTCGGGTGTTATGGATAATGGTATAGGTGATATTGGTCTCGTGGTCGTGCGAACACTGGGGGAACTGGAGTTGGGAGGCATCTTGCGTTGTGAAGATTGTGTTTTTCACTTGCATCTGTCAAATATCGAACTCGTCACGTCTCATCTAAGGATCGACGACCCGCTCGGCGGCTAAATTCTAGGACCAGCCCCTCGGACATCCGCACCGATACGAGACGGGAGTCATAGCCTCACTACGACCTCAGTGGGGAAATAACGCTGGCACTACAATACATATTTGCATTTTATATGTATGAACCGTCACTATGGGAGACACAGAACTCGAAACCGCAGCGTTGGCATCTCACTTCGCCGCCAGAGATGCCCTGATATCCAAGGAACTCTCTCTCCGTAGCGGTAACTAAGCCCCCGGCCCGCTCCACTTCCCCTTTACTCCTCTAAGGCATACATACCCTATACCCATAAGTAAAAGAGCAAGAGAACTCTAGGACTGATAGAAAGATACGTCTATACAGATACCGGCTTCCGCAACGCTCTCTCGCCCATCGCCAGCCAAGCATGCGCCATCGTCTCCCGGATCCGAGAAGCAGAACATGCTTCCATCTGGAAACATGATCCGTCGTGTCCGGATAATGAAGCAGGCGTCGAGCTGTATCCGGGCATGATGTTCGGACTAGCTAAGCGAAAGCTTGAATCCACGCATCTGTGGAAAATAGCTAAACGGATGCCCAAGGGGACGTTGTTGCATTGTCATTTGGGCGCCATGGTGGAGGTGGATTGGCTATTTGAACGCATCCTTGACGTCGAAGGTATGCATGTATGTTCCTCCGAAGCACTGGATACGGAGGCTGCAAGGGACAGGGCAGTGGTGCTGTTCAAGTATATTACTCCCAAGCCAGGGTCGAGCAGCGTATCTATTTGGTCGTCTGAATACCAGCCAAACACATATGTTCCTGCGGCCCAAGCAGCAAATGCATTCCCATCTACCGGACGACAGGGATTCGTGGACTGGCTTTCTGAACGAAGCGTGATAAGCGAACAGGCGTCTATCGAGCACCATCTAGGTGTGGACGAAGTATGGCGGAAGATGGCCGCTGCATTTCCTACGTTAGGCTCGCTGTTGGGCTATGAGCCTGTCTACCGACTGTTTATACGGAAGATGCTACAAACTCTAGCGGCAGATGGAGTGCGATGGGTAGAGATACGTGATGTGTTTGGCTCGCCGTTTGCCAGGGAGGGCCAGGATGTGCCGGAACCAGGGTTCAACTACCGTGTTGCTGTGATGGGAGAGGAGATCGAGGCATTTAAGAAGACTGAGGAAGGGAAGTACTTCTGGGGCGGCCGGATTATCTGGACTGCTTTTACGGGTGTTGAGTGCAGAATCTATACTCACCAGTAAGTCGATCCGGAGAAGCAGGTGTGTCTGACTACAGGCTAACAACGACAACCAAGGTATGAGGCACTGCCTGGAAGCGAAAAAGGCATATCCTCATCTGGTAGCCGGGTTTGACCTGGTCGGGCCAAGAGGACCCTGGGCAAACCCCCTCGCAGGAGCTTATGGCTCAATCTCTGGTTACCGACGACAATTGCACATCGCAGATACCTAACATTCCGTTCGTCTACCATGCTGGCGAATGTCTGGGTGACGGGATAGCACAGCCGCAACCTCTACGACGCTATCCTGCTCAATTCCCGACGTCTTGGCACGGGTCTCACTCTTCAACACCCACACCTAATCGATCTGGTCAAAGAGCGCCGATCATGATCGAGAGCTGCCCTATCTCTAACGAGGTGTTACGACTAACTGCCACGGTCCTAGCGCATCCGCTACCAGCCCTGTTGGCGCGCGGTGTAAGTGCATCGCTGAGCAACGATGACCCTGCGCTACTAGGTCAGGGGACGTCAGGTATGTCTCATGATTTCTGGCAGGCGGTGCAGGCCTGGGAGAACCTGGGACTGGCGGGACTGGGTTCGCTGGCGGAGAATAGTGTCCGGTATGCTGCTTTCGAGGACGAGGACGAGGAGCAGTGGGTGAGGGGTATTGACAAGGGGTACGAGGGCGGTGGCGTCAAAGCAGAGAGATTGAAGCAGTGGCGAGACGAGTGGGAGGCCTTTTGTCAATGGATTGTAGATGAGTATGGAGTGGAGTACTGCAAATAGGCTTGCTTTCCTTTCCACCATAGTTATAGTTAGTTGCCTTATCAAAACTCTTTGTCTATTCCGTGTCGGCTTATGTACAGTCTTATCACCACGTGAAGATAACGATTGGACGGATAAGATAAGATCATGATCATGCTGCCTCCTTGATCATCGCCCACGACTTGATATCGCCATCTTCTTCCGTTCCTCCATAGTCCGCCATCCTCCAGCAGACTGTCTCCACGATCTCAAACCCATGTGCCTTGTAAAGCGGGAACCCATCCCGCGAAGACTCCAACCAAGCCGGCAAGCCCGACTTCTTCACCTCTTCAAGACCATGCCTCAGCAGCGCCCCGCCGATACCTCGACGCTGATAATCCGGGTGCACAGCCAGAAGATTCAACACTACCGACCAACAAAGGACACTGTTAGCACCGACGCCCATTCGTTCATCACCTGCTTAAACTCCGAACAGGGTTTTTCACGTACAGATATGCCCTTTCCCAGCCATCTTTCTCTTCCTGACGCTATAAAGCCAGCCCAAAGATGCCCGGCGAGCCGCAAACCCTGACTCGGGCAGTCCTTCCTCGCCCGTCTCAACGTACTCATCGGCTTTCTCGGGCGCCTCGAGGTGCTTGATCCAGTCTGGTTCCGTCCTGAACTCCCACAGCGCAATGCCGATTATCTTGCCATCGTCGGACATGACTTTAAACCAGCGCGAGGAAGGCCGCACCATGATCTGGGCGAATCTCTGTGCTCGCGCATTGAGGGAGGATGCGTTAGGCTCGCCGAACATGAGGCGGGTGTATGGTTTAGAGCCGTATGCTGCGCGTTCGAGGGCGGCCATCTCGGCCGTGTCCGTGGGGGAGCATGGTAGGATCTCGTGGACTGCCATTTCTATCACGTATAGGAGGTAAGTATATAATCTTTATCTCTGGTTTATGGTAGGTATTCTAGGTATTCTTCCTCTTATGGTTCTATGCCTTTATTTATACGTATATGAATGCCTCCGGCACCAACACCATCCGGCTCGTCCCATCACGTACAGAAACGCTGTAGCCTAGTCGGGCTCCTATCTGAGTGCCCGCTGCTTACATACATTTGTTAGCTTAGGCAATCGGCATCTCGGGAAGGATTATCTTTCAGCTGGCAACCCCGGTCTGAGGTCGCGGCGCTTTGGCCAGCTTAGTCATCACAACCGTTGGGTGCGCGGCTTGTTGGGACATAAACACGTAGTAGAGGCCATAAACACTTAATAAAGGGAGAGAGTATGAAGTGAAGAGCAGAGAAAAGCCTGTGAGAAGAGAGAGAACCGAGGAGATACGGAGTGCCATACCCCAAGATGCGGCAATGCCACTCGGGGCCCCGTACTCCGTCGTTAATACTAAATAAATTACTCCGTGCTGTCAATCCCCAAGCCCCAAGCTCAGTCTCCAGCGCATCCAAGGGCGCAAAGTGTTACTTGTCAAGTTTTACCGCCTTTTTGGTTGCATGTATGACTAAGCAAGGAACCTTCCCGCCTGCTTCTCCGCCAGTGGACGCTCCATGGGCAGAAAGACGCCCTCTGACTGGTCAATGGCGGTCCCTTTCCCCTGTCTGACTCAGCCCTGACTCAGCTGCCCCGCCGGGTAAACAAGGAGCTTGCACCTTGTTGGACGCAGCGACCCAAGTGTTGTTCGCTTCTTCCTCTCTGTCTCACCTGCTGTTATCTCGAGCTGCTCTGATGCTCTGATGCTCTGCCGCGTCTCACACTCTCTTAGCTATCTCCATCCCTTACTTAAGGCCCAACCTACGCTTAGCTCCTAGTCAACCCTAGCTTAGTTACTCCCGTGCTGTTTTCGCGCTGCTGGGCCACATGTGTGCTTGATAGGCCTGCTCTCCCTTAACTCTCTTCTTACGCTCTTTCTCGCCGCTGTCTGTCCTGTCGTCTTAGCTTTCTCCTTCTTCTACCGCGTTGCTGCTGGATATACATAACCACAGCTTCCCCTCCCCCTCCCCCTATTCTCTATCTCTCCCTCTCCTCTCCCTCCTTCTCCTGTTACTTGTTACTCTCTACTCTGTATTCGTACAGTCAATTGCTAGATAGTCCAAAGAAAGAAAGAAAAAAACAAGATATACCACTCTCCCTCTCTCTCCCTGCCATGGCCACCACCACCATCGCCTCGATGGGCGGCCTGCTCACCTCTCCCATCGTCCTCGGCGCCTCTGTCCTCGCCGTGCTCGCCCTCTATCTCACGTTTGCCGGTTCTGCTGCCTCTGCCAAAGACTCCAAGGTCCACCAGGAGCCCGCAGGTTTCCTCGTCTACTGCCGCTTCATCTACGCCAACTTCATCAAGCCGTTCCATACCCCTTCTTCCGCCGGTGCTTCCTCAGGCCAGCAGCAGGCTCTCGAGAACTTCTACCAGACTCAGGTACTTCCACATCATCGTCATCGTCACAACCAACGGCGAGACCACGGCTCCCCCCGCGCTCATGACGGAGACGAGACTTATGACAGACTGGTGTTGACGCTGTGTGAACAGGCTTCCGTGTACGATGCGACTAGACGCCGTCTGCTCAGGGGCCGAGAAGACATGCTCGGCCTCCTGGCAGCGCAGCTGAGGCTCAAGATGGCTTCCAAGGACCACAGACCCGTCTGGGTTGACGTACGTCTTCCTCCTCTCTCTCCCTTCTCTCCCTTTTCTTTTCTCTTTCCTGCTAACGTCAATAATAGATTGGTGGTGGAACTGGGTGCGTAAAAAAAAAGCCGAGAGAAAGGCTAAAAGTGTTCACCGTGCTTACATAATATAGGTACAACATCGAGGCGATGGCAGCCTTTGTCGACGTCGAGCAGTACTTCGAGCATGTCTACCTGGTTGACCTGTCTCCTTCGCTCTGCGAGGTCGCCAGACAGCGGTTTGCCCGTCTCGGATGGAAGAATGTCTCTGTCTTCTGCCAGGATGCGCGCGAGTTCCGTGTTCCTGGACAGGACGCAAAGGCCGATCTCATCACCATGAGCTACTCCCTGTCCATGATCCCAGGTAATATCCTTGTTTTGGGCTATACTTCAGTTAATGAAGATTTTAGATGCTAATGGGCGGTTAACAGACTACTACTCGGTTGTTGACTCGCTCACTACCCTTTTGAGAAATGACGGCACTATTGGCGTGTGCGACTTTTACGGTGCGGCCCGAACCTTGCTGATAAGCTTATTTTTTTTATCTGATGGGCAGAACAGCTGACTTTTTGATAAACGAATAGTCCAGAACATCGTTGACTTGGCCACCAGGAACTACACCGGCGGAGTCTCGAACCGCCACGTCAACTGGCTAGGCCGTGTCTTCTGGCGCGCCTGGTTCGATGTCGACCGTGTCAACCTCGAGGCCGCTCGCAGGGACTATCTCGAGTACCGCTTTGGAACTGTTATCTCCGCCAGTGAACGCAACTATCTCCTCGGTGGTATCCCTTACTATATCTTCATCGGATGCCAGAAGGACCTCTCTCAACACGACAACGACGCCATCGCCCGTCTGGACGCCACCCTGACCGAGTCTCCTTACCTCTCGCCAACCCACCACCGCTCAGAGCTCTCCAAGGCCGTCCAGCGCACCATCCCAGAAGTCCGCTCCAAGGCTTACGAGTCTGCCATCGTCAACTTGTCGTCTAACCTGCCCTTGCCATCTTTCTTCTACCAGCACCACCACTGGCGTATCTGCTACAACGAACTGCTCACCAAACATACCCAGTTCAACAAGGAATACATCTACGCCTTCACCTGGGAAGATCCCCGTGTCGACCACCGCCTGCTCAACATTACCTCCGACGACGTCATCTTGGCCATCACCAGTGCTGGAGACAACATCCTAGACTACCTCTGTGGGCCCAACACCCCTCGCCGCATCCACGCCGTTGACCTCAACCCGAACCAGAACCACCTTCTCGAGCTCAAGGTAGCCTCCTTCACCGCACTCCCCCACGAGGATTTCTGGAAGATCTTTGGCGAGGGCAAACACGCTGGATTCCGTGACTTGCTCATCTCCCACCTCTCACCACATCTTTCATCTCAGGCCTTCCAGTTCTGGCTCGACCATGCCTCCGTCTTTACCTCCTCAAGCCACGGCCTCTACGAAACAGGCGGATCCAGACACGCCCTTAAGCTGGTCCGATACCTCTTCTCCATCTTCGGCCTAACCGGCGAAGTCAAGAAGATGTGCGCTGCTAAGACTCTCGAGGAACAACGAGCTCTCTGGCCACGCATCAGACAAGTTCTCCTCTCCAAGCCACTTAACTGGGCCATCGTCGGAACAGAATGGTTCGCATGGAAGGCTGCAGGTGTGCCTGCTAACCAGCGAAACATGATCCTAACAGACTACATGGAGCGCGAGCAGCTCGAGGGTGGTCTTAAGGCCGCTAAGGAGCAGGGTGTAGGTGGACAGGCCGTATGGGAATACGTCATTAACACGCTCGACCCCGTCGTCAAGGAGACTCTCCTTGGAGACGACAATTACTTCTACCTGCTCTGTTTGGCCGGACAGTTCTCAAAGAGATGCCACCCAACCTACCTCACCAAGAAGGCTCACACCAAGCTCTCTGCCCCAGGCGCCTTTGACGGCCTACGCATCCACACAGACGAGATTCAAGAAGTCATCTCCCGCATCACCCCTGGCACACTAACCATCGCAGTCGTAAGTCCACACCAGCTCACTTTTCTCCTCCATTTCTTCACCACTGACATATCTCAGGTAATGGACTCTATGGACTGGTTCGACCCATCCTCCCAGGCCGCAGCAACCCAAGCAACAGCCTTCAACCACGCTCTCAAGACTGGCGGCCGTATCTTGCTACGTTCCGCCAGCATCGAGCCATGGTACATCTCTGTCTTTGAGAAATGTGGCTTCTCTACAAAGAGAGTCGGCGCTCGATTCCCCGGCGCCTGCATTGATCGGTACGTCCATATTTCATTTCACCCCCATTCTTTTCGTCTTTTCACTAACATACGCCAGTGTAAACATGTACGCTTCCACTTGGATATGTACCAAGACCACTGAGCTTGCTCGAGAGCCATCAAAACAAATCACCGGCACCTCCGATGCAAAAGCAACAGCAACCAAGCTTGAACGAAGTGTCAGCTCAACTAGTTCGAGCAGTGTATGTGAAGATCTGGAGATTTAAAACTCGACCGTCACGGTCAGTATATAAAAAGAAATGAAAAAAGGGGGGTTCTGCAGAGCAAAAAAAAGTAAGGAAGAGGAGGACCCCGAAGCTAGACGATCAACATATCGTCGATGAATATACCTACGAAACATCTAACATACATCTACACACCATATATATGTGCTGTACTTGATATCAAGTCAAGTTGAGTCATGTTTTCTCATGTCAGTTTTTCTTTTACTCAATCACTTAAACAAACAAGAAAGAATAATGGCCAAAAAGAAAAAAAGAAAGAAAAATATTGTTCCTATACCATTTCAATACTCTCTCTTTCTCTCTCTTATTCTCTTCTCTTTTCCCGTTCCTGGTTGTTCTGGTTGATTTACTTCATTTACCTACCTATGATACCATCGGGTTTGCTTTTTCTATGGATGGGAAAACGGAAAATGGGCAATGCAAGGAGGACTGACTAAAAGTTCGGGTGGTTCGGGATGTTATCTCTTTCTATCACTTCGTTTCTTCTTCCTCTTCTCTCTCAGCTCCTATCTATCGCTTACTCGAGTTGGGTTGTTGATCCCCTTGCGTTGGGCGGTGGTTTGATCGTTCTGCTTCCGGCTGTTTAGTTCTATGTATGGGCTTTAGCTTAGCGATTAGCATGTCTTAGACGACTACCATAACGAATAATGCAACGGCGAGGAAGTCATGATGAAAAGCGTTGTTTTGATTTTCTCCCTTCATTAGGTAAATTATTTAGATAGATTGGTAAGTAAGTAGATCAGGTACGGCCGTTGAAAAAGTATCGCGAGCAAACGAATGAAACAAGGGGTGTATACATTGTAAGTAGACCGGTAACATATCCGTAACTAGAACCGTCAATTGTAAAAACCCTCTGACAAAAACAGCAGCAACAACAGCAACAAGACGAAACGCTATGAGATAGATAGATCGACGAAATAGAACCATGACCGTAACCGGGAGCAGAGCACAAAGAACGAAGAACGAACAGCGAGCAGAGCAAAGAACGGCAACGAAGGATGAGAAAAGAGGAGGTGAAAGATGGAACGGAACCTGACTAGCCGTGCCGAGAAGACTGCGAGAGGGGTAGCTTGATGGAGTAGGTTAATATAGAGGCCGTGGTGAGTGTCTGAAGTTGAGACGCGAGGATCAGGTGAAACGTGGAGCTATGTCGTACTGGTGCAAGTTGGGGTAACCTGGATATTAACGACAACCGCGGAGCTGTCTGAAGAAGGAAGGTAGAGGGAAAGCAAGGCATTAGTTCGGGCGATAGTTATATAGTTGGAGGGCTGCCTGGCTGGCTGGATCGTATACGGTTGGGGGTATCAGTAAGTGTGTATGTGAGGTGTACTTGAGGTCGAGGTCGAGATTGAGGTTGAGGTTGATCGCTACGTGTGCATCACGTTTCGAATCGTATCATCAGCGCTTCGGGCTCAGGGCCGCCAGGCGCTAGGCTCTTGCCATCATCATATTCACCATATGTCTCTATGCCGTCGGCAGAGGAGTCGATGGCGGCATAAATTGATTTCTCGTCCGGGTCCGATTGTAATTGTGTAGCGAACGACACGTCCCGACCGTAGATCGGGTGGCCAGGATGTTTCACAGATCCAGGTATCGGCGGTCTCGCACGTCGAATAATTACCACCAGCCCATCAGACGAGCACGAAACGATGGCTTCAAGCTCTATGGGAACAGGGTGAGGTGAGGAAGGGGTGTCCGAGCATGAGGTTGAAGGCCGTTGATGTGTGAGTTGAGAGGAGGCTGGCGTGTCGCTGTCATAAGGTGTGGAGAGGGATTGTATTTCCGACCCTTGCCCTTGTCCGGATTCCGAGTGTGAGGGGTAGTCGTTGTACTCGCTTGGATTTGTTTCTGCATTGGTATATCGTCTGCGTCGTTCGGGAGGAGGGTGAGAGTATGTGTAGTATTGGTCGGTAGGGTCTCGGAACCAGAAACGTAAGTACGCTATGGAATCGTTTGCTTTGGCGCTCTCCAGACACTGTATAGCTTGGGGGAGACAGCACTCCTCAATACAGTAGTAGAAGCTGGTCGAGATAAGAGAGGCAGGTGATACACCCAGGATGTTGGCAACGCTGGGCGTGGCGTATATGACGGCTGCAGAGCGGGTGAAACGGTTCAGAAATAATGCTGCACGCGGTTCATGAGAGGCATATGGCGATGAGCTGCTTGGCGACGGCGACGGCTTGAATTTCGTAGACATGCAGCTCAGCATATGGTAGCGAGGGTCGCGAGATGATGATGCAAATAACCGGCGTACAACAGGGGCATCAGCAGCGCGCACTGCATAAGGCGATTAGCATGTTTCCTGAACAGGCAATCTACAAAGGGATGAGAAACAACAGCGGGTCTGGCTTACTCTGACTTTGCTTGCCGCGACGGTAGATGCTGGTGCTGGCAACCAGAACGTCGCACACTACGGTAAAGACGCATTCGCATGCGACCCAGTGGCCGTCCTTATGCTTGACTCGAAAATAGTTCAACCCCGCGGCCTTATCATGTCGGACAGACCGCGAGTAGATCGTACGGGCCTGCGAGAGCTCCTCGGGATGAAAGAACTCCCATATTGGTCTGTTGAGCACCTCTGGAGGCAAGTATCCAAGGATATCTTCTATCGCACTGGAGACGTAGCGTGTGCGGGCATCAGGAGACAGGTCTGTACCTTCGTTAGACCATATCAGAACATAACAGCAGAGAGGGGACTGGGAAAGTTGGCTCAAATGCTGCAAGCCGCAAACAAAAGGGGACAAGGTCAAAAAATAAGGAAATGATATAACTTGCCGTGGATAGTGATGAAGGTAAGTTCCATTTTTCGTCTCTTGCCGCGCGCTTCTCCCCTTCTTCTCTACCATGCCCCAGAAACAAGAGGAAAAGAAGAAGCACGCCCGTCAAAGACTTTAAGATAAGGTCGTCCGTCACGGAGTCGAGAAGAGTTATATCACAGTCTTTCTTGTCAACGTCTCACAAACAACGTCACACAACGCATTGCCTCTTCCCCAAGTGTGGCAGAGGAGAAGACGGCGGGCGGGAGCGTATTGGCCCGATCTGCACATCAAACGACTCTCGATACAGGCTTGACGCACTCTCGACTCGACTCGACGCTGGCCAGATCTGATCGTCGTTGCACCCGCTGGGGTCCTACTTTTGGTAACGGACGCGGGAGAGTGGCACCAAACTTTTGCGTACTTGGACTGATTCGATTCTCAAGCTAGACCGGCGCGAGGGTCGGGCATGATGTTCTTAAGCAAGTGGTGCACCGGCTTTCCTCCACAGCTTAATAACTCCTATTTACTCCTGAGAAGTCGGAAAATAAGAGCTCGCCACTGTTCGTATCGAAGGAGACTCATCGCATTGCCCTGGTCGTCATGATACTTCTCAGTGCAACGCGATCGTCCGTTTGCTAGTGGTCATCGTCCAGAAGATCCGGCCCAGCTTCATATTTCCCGGACAGGGCGGGCAGGGCAGAGAAAAGAAAAGAAAAAAGTGCAAAGGAACCTTGCTACTGTGCCGCTGCAAACCCCCCCAGCCTTCCGCCTGGCTGGTCAAGGCCTTCGGGATTCATAAATGATAATAGTCAAGCTCCTGTCCGCCGCCACCAGAAGTGTCGGATTGAAGTAAAACAAAAATATGGGGCAGCGAGGCGGCGTTCCTGGGCTGAGAGGCTTTTGGGCTCATTTCCTGTCTGGGAATTAGTGGCTGTTCGACCCCTGGCTCAGAAGTGGACGATTATTGACACTAGTAGCTCACAATATATATATCTTTCTTTTCGAGGGCAACAAAAATTCCATCACACGGCGACGCATGACGAATGCTTTCGATGGCGGAGGAGGTGGGAGCGAGATGTGGCTGCTGTTTGCTGCTGGTTGGTGGTTCGGACGTTCGTTGGTTGTTCAAATTATGGCACCCTTTATCGCCCAGCATCGTAGAGTAATGAATAAGGATCCGTGTTTCAAAAGAGCCCTGCTGCTCACAACCCCATGCTTGCTGAAGATGGTTATCTTCTTGTCGTCGCGATGCTGTCCTTAAAACTTGGGGATTCCTGCACGGAATAGACGTTGTACTTGCGGACGGGATCGAAGCAAGAAAAAAAGTGGTTGAAAATAAGTCTAGTAATATAAATATATTCCTAAAAGCCGCTTGCCTGTGATACCCGTACCAATGCCGAAATCAACCAATAATAAGCATACAGAACAAAATCTAAAACGACAACAGACGGTCAAATAACACCAGACTGGATACCAATTTCGCCCATACATGTCAAAAATAGAAGTCAATCAAAGCCCGAAAAATGGTCGTAAATTCATTCTTCCGGTTTGTTTGATAGGTAGAAGTAAATTGCAGTAAATGGCAAACTATTGCCCATAGCCAAAAAAAGGAGGAGAATATGTTTTATATTAAGGTATCCACATTTTAAGCGGTCGCTGTTGGGCTGATGTGCGGTGTCAACGTGGGAGTCGATGTGCCGGCGGGAGCAGAAGTGGTGATATCATTGCAGCCCCACAAAATCCCAGGAGTTTTGCAGGTTGATGTACTTCCAGCCGATGCGGTCGATGCGGTCGATGATGTAGATGTCGTAGTAACGTCGTTACATCCCCATATGACACCGGGCGTTTTGCAAGTCGTGGTAGTCGACGAAGATGAAGATGACGAGGACGACTGGCTCATCGACGTAGTGGAGGTCGATGTTGTCGTTGCGTCGTTACACCCGAACCACCCTGGAGTTTCACAAGTAGTAGTGGTAGCAGAAGTTGACTTTGGTGTAGTCATGGGAGAAGTAGAAGTAGTTCCGGGAGTCGTTGTTATGCTCGTCTCCGTGGTACTTTTATCCTTGCACCAGAACCATCCTGGCGTCTTACACGTGGACGTGCTGCTGGTCGAGGACGAGGACGTTGAAGTAGAAGTTTGGGTAGTCTGGCTAGTGGTATCATCAAGGCATCCCCACCACCCAGGAGTTTTGCAGGTTTCAGTCCTTGTGGCAGTCGAGGTGGTGCTTGTCGTTCTTGTAGTGGTGTGTTCGGTGCCATTGCTGCGGAAGAACTTCCAGTTCGGACAGTCGACGCACGCTTTATCCGGCTTGCATGTCGGGACACTGTCGTATTTCTTAAGTACATCGTTGATGACATTAACAATTCGATGTGTGCCGATAGCAACGCGCCAGCCGAGATCTTGGACTGTATCGTACACACATCTCTTGCCGGTGAAACATACAGACTCCATTGCATAGCCGCCTAGCGTGCAGATTGACGTTGCGCCGTTGCAGCTACCCATGTAGACGGGATCGGCTGTGTGACCAAAATGGAAAGCACCCGAGTAGTCAGTATCTGGTGATTGTGGATCGCCTCCTGGGGGTACGGGGATGCCCAAGCGTGAAATAGGGAGTGCTTCAGGGACGGCCTCGAACGTCACAGCAGGAAGTCCATAAGTTCTCCCAAGCATGCTGGAGACTGCGCCACCGAGTGAATGACCCGTTATCCAGACATTCGAGGTTGGATATAGCTCTGTCACATTTGCAAAGAGGTCTAGAGCCGCCCTGTAGTACCGATTTTCGGCCCTAAGTGAAGAGGCTACACAGGTAATATTACACGTATATGTTGTCGAATAGCAGTCACAGACCTGTCGCCAAAAGTATTGCCCTCCTTGTCCGCAGCAGCAGCTGAAGAATAGATTGTCATTGATTTTGTCATTGGTTGTGGTTTCTTCACCATCAAAGAGGGCTGCAGATGTTCCTTTTAGGGCGATGATGATCGTCGTGTTGCCCTTGTCGGCGTATATATGCCCTCTGAGACCATCGTTTTCCCACCCAAACCTGTTGGAGTGTTTCCATGGGCTATGTCCCAGGCTTAGCCACTCGGAAGTTCCGGGTGTCTGAATATAGGCGTTGGCAGTCATCTTTGCCAGGCTCAGAACAGTCTGCCTATCAGTTATATCGGGACCCGAAACATCGTCGATCGACCATTCTGGAGGAGGTATGAAGCTTGCAAGGCCCGGATTCCGAGCTGCACGAAGTCTACCTTCCACAATTTGGGGCCGTCTATCGGTAAGTCGCTGAATCTTCACTGCTTGCCCGGAGGCTTCGAAAGTGTTCGGTAGCTCCACCCTCTGGCCATCTTCTGACTCCATCCATAGGTCGGCATCGGGTTTGACATCGAGGCGTTGATGTAGCGTTGGGTCCTCATATGTACCATGGTGGAATACATGTCGAAGTGACTACTCTGGATGTCAGTATTGTCTTCGCCCCCGGATCAAGGCAGTCACCTACAAATTGATGAGTGGTGCGGAGAGACATGGGGTCTCCCCCAGGCGGAGCAAGAGCTATCTGATCTGCTCCATATCCATCTCGAGGAGAAGCCGCTGCGTACGATGACGAAACGGCGAGTAGTGATAGTAGGATGCTGGTTAGCAACATCATGGTCGAATAGCAGGCTCAACTCGACCTTCGTATCACGAGTCCAACATCATGTAGCTAAAACAGTCGACGGCTATAGATAGCTGCTAACCATAAGACTGGCAGATATCTATGTATATATGGACTCTAAGAATATGATAAGCGTCCTATATGCCTGTCGACAGCGATGGTTGATAGATAAGATGACGACGTTGAAGGCAGACGAGATGTGAAGATGTGACGTGACGCCAGAAGGTCTTGGAAGGGTTCCCCCGGATGGATGACTAAGCGTCCCACATGACTCAATGGATAAATTTTTCTCCGGGGATGCGCGCGGCTAGGATGAACCTTGTTGCATATACATAGTGATATATCAAGCTGCAGGGTTAAGACGGGATGGCTGGATGTCTGCCTGGCCAAAGGGAGCGAAGAGAAAAGAGGGATGACGGGCTGGCTCTGACGTCGATTCTAATGTGGACGGCGAAGGGGAAAGGCCGGAAAGTGTTGTACAGCGTCAAGAGATATCCCGTGAGGACCCTGCTCGGCGCCCAAGTGTAACGCTGAACACGAACGGAACTATCCGCGTGAGGCAGACAGGGGGGGAGCTTAATAACATATCACTTGGATAACCCATGATTGAAAGTGTGCTCTCAGAGGGAGCAGAGATGTCAGAAAAGAAAGATCAGGCGTCTGCTTCGTCTTCTCAGGTGCAGAAGCGTGGGGGTTCCAACTCGTTCAGTCGTCTTGAGAACAACACTCCTTTCTCAAGGATAGGTTCAACAGCTGGTGACGCCGGAGAAGCCATGCAGATGGTGGCGGAGGATCCTCTATCTTCACCTGGACATGGACTGGTGGAGGAGCCCGAAGATGTTTTTGAAAAGAAAGCTCCTGAGCCATCTCAGGCGGACGGTGATGGTACGGAACCAGCTGCAGGACAGCCACCTGTTGAGCTCCCTGAACAATTCTCGGAGCTTCCGATTGAGCTGGTGAGCCTGACAGATAGGTAAGTGAAGGCATTTACTCCTCTTTCTTCGTTGCTTTGGTATTGATCCTTGTCTATTTTGTAGGTTTATTGCTTCCCTTAGTGCGAAAACGTACAGCACTCCTCCGTCAATAGATGCTCTCTCGAGCTTATTCCAAGAATTCTACGTCCGAGCTGGATCTCATATTTCAACACACGTTTCTACACTAGCCTCCCGGCTACATCGTAATAACTCCGCGTCCTCTCTCCAGTCACAATCGTCAAGGTCCTCAAGGCGTCCACCGAGCTCCCATGGCGCACAAAAGGATACACCCGAGCAACAGATGCTCACAGCTGACGAAGTGGCCGAGAAACGTAAAGCCCGGAAGCTACTTCAGTTTAAGCAGCATGCTCTTGAGGAGGCGGTTGAGCGTAGAGCATGTGAAATGGTATACGATAAGATCTGGCGGCACCGGAGTACTATAGACGACGTTCGAGATGAAAAGTTACGCTCAAAGACGGCTGCCTTACTGGTGATGGGCATCGAACTGAAGGATCTTGGAGTAGACATATCCAAACAAGGAGCTGAGGGAACAGTTGATCCAAAGGAGTGTGTTTCAGCAGCTCGTCAGTGCTTGATACGGATGAACGACGAGAGATCCCCTCTTGGAAAACTCCAACAACTCGTAGCTGCTCATAAGGCGATTGTAGATGCGTTGACGAATATCCTACCGTCATCCTCATCGGCAGACGAGATTCTGCCTACTCTAATCTATACCCTTATCCTCTCGCCTCCAGAGGGGGTCAATATCATCAGCAACCTCAACTTTATACAACGATTCAGGTCGTCAAGTAAGATCGACGGCGAAACCGCATACTGTCTTACAAACCTGGAGGCAGCCATCGACTTCCTTGAGAATGTCGATTTAACCAGCCTTCGTATGGAAGAAGGCCGCACACCTATTGACCAGCCTGACCTTAGTCTGCTATACCCTGCATCCGTGGACACTAACTCACATGAGGCCCTTGATAAGAGCCCATCTACTGTTTCAGACGCTACCAGCACTGCGGCTGCGGCGCCTACACGGCCTTCGCTGCCTACCAATGCTTCTGCCCAGCAGCGACTATCTGACCTCTTTCAGCCTCCGGCAAAAGCTCTCGGAGCAGCAAATGATATTGTACGGAGCACTGCCGACCAAGGCCTGAAGAGCATAAGCAGCACTCTTGATAATAGTTTTACATTTCTCTTTGGAAGGTTAAAGGAAGTCCAGATATCCCAGGGTGATAATGCACAGGCCGGTACACCCATTGTGCCCAAGACTCTTGACGATGCACGCAAACTAGTTCAGGTGAAAACCAGCACTGTTCCATCCGACGAAGCCATAAGTGAAGATGGATCGAACATAGGTGATCGTACGCCTACTCCGACTCCCTCAATATCTTCCCGACAACCACTTGATGACAGGCTGGCTGAGCTGGTAGGCGGGCGACGACGACCAGGAATCACCAAACGGGATTCGAGCACTAATAGGTCTGATACGAATGCGTCGGATGACACTGCTGCATCTACCGCTACACCACCCGCTGCTTCATCTAGTGCCAGTACTGCAAGCCAAGGGTTCAGCTCAGTCAGGGGGTTCGGGACTTCGCTGAACCCCCTCAGCCATTTCCCGAGTATGATCCGTGGCCTGGCTCGGGCCCCTGAACCCCCTGCAGCGACCCCTAGTACCAGCAGCAGGGCCAAGTCGCCAGGTCCGACGACCCCTTCTCCAGCCGCGAAAGGAGCTGCAGGTATCCAGAAATTCCTGGATATGGGAGATGCCTCTGAATTAAGGGTAGGGGATATTCCTGAACTGCTGGAAGATTACAAACGGCTGGCTGCGATGCTGAAAGCGCAGAATAATTAATTAATCAACTCTAACTTCGGTCTACTCTACTTCATTATCTACTTTTCACAGTGGGCTGGTTGGATACTTATGGCGTCTCCATTGCGTTCAAGAACAGGAGCTTCTCTTTGTATAATTATCTAGGGCTAGGATGGTGGTTGGTAGGGAGAATAAGTCATATCATTACTATCATCATTATGGTCATAACTATCGTATCCAAGTTCCAACGAAGGTAAACTTGTATTCTGAGCGAAAAGCAGCACGTCGCAGCGTTATTTCGGATTATATTTATCCTTCCAGATCCTATAATTAATCATAGTCAGTATCCCAGCATAAGCATATGTGCAACAGCGGAAGGAAGAACATACCAAGAATTCCCCAGCGTCTTATTCCCGTTCTTCTCAGCAAGTCTATAATACTTGGCTGCAGTAAACTAGGGCCCCTCAGAATTAGCATCCACATCCACGAAACAACACAACATATCATCCTAAACGTACCTTGTCCTTCTTTCCACCAAAACCTTCTAGGTAGCACCACCCAACCTCGTTCATGGCATCTGTATCTCCCAGGTTGGCAGCTGTTTCATAATACTGCCGGGCAGCAGCGGGATCTTTGGCGACACCCCATCCGTTACGGTAGCAGTTTGCCAGCTCATAGATAGCAAGCACCAATTCGCCCTTTGCAGCACCGCCTTTCACCATGCCGGCACGAAGGGCCTCTTCTTCGATAGAGGCTGAATTCGATGCTGCGGCACTAAGGTATTGGACTGCCATTTCGGTATTGGGTTCACAGCCCCATCCGTGTCTGTAACTGGTCAGTTTGAATCGGAGTGTGATACGGCGGAGTGAGAAGTGCTGACCGTAGGGCGAGGCCGAAGAGGACTTGACTTAGGGCGTTATTCTGGCCTTGGGGATCAGCCAGCTTTCCGAAGATGTGTGTTGACTTTTCTAGATCTGTTGGATGGTTAGCGGTGCAAACGGGTGAGTGAGCAGACAGTCAGTGGGCGCTACTTACCTCCCTCTTCATGTAGTCGTATAGCCTCTTGTATAGTTTCCTATAGACGCCGTTAGCTCGACGCTTCTCCCAGCTCAGAGTAAAGTAAGTAGAAAATGCGGAAGAAAACATACATCTCCCTCAGGATCGTTCACTCTACCGACACTCGAGCTTCTCGACCTGCCATTGCTGTTCTGCTGCACTCCCAGCGAGAGAGAAGAATGCGAGCCCTTTTGCACCAAAACCGTCGCGCGCTTCTCCCACTGAGCCTCCCGCTCCTGCTCATCCACGATATGACTCCCAACCTCCGGCAGGTTCTCCGGTATATTCACAGACGAGGAGCTGCCTGACCTCGACCGACGGCCGCCGATATGTAGTCGTGAAAAGCGGCTTTCTCGCGGCGAGGGGGAGTCCTGGCTGTGGCTGCTGCGGCCGCTATCTACAGACCGGCGGAAGAAGCCAAAGGACTTGCGCGGGGAGGAGGCCGTGGGGCTTTCTATTGAGTGGATGGTCTCTTCGGTGTGGGTATCTGAGCGGATGATGCGGAATTCAGGTGTTTCGGGGGCGCGAGGCGGAGGGTGGCTGTCGTCGTCCTTTTCGGACTTCTTGTGAAGCCGTAGCAGCGGCATGGTGCCCGTTCCCCAGGGTTTGGCGATGTATCCGCGATGACGTCTGTAACTGACTGACTGACCGACTGGCTGGTTGACTGGCTAACTGGCTATACGGAAGAGTGTCTGCGCTTTATTCTAGGTGATCTTAGGTATTTCGGGAGTAAACAAGAAGAGAGAAGCTCCGGGAGCCTCTTCATCGTGGTGGTTATAAGTGGTTCTTATAATCTCCGTGAAGACGGCAGGGCTGGTTCGGTGCTTAGATTGCCCAGGGCGCGTAAGCCCCCCTAAGCCGCCGCAGCCCAAGCACGTCCGAGCCAGGACCAATTAAAATTAAACAGCCTACGGTGGAGACAGACTCAGTCTCGAGATTTGGGAAGTTGTCTTCATATCAAGGTGTTTATTCTCCTTTGGGCCTTACAAGACTCTGTCTTTACTGTCAAAACACAGCTATAAACATCAAGCTGGACTCTGAAGAAGCCGAAGCTCTAGCTGGTGACCGGTACCTTGTCGTTATTCACTCGGCAACTAGTCAGCTAGTTAGTTATAATAACTAGTTCGTCGTCGATGTGGTGGCTGGAGGTCGGCTTCGAGCTGCAAGTTATCAAATCGTATTGGCCGGACGATTGAGTTCGCGGTTGATCTTCGACTATGCTTGTCTCGACTGCAGCCATGGAATAATACCCCCTGTCGCTTGATGACCGCTGCTTATGTCGATATCACTGTTGACTGCTGATGAGATATATCATACCCATGGGTAGACTCGTACCTTGTACTACTCTCTATCCCTTATACCAACGTCAGCCATGGCTTCTCCAGGGAGCTTTTTTCAAGGGAAGCAAGAATATACCATATTAACCACCTCAATACCCATCTCTGCTTTCTGTATCTGCCTTAGCCGGGTTGATAGACCAGAGTGGCCTACCATGTTCCCCGTGATATCATTCCTATATCCGGCTATGACGGCCTTCTAGAATGTGAATCTATCATGTTCTCCCTGAGAATGAATATCAGCAAGTGCATAGACAATAGTATAGGGGTCTGTGTCTACCTACTACGATATCCTGCCTGGTCTATCACTGACCACTATCTATCAACCCTGACTCTGCCATCAACAACTTGAATGAATAATGAGTCTTAATATGTACAATATTAACATCTATATCTACAGTCATAGACTGAGTAACTGTGACTAACTGCTCACTTGTCTGTCTTCTGCCTGTCTGTGTCTTTCACTGTCTCTGTTGTCGACGACAGACAAGCCGAGAAGAAAGTGAAGCCTGACCCGTCCTATTCAAGCAGGTGGGCTGTCCCTCTGCCTTGTCTATAAATTCAGCTTCTTCTTCCTCTTTTTTGTTTCTCTTTCTCTTTCTCTTCTTCTTCTTCTTCTTCTTCTTCAACAACTTCAACTTGTCAACTTCTGATATCAAGAACTCCTCTAGGGCTTCATGAACCACGTGCTACTTACTTCTCAGACTGTCTATAAAAGCAACTCTTCCAGCTGCAACTTTTTCAGAGGGATCTCTGCACTCTCTGTCCTCTGGGAGAGTGTCCTCACGTTTGCTCAGGCTGGTCAGTCTTGTCCCTGCCATCACTAAGACAGCATCTATCATCTGCTAACACTGTATCCATAGTCTGCTGCTGTCTCTCTCTGGCTACTGGAAGTTCACTGTCCAGTCAACCAGTCCTTTTATCACAGAGAATAGCTTTGTCTCTAGCCTCAAGCTATCATCATATCCTGGCAGCTTCCATCAGCTTACCTGTTACTCCCATCTTCTTCAAGCTGGTAAGCTCCCTCTTCTTTCTCTGTGGAAGCTCAAGGAGCCCCCTAACTAAACGCATATACAGCCTAGCCATAGACTCGGCAAAGGATACCCCCTCAAAGAGCTCTCTACAAAGATAGAAGAGCTGTAATACGCGTGAAAAAGGTGAGAGAGACGCGTCCTTGAGGTTACGGATGTCTCTAGCTAACTTTGGGCTGTAGGAAACAGTGAGCTTCTCCTGAACGTCTTCTTTGCCAAGATGCAGTCGAGCAGTCAAAGCACTCCTTCAGACAGAGCCAGACGTGAGGTCGAGTCTGAGGCCTTCCGTGCTCGCCTGCAGTCAGTACAAGCTCTGGAAGGTGCATACCCAGAGTTCGAAGAGATTGTCCATCACAACCTCGAGCATAGATACAACGTGGTGATTGAACTGCTCCCCCAGAAAGAAGGGTCCAACAAGTCCGTCGACATAGTCAAACGCAAACACGACGGCTACGTCTGTATCCGCAAGAGCTTCTATGTCTGGGGTAAGGCAAAGCCTAGGCGGTGGCTGAGAGAGGTAAAAGCTGTGCGTGCCATGGATCATCCCAACGTCGAAAAGTACCTCGAAGCATCTATCAGCCCGCACAAGGGTGAAATCTTCCTCGAGTACTGTGACCTCAGAGAGGGAGGCTGCCCGGAATAGACCAGCATGATGGCCACAGACCTACAACTCGCATCCTCCGACGGTGCTGACGCTTTTTTTACTGCAGTTAAGGAATGCCGCCCAAGTATATACACTGCGGCGGACGACTATCTCAAAAGGCCGGCCGCGTGGTAGGGGCCCAAGTTTGAAGGGTGTGCGGACCGCCATCATACCGGGAGAGTTGGATGGTAATATGAGATCTTCTACGCCTGTTAAGGAACTGGAAGGCCATTGACCAAATCGCCTTATGTATGTTTAACGCACACAAGCTCAACACTGCCTATAAGGACGGCATTTTCTTTGGATTTTCTTTGGCAAAAACATGCTAGCTAGCCGAGTGGATTGGCTGCTCTGACAGTTTTATCGACTACTTGTACAAGAGCATACACCATCCAGACTATATAGAGACGGTGGAGGTGATTCTCTTGTCGGCAGTATCTGTCCTGAGGTGGACGCGAAATATCAGGGTTATGTTGAGGAAGGGGACGCCAAGAGCAAGAAGATACTGTTAGATGGAGTGTACTCGAGCATCTTGACGCAGCACATACATCTTCTCGCGAATTAACCTACGAAGTCATCAGCTATTTGAGAATAAACCTATCAATTCGTTTGCTAAGGGGAAGGTATGTAGGACCAGTTGCTGGAAGAACTCAGGGAGCTGGGGCGTTCCATGGGTCCTGCTCCTTCTCCTAAGAGTTCCACTCTAGAACGCCCTTTGACTACCAAGGAGTTTGCTAATAGTCTTTCTGAGACGCTCAAAATTAAAGAAATCCCATGGCTGGTTGGCTCCTGGCAGATTGTTATTCCTGAAGATACACATGTATCCAACCTGCCAGGTCGAATTTGTCGTGTCGCCGCTTTCTATCACACCAAAAGCCATAATACCCCCCAAGCTGGGCCGGCACTACGCAGCAAATGCCCAACAAGAGAAGAAGCTGGTAATACAGGAGTTATGATAGGCGCGCGCTTGCGTTTGTTGTGGCCCTTGGCAGGGGTAGAGGCGTTCTTGTGTTTGCCTTAGCTGGCCCATGGATAGAGGTGATTCGACCAGAAGGTGCACGTTCCCAACCACACTACAGGCCTTGAAAACGGCTATCGGGCTGTTTGGGTATTACAGACGGTTCGTCCCGTTCTATTCGGCTTAAGGGGTTGTGGTGGCAATGGTTTGGCAGGTAGTTCTCGTATGTATATGACTAGAAACGGGCCTTTGATTCCAACACCAAACTGGGCCGGAAAATACATGATAATGCTGAAAACTCATCATCTGTGGGTTCTTGTGGAAGGCCATATCGATCGACGAGGGAAAAATCCATGGCTATGACTGCTATATAAAAGAAGTGATTAGTTTGTTGAAGTATGTATTAATGCCGCTCGACTGGGTTTAATAGAGGTCTACCAGCAGTCTTATCATGGGAAGTTAAGAGAACAGCTATCATAACAGAAGTAAAGGTCAGCGTCAGACCAGCTTATATACACATAGACCTGACTTACCATAGCGAGTAGTAGTGGCGCCGAAACGTTCCTCTAGCACAGCGAGGGACACTTTGTATGTGCAGTAATCAACGGTTACTCTTCGACGTCATCGAGATGCTCCGATTCCAAGATGGCAGAGGGACCTTCGTTCCTTCTCAATAAAAACTCCTAGCAATCTAACCATCGATGGCAGGATATCTACAATTGTAGTTAACGCACTCGATACGTCCTTTCCTAGTTGCCCAGTCTTGTTTCTCTCCCTTCCGCTTTCTTTTCCTTTCGTTTCCTTTCCTTCGCTTTTTTTTTTCACAGTTTTTCACATCGTAGTAGCTACCTAGGCACTCCGTGGCAGCTCGTGTTCTTTCCCAAAGAAGCCCCCAGCGAGCGTGCATGGAAGAATACGAACTGGCAAGGGGCTTGCTGGCTCCTTACACAATGGCCGGGGGCCAGTTCGCTCCGCCCCCTTGCGCCCCGATCGGCGTCACAGTAAGCACCGTGCAGATGAACGCCCAGGGTCTGCATTGGTTCTAAAGCTGGCTCTCTCACAGAGTCTTCCCGGACGTAAAAAAGGTACCAACTTACCCTTGTTCTTAACTTCTATTTGATTCCCTGCAGTAGGGCTTAAGGTAGAGCCGGGGCTGTGTTTAAAGTATGGGAGGGGTATATAACGAAGCGAAAGCGAAATAAGCGAAAAAAAAAGATATAAAAGTATGAAAAAGGGGGAAACATAGATATCTCTCTCCTTATATCTTTCTTTCGCCTTTGAATATCTGGGGTAGGAGAGGTACCTTTCTTAACTGCCTCTTGTAAAAATATGCATAAGAGGCCCCGTAAACCACGCAAAACGGATGTAAAGGAGGGTGGTCAGACGTGGTTTACTCTCTGTAGAGCGGAACACCAAAGGGACGTCCCCCTTTTCTTGCTGAGTTGTCCCTTGAATCATAGCTGCGCCGCATTGTAATTTGCCACCCTCTGTACTTCGTGCCGGGGTATCATCATCAGCTGTTACAACAAAGTGCCCCTGCAGCTGTCATAGAAGCTCCTTTTTAACGGTTCCTGTTTTGGCCCTTATAGTCAGTTCTCCCTCTGAGATTATCGTGATAGAGGTAAGTGACAATAATAACAACTGTATAGACGTACTCGTAGCGTACCTTGCGGCCCTTGGTTAAGCTGAGTAGGTAACCAGGGCTAGCATCGGGGTGGGGGGGGGGGAGATATCTTTGCAGGGTACCTGCATATGACTAGCTGCCGCTGCCTTAACGTTTTTTCCACTTTTAATTTTTTCCTGCGGGCCCCTCACTGGCCGAAGCTGGTAGGTTGGGGCTTGGGGGAGCCCAGCGGTAACAAGATAGGCAACTATCGATGTTATGCATAGAAAAAAAAGTATATGGAGATTCCAGAGGAATCTGCTTGCTGAAGATACATACCAAACATCGATACGAAAGCGAACCAAAGGTGTCCCAATATAGCCAATGACAGACATTCGATACTGATTTGTCCTTTACGCTATCACGGGCTTCTCAGTCGAAAGTTCACCATTCTCCTTCTTCGCGAAACTCTGCATCATTCTTTAGCGTCTAATTTAAACTCTGTTCTTAGGGTAACTAATATAGTTACTGTATTGGTGGAGCTTTTGATTATAAGCCTAATAAGCTATACTGGCTGGCAGAGAATGTAATCGTTTCAAAACGGCTGAGTCGAAACGATGCACCCACAACAAGCGATTAATAGGTTGGAGCCGTACCTTTGACAAATCAACTCCAGAAGGTAGGGGAACCCAAACTATTCCCTGTCCTGAATGATAATATGCAGTAAAGGGGAAAGTCGAGCGGCCTTCTCGTATGCCTCGATTGCTTTGGATGGTAGCCGCAGCTTCCTGGTTTTCTTGAAGAACACCAGTGCCTGTACTGTGTATCCAAATACAACCGTTACCGTAGCAATCGGAGACCGGAGCAGGTATTATTGCCGATATATGGATGCCTGGGTCTCGGGATCTCGGGTTCGTTTATTTTTTTTCTTGCTTCCTTGTTCATGACCAGTGCTCATGCAACTGCAACTAGTGTAAATAGCGATCAGCTGGTCGGAAAAAGCATCGCAGGTCATTTGGTCACTTGGTCATTTGGTCTGCCTTCAAGTATCTCTTCGCTTAATAAAGGGCAAGGGTGTCTCACCGCTACGAAGGCAGAAGGTCCGATCCTACTTTCATCGCAGCCCATCAGAATGCCCCCTTTAAATTCAAGACACAGGGCAATATGCTTGATGAGAACTATTGGTGGCCGAAGTGCCAAAATGACTGAGCCGGAACCGTAAGCCCACCCCAGTGGTCAGCAGTTGTATCTTTGGCACTGCTTTTCATCCGGCGAGCGTTTGCTCCCTTTCGCGCTCTCGTTTGACCGTCGGTCCACCTCCACAACGTGTACATGTCATATCGTATTGTGATCGAGTAGGTACTGGATACAAGAGTTAGATATTTTTCCATAAAGGCGCAGAAATGAATGGAAGCATACCCTTAAGAGCTTGGTATCAAATACATCCTGCTGTTCCACATATTAGGTAACCGCATAAAGCAATCAAATTCTGTTTCAGCCTATACAAGGGGGGAAATGGAGACATTTCTGTGGTTACTTCCTCAGCTCGATCGACGGAACGGGCGGTGTCTTGGTAAATGGGCAGAAACTTACATGGAAGTATAAATTCCTGGAGATGTATGTGGTGGACTGTAGCATATATTTTAACAGGAGAACAGGGGTCTAAACAACCGAAACCGGCGGTTATATGTTGGATGGTCGGTATTTGAGAGTCGTAAGGCTTGTCTGTAAAATCCACGGTATTTTTGCGTATTCATTTTATACTCAAACAGGCCTTCCCTGCCAGATATTGATTGGTAGATCAGCCTGAATATAAATTCAGAGATACTCACAGCCTTTAGGTAGGCCTAAGAGAAGAAGCACATAATCACCCCCGAAATGTAGTAAACATGCAGTTTATGTGCGTGTCAGACGAAGAAAAGCCATATCAGCCGCCCAAGGTGTAGATGACCGGCTATCGCTAATTTCTCTATAGCCGCAAGAATCGATACATCACACCAAATCTGACGGATATGAGGATCCACCCGCCCTCTGGTAGGGCAGGAAAACAAATATCTGTCAGGATTGACCCACTCATTGGCAGCAAAGATTCAGCCACCAGATGCAGCAGAGAAATTATCAATCCGGTCAAAAGACGAGCGGTGTGTATTGAGTGCAAAGTTGACAGAAGACGTGCAAGGAGAAGACACAAGGAGGAGCAAGTAAATAAGAAAAGAAAAAGGAAAGAATAGTTAGGGCTTGCCAGCCTTAGAGCGTAAATCGCTGACGTGAAGAGCCGTTATTGGATGAATATTCTGAACAGGGTTTCGCTGTTTTTTCTGGGGCATCTAGCATAAGCTCCCTATCGAGCTTGGATGTATCATATTGGGATGGAAAAGGAGGAGAGATCTGGAGGCGACAATGAGTGTTTCGTCAGTTCTTCCTGTCTGTAGAAAGGAAGTCTCTGCCTGGATATCATAGAGGCCTCTGGGTATAAATAGGCAGACGTTCCTCGCCCTCAACCACAGAATGAAATTGGGCAAGCAGGGCCGCCGACAGCTTCATATTATTACCTCCCTTGATACGGAGCACAAGTTGCCTTCCGCTTTCTATACCTCTGATCACTCGCTGAAAATGAGTTTCCCAAGCCCAACGAGTTCTATGAGAGCTCACCATGGAAGCCCTCCACACGATCCACGGGAGGTGTATGATGATGGCGCAAGGTTTGGCCTACCCCTAAGCAAATCATATAGCGAACAGAAGAGATTGCTAATATTCAAACTATCTCGGCCCACAGTTATACGGAGGAGGGGCAGCTTGAGGTCTCCGATGACGACTCTGAGGACAGCCAGCCGTCCGAAAGCAACTATATTGAAGAAACACTAGCAGAGAGTGAGAATCCAGGCTCCCTAGCAAATTGCACACAGATTTTTTCTGTTTCTAGCTAATACCTAAGGGTCAAGTCACACAGAAGGCCATCCCAAAGACTGGAGCCCCAGCTGTGGTTCCGGAATCTGATCCGTCTGGTCTGGTCACCCATCCTAGGAAACGACGCAGGCGTGACACAGAAAGCTCAGGGAGGTCCGTTCGCCCCTTTCCAGGTGCCCATGGCCGAGAATTGGCAATTCCTGCATCTACCGATGAGCAGCAGCCTGGCGGCGAGCCTGACGACAGCCCCAATGAGGAGGACGAGGTCGAAGCAGCCGAAGCAGATACAGAAGCTTGACGAACGACGAACTCGAGACGTTGAAGAAGGCCTGCAGAATCCGAATTAATTTCCGGGGAGATACACCAGGGTCCCGGATCTGCCAATCGGACCCATGGATCAGGCATTGAGACCGACTACTTGGGCCCGATGCTTGTGGGAGCCTGCTGAGGCTAGGACAACATCCCAACGTCCGTTTGATGGTGTCTTCGTTGGAGGTTGAGATTAAGTTGTAGTTAGGTTGTGGCGTGGAACCTGTTAGGAGTGGATAGGATAGGCGATGCATGGATCGGAATAATAATTAATAGCTAATAAAACTCGACTCGTCTACTTTAGACTTACTTATCCTTCCCGCCAGTAAAAAGGTTGTTTCCGCCCTGCGGCCCACAAGGGGTTTGCCCAGGCGACTGCTTAATCACATGTCAGACCCGATCGTGATGAAGCAATACATCGTGAAGCATCGATAGTTAAGTACAGTTTATCGAGAGCGCCCTGTTGAAGAGTTGGGGAAAATCGCACCGCAATCCCCCAATGAGTGTAGGCAGACGAGACCATTTGGCCGTGGCAAAGGTAAGCATAAGCTCCGGAAGCGCAAAAGACTTCCGCGAGAAAAACAAATATAATATGCATGCCACTCTCTCCCCGTAGTTCGTCACTGCAGTTCCGGGGAGGCGGGAGCCAGCGGCCCATGCCCTTATACATAAGGCTCGGCGCTTCGTAGGGCAAATTGTCCATTTAGAGGCCTTGATCACACACTTTGCACCTTGTTTGAGATTCCCGAGATCGAGCTCTAGTTATGGCCGGTAGAGTGTTTCTGGGTCCGTCTTGGCAATTATAACGACGAATCCTCGGTGATGGTCAAAGAAGGTAATAATCGCTTATGTTGCAGCTGATTTTGCAGCAGTTTCGAGGCTTGAGGGTTGAGATGATACAATATCAGATGTAGCAGGAAGGCGTCCGTCGGAACCGTAGCCTATGTTACAATACGCCCTATGCACGAATCAAGACAACTCGCACAGCCATGCTCTCCCAATGATAGCTCCCTTGCAAAACCGAGCATTGAAACTATCGCACACAGCTTAGTCGGGATACGTTCTTTGCAGAAGGCAGATAATACCCCCCGCGCCAATCGATCAACAAGGCTTGATGGGATAGCCCCCCATCATCGTATACTAAAGGCCCTGAGAATTAATTGCATAAATCAATTGCATAGTCCATGCTACAATGAGCCCTTTGGCTGTTGTTCTTAGTGAAAAGGAGTCCAGCTGTCCGGACTTAGGGATAGGCATTGTTGTGAATGTCAGGGCGGGTGACAGAGTCTCGGCAGCCTAGTTTCCTGCATCTATCAGGGATTGTACTTAATCTTCATCATTTGTTTCTTAACTGTCTTTGTCTCTCTTCATTCAACCACTGCACAGCTTCAGCTTCCCCCAAGTCTTCCCAGAAACATAGGGTTGTACCTCTTACTCCTTTGATTCTTTGATATATTGGGTTTTCTCAACCAACACCAACAAACAAAGACCTCTCCCGGAAGAAAACATAAAAGCCATGGGAGTCCCGCTCGATGGTGGAGAGAAATGGGTGGCAGAGGAGGAAGAGAGAAGAAAAAAGTAGGTTTTCTTCCGTGGGGTAGTGTATATGGCGCGTTGTCACCGAAGATGCTAACCATGGTACTATCAACTAGGTTGGAGTCGTTGAATAAGGCTATAGAGGAGCTGGATGACTCCGTGGCCAAACCCCAAAACAAAGCAGAACCGGGAGAAATAAGACGCCATTTCACCGAAGCACCGGCCGAAGAGCCTACCAATACATCGTCGGGGGAAGATGACGCGGACCAGCTTCAGGAGAGCCTTGACCTAAATGAGTTTGCAAGGTCTCACGAGGACGGAGCCTTCACGCGTCATCTTAACAACTGGCTGAGGTTCCATGGTCTTGACCCAGAAGAGCTGACCCACGAATAGTTTCTTGTAAGTCTTTGAGTGCACCTTTAGCTTTCTGACTTGAAGCGTGACGATGGAGAGAATAAAGGAGGAGCTAATCTCGGCGCGGAAACAGGTAACGAGTCCATTAACAGAAGACTATTCCATAGCTTGTGTTCCGACATAGCCTCTGGTGACCCTGGCTGGCCTATGCGTGCCAACAAGCTTAATGTTGTTTTTGCATTTTGTGATCATAGAAGTAATAGTCGTCTCGCTCTTCAGACGTCTTTTTACGAGTGATACCGCGGTTATGTTTTCACTTTTAACCTATCCTGTTGAGCCGTAACGCAGTTAGCATAGGTCCAATCCACTCGTTGTTTACGTGAATATGAGTTATTTTTGTTTTCAGAGAGAAGATTAATGTCTCGTCATCGCCTCAAAAGGTCCAGCACTTTGAGCCGTCAGAAACAACAACAAAGTGCCGGTGACAAGGCATACGACTAAGGATGACGATACGAAGGGTTTCATCATGGTATGCATCGGAAAATGATAACTTGCTAGAAAAAACTTACAAAATCATCAAAGGCTAGTGTTTTTCTGACCTCAAGTCCACGACTATACCGTGATACCTGTACTCGGGGAGCGACGGCCATTCAGAGCGCAAAATGCTCGAGAGAAAGAGATATATTGCTTGGTATCACGTTCTTTCCAATGGGCAAAAGAGCATAGTCCATCCGTTCTCCTTTTCACGCGTCTTCATAACAGATAATTCGTCGTCGAAACTCGGTTGATGGCTTGAGAGTTTGTTGTGACTTCCCTTTGGGTTTCCCGTTTCGATTTACATCATCTAAAGTAGCTGGTGCTATGGGGTTCGAACTCATACCAGATTGATTCGTCTTATTTGGTAGTTTCAATTTTTTGAGCTCTTTTCCATCTTGGGCTATCGTCTCCCGTTTATCAAAAGACGCGCCAGTGAGCTGATCACACTGCTCTTCATTAGATGTATCGTTTCTGCTGTCGCTAGAAGCTTCTGTTTCTAGTTGCTTCTGGCGAAGAAGAGCTTGAATCTCGCTGTGGCGGAATATTTGAATCTGCTCATCGGTGAGTGTTCTTTTCACCCCGTCGGGGTAATATCCCAAGTCATCAGTATACGAGTCATCATAGACTGTGGAGTGAGTTTCCGTATTATTGAAGGAATTTGCGAAGAAATCAGAGGCCGCGGTCGGGCTGAAGTTCTGGGTAATGAAATGTTTTGTATGGAAAGCAGATAGATCGTCCTAATGAAGGATTAGTTACTAGGTTGATGCAGGACAGGTTTTGGATGTCTTACACATGTTACTGTGGGTATATTCACAGTCATTATTTGTATTCGGTAGATATCTTGAGCTTGTAAAGAAGACCTTTTAGCTGCTCGATTCAATTGCTTTTTGTGTGCTTGGAATGAAGTTTGAAGCTCAACAAAAGCGATGAGGTCAGAATAAGGTCTCAGCCTTGGCGCTTTGTCACGTGATAAACTTTAAAATCCGTTTCAAGGGGCAACTGCTCATCAAACAATCCATCATCGTTCGGGTCTTCCTGCTAGTCTAGAGGAGGACAGTTAGTTCAATCCAGGTCCAGGCTAACAGTGTTGCTCGAAGTCTACATTGGATTTAAATTTTCAAATGGTAGGAAATGCAAATACCTTTCAGGTTTAATTAGATAATGGAACTGCATTGCAAAGGTGTATGGGAGTCATGGTATTGATGTGCACCAAGTAAATTGCGGAGGAGTTTGCACTTCCCCTCGAATTTGTGCTCTGCAATCTCCTATAATGCTAAAAACCTAGGTTGTTCCAATCTAGACCTATTAGACACCTTCGAGACCTGTTTCGTCTGTAACTGAGGCAAAAAGCCTCTCGTTGTGTATTTGATTCCCGACTTTTACTTTGACACTGTTAAATTCGACCACAAGTTCCCGCACTCGCAAGTCGATAGTCGTAAGTCGCTCCTTTTCCTCATCAGATGGCTCTTCAAGCGTCCAGGCGATCGAAATATGGAAACAGTCGGTATGGTCGGTATCAATAGAAGCAGAAGATTGAACAGAATCATCTCGATTTCCTGCTTGCTTTCTGTTTTTTCGCTTTTGCGTACCAACAGGATTCTCATACAACGGTGGTTGACTGAAGTGTGAAAGAACACTATTCGACAGACGTAGTAATTGGTTCAGGCCATTATTTGCCGGGCGGTTGAGCCGTAGGACGAGGAACCACCTTGTACTTTCAAAATTTGATTCCCAGGCTAAGCTGTGGGGAGAGATTTCAAACCTGAACAGTCAAGTAAGCAATAGAGCTACGGGGATCACCTCCTGAAGACACGGCTGGATACTTACGGTTTAATTCTTGATTTGTGAAGGTAATCACGGAAAAGATCAAGAAATGGTTCTCGTTGCTCTGTCAAAAGAGCCACGGGCCTGGAAAGGCTGATATGCAATGGTAGCTGTGCACCGAGATCGCTGTAAAGAAGGCTATGAATAGCTACGTCCTTACCGTGTGCGTTTTGGCATCCTTTAATGATTTTGGACAGGATTCCTAACTCGGTATTATCGGGGTACCCTCCAGCAAAATCAGCGATGGCCGGAATCTCACGTCATATAACATTTGGCCCTCGTAGTTTGGGCATAGGGGAACATCAACATACACTCCAGGTAAATGTGGGTTGGCCAGTTACCAGCAACATGTGGAACGGCTCTTGTCCTTCCGTTGTGAAGGCTAGGATCATCTTGCACGCTGACTCTCGCGGATGTCGAGTACAAGTCCCGAAATTCGGCAGGCAGCGGCGGTAATGCAGAAGCACCTCGCCCATCAGATTTTCGTGGCGCGTTGTCTGATCGACGGCAGCGCCTTTTGGGAGATCTTGACGTGCTTCTGATCTCGCCTTCCCGCCCAGATCCACCTTCTGATTCAGTATCAGAATACTGAACAAGAGACATGGCCAATATCTAATATCTGGCTCTTAAGGGGCGGCCCGCACTTTGTTTGTCGAATCTAAAATGAGTTCGCGACTCAGGCACAGCTGGTCTAACAGCCAGTGAGATGTTATTCCGAGTTTTCCGATTAAACCTGTTCGTCGTTAGTAACTACCAAGTACGGAGTAAAATACCTAGTGAATTAGGTAGGTAGTTATTGAAACTCGTTACTTAAATATCGCTTGGAATAATCTTAGTACTGAAAACCACAATGCCTATTTACTGACAGCGCAGCTCAACTTTCATAGCGAACTAACGCATGCATATGAATCGCCTTTTCCACCACGAAACTAACTACGTAACTAGCGATGGCGTCAGCCGCATCAGCCGCTGCTGGATCTCCAACCTCTCAGCTGTGCGGAGTTTAAGGCTGCACGACGTCCATACTACGATGCCATTTGCCAGTCTTCTTCGAATCTTTTATCTATTGATTGATTATTAGTTACCGGATGTGGCTCCATTGAATCCTGTTGCTACAACCGCACACTCCGGGAGTTTTGACTTGTTCTTCTGAACCAGCACGCCCTGTTAACAAGCGAAATGATAGCCACGCGGTGACACAGCCTAGTAGCCAATTTTTGAGTGCATAGATCTTGCATTAAGGCCACTTAAGCTTCGCACCCTATACCCATCCTAACTCAAGGCTTAATTGTCTACGATCCTGTTTACCATATGGAAACTAAGCGAAGTGGTGCCTAAATTTACCATTTCAACGCTAATCTGTAGCCGAAAAATGTGGACTGCACAGTTGCCAATTGGTTATGCTTGCGGTTATTTCCTTGCATTGGTTGACGTTGCAGATACCCTGAGCATCGTGGCAATATCATGCGAGTGACGGTGAAAATGTCGGTATGTGATCGTACAGCATGGTTACGTTCTGAAGCTTTACTCTGCTTCGACACATAAAATCAGGATGAAATCTCCCAAATATGGACTAATGCCATCACAACCACCCTTCCCACTTGTTCATCCATCCATCACATCCACTCGTCCGATTCCGTGTTGAGCGAAGAATCAGTGAGGACGCTGCGTTTATTCCATTGATATTCAGCGAATGCGTTACAACATCAATGTAGTATGTCTCACCTACCTGACTTCTCCACATCACCGTTTTTATCGCAAAAACTTATGGAATATGCAAGTCATATATTCAAGTTTCTCACAAGCCAGATCCGTGTATCTGAGAATGGGCGTCATAAAAAGACCTCCTTGACTCAAGCGGCTGTTGCGCCGGAAACGCTTTTACCTCATCAGGAGTTTCGAAATTCCCTGAAAGGCCAGGAGGTCTTTGTCCCAAGCCTGTACAGCTTATTCCCGGAGTGGTCCCCAAAATTGCACCAAGGCTATGAAAGAGCGCGTGATGAAGTTATTAACCCTTGGCTGGAGAGGTAGGTCTTCCGTACCCTATGGATGCAGAATATATTCTTACCGGAGTAGATGGGTTGATAACTCGCAAACTTGCATGAAGTTAAAGGCGGCCAATTTTACCATCCTTGCAGCAATTCTTTGTGTGGATACATCGTTTGACAAGCTATGCACAGTTGCCAAATCTTTTGCATGGGTTGGCACCTCTTGACCCTTAAGACACTTGCTACCGTTGCTAACCATTTGATATAGTACTTTATCTGGGACGATCGTATGTATTCTCTCAATCAATATGAATATTTGATAACTAACCAAGGAGATGTGGCTTTAGAATTTGATTGTGGTGCCTTGTCTTATGATTCTAAAGGAGTAGCAGCCTACCTGAAGAAGTGCAAGGAATACTTCCAATATCACCTTTTGGAGATCGGGGAACACCCGGATTTATCACGTTGTTCCCAAGAACAACAAAATGCGTTACTCTGTTGGAATGAGGTGGGCCAGCACCTGCGCGAAAGTTGTAGCAGGAGTATGTTTCTACCATATGCTTTGACTATTGCTTAAAATTCTGACTAGGTGATATTGTTTAGGTGTGTGCGAGGTGTTCCTTGACAAAATGCTAGGATACGTAGCCAGCGTCGACACGGTAGACTCTATTTTCCATAAAGGAATGGTCCCGTCATTGGCAGAATACTGGCAGAGGCGAGACCTTACGGCAGGGGTTTATCCGGTGCTGGCTACACTTCCGTAAGTGACTGGTGACTTTATACCTGTTCGTGAACATAGGCTAAGTGAGAAAGGTTCATCTACGGCATCGATATCTCGATGGAACACTTGAAAAATCCTGCATTTGCAGCCTTATTAAGACAGACATCATATGTCGTCCATATGTAAGCTTACCCGCTCATTCGTGGTGTCCCTATGCTAAACAAAGTTATAGCACAAATGACATGTTGTCTATGCGGAAGGAAGCAGTTAGTTTGCCCCTGTTTGATTATTTATCTTGCTTGTCTTCGTCTCCTACCTAACATTCTCCACTTCTAGAGAGACAACCAAATCGAGACCTCATCCCTGTCATTATGCTGAACTATGAGCTGGACTGTGACAGAGCAATGCAAACCAGCTTCCAAATGGCCAAGGATGAAGTCAAAGGCATCGTGCTGTGGAAAGCCTGCTCCAACAGGGAGGCGAAAGAAAATACCTCTGAAATACCGGAAATTCTCGCAACTTCTTTTATCAAAGGTTGCAAGGACGTTGCTATGGGACTAATTCATTGGAGGTAAGGAAGTATAGCTGTGGCCAAGCTGATACTACCCCCGGCTAACATGTGGCAACAGTTACTCCGGAGAACGTTATTTCAAACAGCAGGAATTCTGTGATGATAAGTCAGTGACCTTTAGAATATGACCTCCCAGCTATAGGAATGACTGTATTAAACAGCATGGACATGGAGGCGTTCTCAAAATAGTTTAGGTAGCAAAAGATTAGCATGCGGCCAAAAACACGATAGAACTAACAAACTATTCAGAACGTCCGCCACCTCAATATAAGTAATTTCACCTTCCGTTCCTTCAATATATGGTTCTTGTGGCTGATAACTGTTGGACTGTTGGACTACAAGAGACAAAAGTGCCTAATGTCCCAAGGATACCTTGGGTAATGAGTACGAGTCGTAGCTAAAGCGGAACATCCCAACGATAATGTTGATTCTAAACGCTGAGTAATCTGTCATACCCCGATGGAATATCTATCTTTTATTGGTCCACATTCGGTCCAAGACTCAGGCCATCTCTGACTAAGCTTAACCGCGCGTGAGGTCACGTGCCAGGGAGGAGAGTCAATGACGCGAATTTTGGTTGTCAAAGTTTCTCAATCCATGGAACCAACATCCAAAATACAACCAAATGTCATCCAAATCAGTTGAATTATCCAAACGTCGACCGAGTGCACCGCACACAAGTCATGGCTTAGTCGATGACATAGTTATAGAGGCGACTCTATGACAGTTATGGCCACAAGATTGAGGAAATGCTGCCGTCTAGGCAGATTAAAAAGCTGGCCGAGAATCCCATTTCTCAGATATTTTCTTCTACTCTCATTCATACCCATTTCTACCCAGAGTATTAGTTTCCGGCTTTACCGACACTCTACTCTCATACATCTATACAGTATAGAACTATAGAGAGCTTTTCCATACACACTGCCCTTGGAAAATACCTTATATTACCGCACCACAACAATCAAGATGTGCTTTCCCGTTATGGATCGTCGTAGCAACAACTCCGTTGTTCCTTCCCGCACGGGGGCTCCCATATCTAGGATGGAGCTTGATGATGATGAATCCAGGCGCGGGCGACAGTTGCACCAACCTGAAGGACCTTCATCCGTTCGTCGTCAGCGCGATGACTCGCCTGATGCCGTGAGGCGCCGCAACTCCTGCCTACGTGCGCATTTGGGCTCGGGTTTAGAGCAACCTGCTCCTAGCCCATTCATCCGGCCAGACGTTATTAATCGTTTGGACGGCGTGGCTGAAGTCTATTACCACCAAGGGCCGTACGATTCTATCGCCACGGAGAGGAATGGAACTCTCAGTGCCAGTTCTCACGGCAACAACGGTGATAGTATCCGCGAGCATCGCCTAGTATTTCCCATTCTCCCTAATGGGTCTATGTCATTGGGTGGTCGAACCAATGCCGAGGATACAGACATGATGGCCGAGGACCAAGGAGCGGTAAGTGTAACTATCCCACCATATTCCCCCTGGATACTCCTGGTTGCCTTTAGTATAGCTCACTAACATTGAACAGAGGTCTGAGGATGATGGCCTCCTGGTGGGCCCATTCTACAACCAGGAGGACATCGAGCGTCGTCGAGTGTCACGCAAGCGCTCTAGATCTGCTGAGCGTGAGGAAACTGAGGCCGCTTCCAATGAACGCGCCATTAATGGCCTCTGGAAGAAGGGTTATTTGTAGGAGTTCACGCACAACCGCTGTACGTTTGCTCTACTACCAACCCTTACATTCGTTTTACTTGCCCATGTCGTCTTATTAAAATACCCAAGATGAACTAAAAAAGTACCCTGATTAATTCGTATTTACACCAGCCTGATATCATGATGTGTTTCTACGATTTGGAGCATATGTGGGAGGAAAAGGAAAAAGAGGTTGCGGCGTGCGTTCACAATGTTTGTTATAGATCTAGTGTTTTGATGCCCTGGTGGCCGATTAACTATGTAACATATCCCTACTCATATAACTAAGCTATAATCATTAACTCATTCTACATAAACGTACTTATGTGCTCCAGATTGCCCTATTTGCCAGCTATACACGTTCACTGTGTATTTAAACAGCTGCATGAAGCCTGTAAGGCGAAATATTTAACTAAAAAAACTATATTCCGGCTTGCATCCCCCTTGCTACACCCGATGTGATTTGAGAATTACGATAAAAACCATGTATCTAACCAAAGAGTAGATTCAATAACTTGGAGAGAGTATTTTGTATTATACAGTAATCATCACACTGGCATTTTTATACCAACCTAGGAGAGGGTTCTCGCCGTTCCTCGTCTGAGTGTCTTCCAAATACGCCCAACGTCTCATGAAATCATCATGGGCTGTTAGCCGCGTGAGTTTACCAGTGATCGCCCGATACACATCCTCCATTACGTTGAAATCAGTAGGGAAGAATATATCAAAATATCCCTGATGTACCTGGAGTAAAAGTGGAGTGAGTATGTATTTTATACGTGGATAATGTGTAGAGATCACTTACATATGGAGTTGTTGCCTGGACATTCCTTCTTTGATATCGAGTCTGGACAACGGGGGCATTAAAGCCGGGCACAGCGTCTGGGAGAGAGTCAAAGTCACTCGCAATAAGACGATGAGCCGGGAAATAGTCATGTAGAACATCATAGAACTGCATGAGTCGAGTTGGAATATATTCTGGCAGAGTCATATTAGGCGCAAAGGGAAGTGCTGTCTGCAGCTTACGCCATAATCGGGGTCCTAGTGGGGTGGTAAACGGTCGACGAGCCGCTGCCTGCCTAACTCGCAGAAATCGAGCAGCAGAACGGTCCAAGTCTGGGACGTAATATTCATAAAACTCCCCGTCAGCGTCGATGAGAACACATCCCTGCCTGGGTTGCCCAGTCTCCATGTCATAACGGATCACATCGTGCCCAAAGTTATCGAAAACCTCCAATGCTAGGAAAAAGCAGGGGGAGTGGACGTAGGTATTCCAGTCAAATATAGATCGATTGATAATTTCAGCATGGCCACCATGACCACCGGCGTGAATAGAGTGGTTGAGATTCTGCTGTTGCAGGTTGGCAAGACTGCTCGAGATTTCAATGATCTTGTACTTCGTTCTTTGGTATACCTCCGGTTCAACATCCCGGATGTAATCTAAAATATTAAGCATCATTGTGCCATTTCCGGCTCCCATCTCGTAGATTATCAGATCATGATATGGGAAAAGTGTCAATTTGTAGTTCGTCACAAGGTATCGCGCAATGGCTTCTCCATAGTAGGGACGGAAAAGCTCAGTGGGTGTGTGCCATAGCTGTCTAGTTTCATCGTAATTTGACTCATCCAGCTTATCTTCGAATTCCACGTATCGCTGGTCTAGCAACTTGTTAAACGCAGGTCCATCCTCGATGCTGTTGAAGTCGAATGGTTCGCCGGGCGTAAAGATAGTCGCGTGCTTCGAGAAATAACCATAATGCGGGTTATACAGGCTGTCTAAAGAAAAATAGGTTAGCAATTAACATAATAGACGCTTTGGACAGTGGTTGGAAGCTGTAGAAATCTTCCGCAACTTAACCCATACCCTCGATGAAATCTCTTGTCAACATCTTCACCCTCTTCGGCCGTTCACGGCGATTCCGCAACTCAACCGCGGTAACCAACGGGTAATCCCTGAGCTCCTGCGACATGTCCTTTGGGAAATGGTCTATTCGATGTCTCCAAATGGTGTCTTCTTCATCTTCCTTCTTTCGCCTGCTCCCAAGCTTCCTGGAGGCATAGCGTGACTGCTGATGTCCACACGAACATGGCTGTAACGAGCGTCGGGTCCGCAATGGCTGGGAATATGACAACGATCGCGTCGCCTGATGCCGGAATAGCTGGCGAAAAAGGTGCGAAACAACTGGTGAATCCATTGCTTGTCAAAAGCAAAGACGTTGTTCAAGCTCGAGCTGCGATTTTGTTTTCGTTCGGCAAAATAGGACGAGATGGTCCGAGCTTTGATAGACCGTTATTTTCACCACCACCACCAATTAATTAAATAACTAGTTTGAACATCTTCGAATTTCTCTACAACAGATGACATTAAATGATCTATAGAGGATATAAGGCAGCGGGGAGGGCGTGATAACCAATTGTTTTCAGGATGGAAGAAACATCTCGCACTCCCGTTTATGTAGCCGCTGCTTTCGCAACAGGCGCTATATGCACCATCGCAATCGACAGACTCCTCCGCTCTGATGGAGTACTGAACCAGAGAGAGCATGAAGGCAAAGATGCAATGAATGGCCACTCGATAATTAATGGAATAGGATACCCAGAGTCCCCCCCAAAGCCGCAGCCTCCTCCAATAGTGGATGGTATTGAAGGATGTATTGGGAACACCCCTATGGTCCGTATTCGGTCTCTATCGGAGGCGACTGGATGCGAGATACTAGCGAAAGCAGAAGTAAGATGAACGAACTCTTTGCTTGTATACAGGGAGTTATATCTTATGGCCAATATCTAATCCATTCGACAGTTTTTAAATGGAGCTGGAGGAAGCCCCAAAGACCGCGTTGCTTTAAGTATGATACAGGAGGTTAGATTGCAGCCTATTCTAGATTAATACTTCCGTGCTAATGCCGTGGTCTAGGCTGAAGAGAACGGTCTTCTCACGCCATTTGTAGGAGATGCTATCTATGAAGGCACGGTAGGGTCTACGGGAATATCCCTTGCCACTCTAGCAAGGGCAAGAGGATACCTCGCACATATGTATGAGTCCACTGAGCGTGCCTTTTCCTCCCTAAAAGTACACTCCATTTACACATATTCTACAGATGTATGCCGTCGGATCAATCGACAGAAAAGTCAAATCTCCTCCTCAAATTAGGGGCGGTTGTCGACAGAGTTACTCCAGCTCCCATTGTAGAAACCGGCCACTTTGTCAACAGGGCTAGGAGTCTGGCCCATTCTCACGGAAAGGGGCAACAATTATCTCGTGAATCTTCACCATTTGAAAAGCCAAATATAGAGGCCATGGCCTCAGATGCTGCTGCTAAACAAAGTCGGGGTTTCTTTGCTGATCAGTTTGAAAATTCTGCCAACTGGCGAGCCCATTATCGAACGACAGGACCAGAAATCTATGCACAGTGTGAGGGTAAGCTGGATGCATTTGTTGCCGGAGCCGGAACAGGTGGTACCATCTCTGGAGTTGCGCGATACCTGAAACCTCGGGTTTCGAATATGACCGTAGTGCTTGCGGACCCTCAGGGGAGTGGGCTATATAACCGAGTCCGCTACGGCGTGATGTTTGATACGAAAGAAAGAGAAGGGACAAGAAGAAGGCAACAAGTCGACTCTATCGTGGAAGGTATAGGTATCAATCGGGTTACTGCAAATTTTGAAGCTGGGCGAGAGCTAGTGGACGACGCTGTAAGGGTTACTGATGCACAAGCTATCGCCATGGCACGTTGGTTGGTGGAAAAAGATGGTATATTTATTGGCAGTAGCAGTGCCGTAAACTGTAGGTCTTCGCCTGCCCTCACGCATAATTTGCCTGAAAACACTAACCCGTTAACTTACGCAGGTTTTGCTGCAGTTAAAACGGCCCTAAAGCTAGGCCCAGGTCATAGAGTTGTGACAATTCTCTGTGATTCCGGAACAAGGCACTTGTCAAAGTTCTGGGCTGAGGCAGGCAACGTTGGAGGAGCTGTCGGTACTAAGCTTGAGGACGTTCTTAACGCAAAGACGTGAAAATAGAGTGAAGTTATACAATGGTAGGTAGATGGCCGGTTGTCTTGTCATATATTTCCGCAATGGCCAGCCATTTGCACGAATTCCGGCTCCGATTGTGCATTGTGGACGCATTAGCTATCGCCTCCTTGTACAATAATTCCCCCGGCCTTACTATTTGATAGCATATGCTTCTTAGGCGAGCGAGAAGTCATTGGTGGTGTGCTTATCTGCACGCTAGCCAAACCAGAGCTATGCCATGCTCTCTCAAAGGCCTCAGAAAGAGGATCGGGACTTTCCTCTCGATTGTTCAGACCCTCAGCAGTACTAGGTGGAGATTCTTCCCTGACCACATGCACTGACGGGTTTCTAAGAACAGACCTAGACTGGAGCGGAGAAGAAACAGTGATGGTGGATCGAATCGGAGTTTGAAATAAAGGCGACACCTGGGTAAATGGCCGCTTTTTTACTTTGCTGGGAGTTTTTGAATCGACCCAACTTTGCCAGAGAGTTTCTCCAAGGCAGATTTTAATCCATTCATGCTGTATATCCCCTAAGCTCTTGTTTGGAAATTGAGATTGAACCGTTTCCCATGAATTTTTGGCTTCTGGAGTGAGAGATGCAAGTTTCTTTTTCTCTGAATCCGTCCACGATACCGAGGAAGGAGAGTTGCCGCTGATTTTTTTACAGTAAGCGTAGTACCACTGTCGTAATTGGGCGGGCGAACGAGTCGGAATAGCCAGGGATACTTCACGCCATGGTTTCCGTTTAGTTAGCCGTAGAGTGATAAGGGTCTTTACCTCCTGAAGGGTAAGGTTGTCAGGCGAGACTTTTGGAGTCGTTATTCCACTGCCTGGGCTTCCAGTAACGGTACTCACCCCTGGATCTGGGTCTTTCTGCGGTGTAGCTACTGCTAGACCAGGGTCACTATCAAGATCTAGAATGGGCTGATATGTTGGAGTCCCTGGAGTTATCTCCTTGGCGGTCAAAATGATGCCCGTGTTAACCTTGAGAGGTATTTCCTGTTCACTAATAGAGGCGCCATTGGTCGTCCTATTGTCGCCTTCTATAGTAGATATTGGCTCTTTTTGAGGTGGGGTGTATATATCTTTGGATGCAACAGGCGTTTGAAACGTGGCATCCTTGGATGGTGAAATGGTAGAAATAGTAGTTGGGCGCCTGGGAGTAGAGGATATCGGTGTGCGGTCCTGAATTGGGTCGTCGGAATCAGAATCATTGGGGACCAACTTTGACATGCGTGTTGGGGTTTTCTTTGGAGGGTTCTTCGGTTTGCTTATATGGGGTATTCGCCTGCGCCTTGAGTGGGGTGCGGCCCATATTGATCTATTGTTGTCTGGGGAGGGCGTCCTTTCAATGTTCTGGGTTGTTGCAATTTCCATATCTTCTAGGCTGGCGGACAGAGCTGTAGTGGGTAGTGGAGGCGCATCCCATAAGTCTTCAGGAAGCTGACTGTCATCTCCATGGCTTTTATCATCTTCACGGCGTAAATTGCTTACACTCGCAACAGCCTGGGGACTTGGTATAATCACTGACTCTTGTCCCGTCTCCAAATCCCCGGCGGGCTGGGGATTCCCCGGGCAGATAGACGAAAGATCTACCCCAATTCCAGAAGCCCGTTCCCCCTTTCCGGCCGTTGCATCGTAGTCGTCTTGAATAACCCATTCCTTAAAAAATGTGTTCCCCGTCTCAGAGTCTCCAATGTTTTCCGTCAGCGGCTCGATATCCTGGCCTTGCTGCTCTTCCTCCGCTTCACTGTCATCTTCCGGATGGAAGTCATCCCAAAGTCCTCTCCCAACGTCGTGCTCATCTCCCATCTCTGTTAGATGTCCATTGTCCACCACGATGGTCCCTTTGGCCAGGTCTATCTCGTCACCAACGGAGCTGAAATCCTTCCCGTACTTTTCGAATATGGACTCAAAGCGGGACTTAAGTCGCAGATTGTTCGCCTTCCTAGCTTTGTTCACGTCGAAATCGTGTGAAAGGCCGTCGTTTGGGCTGGATTGGCTCTCAATCCGGCGACGTTTGTTTGGTGGTGACATCTCTGGTATTTAGGTATAACTATGCGCCCGCGCATTGCAGTTTGCTGTAAAGTCGAACAAACATCCCCAGTGCAAGCAATATCCAGGTAAGAAGGCCTTATAAAAGAACGGAACAATGCTCCTTGCTATATAACCCCTGTGCTGTCATTCGGATGTGTCTGCGTGTTTTGGTCGTTGAAAACCGCAAAGTAAATAAACCGCACGCCAAGAGAGCCAACATCGTCATAGGGTCAAAAAGTGCAAAGCTCACCTACAACCACTCCTACAACTACAACTACGACTACGGTCACAGCATGTAGCTGGAAATTCTCTGTGCCGTTGTATAACAGTCATGGTCGCCGAGAAACACAGCTGGAATCATGTATTGCCAGAAATGTCGCACGCCTCTCAAGCTGGATAGCTCTCTTGAAGAGCTCAACCCGGCAGCATATGATCTTCTAGTAGGTAAGTTGAGCTATCGCTTCATCGACTACGGGCTGTATGACATGATCTAACCGTCGAAGCAGGCCCAGCGGGGAAGTCTACCCTAAAGCCAGCTGGCCTGGCTCGCTCGCGATCCTCTTACCCTCCCGAGCGCAAAGAACGATACGATCAGGCATCGCAGCGGACATCCTCCGCAGTTTACAGAAAGGAGATCCCGGCCTCACGACATGGACGAGGTACCCCCGAGGCTAGAACGCTGGATCCAGCTCCTGGGATGTCCTTTATAATGCTGAATGAGTCGGTACACGCCTCACCTTACCAGTCAAACAGCCCCGGCCAGCAGCAGAGGGGGAGGCACAAGGGCCAGGAGACCTCGGGTGGTCAACCACAGAGCCATGAAATATTATTTGCGGATCAGGTTGAGCGGACAGCACGGATTTTCGAAATAGTGTCTGCTCGGTCAGATATTGACCATCCGATATGTGCGGATTGTACCGATATGCTCGTTGACGGCTTACAGAGCCAACTTGCAACAGCCACGAAAGAGCGGGATGCGTACATCTCGTTTCTCAAAAGTTTAAACACCTCTATTCCATCAGCAGACGAGATGGAGGCTGTGAAGGAAACGCTAGAGGCAACTCTCAAGGCAGAAGCCGAAGCGTTTGACCAGCTACTTGAGTTGGAAAACCAAAAGAGGGCAGTGGATAAAGAGATCGCCGAGTTGGAGGAAGAGTCAAGACAGCTGGACTTGGAAGAGCAGAAGTTTTGGCATGACCGCAACGCCTTTGCCTTGAGACTCTCTGAATTTCAAAATGAGCGGGATGCTTTGAATGTGAAGTACGATCACGACTCTCGACAGCTTGAGCGTCTACAACGGACTAACCTGTTCAACGACGCATTTTGTATTAGCCATGACGGCTATTTTGGTACTATTAATGGCCTACGGCTTGGACGACTTGCCAGTCAACCCGTCGAATGGTCGGAGACAAACGCTGCCTGGGGCCAAACTGTGCTGCTTCTTGCCACCATTGCCGAACGAATAGGGTTTCAGTTCCAAGGTTACAAGCTACGTCCCATGGGCTCGACATCCCGGATCGACAAGATCGAATACCCGCAACCGAACCAGTCTCAATCCCAGTCTACAAATCGGCAAGATGGAGCAAACGGTGTGCAAAACAAGATACAACCCAAAATCACTCCCCTTGATCTCTTTTCTTCTGGTGAATTGCCGCTGAATCTACCGTGGTTGCATCGCCGATTTGATGCCGGCATGGTTGCCTTCCTCGAATGCCTTCGACAACTGGGTAGTCAGGTCGAAAAGACACCAATTTCCATACCTACTCCCGCAGAGCCGTCGTCTTCTAGGCCGGGAAACACACAAAGACGCCAAAATTCGACCCAAACCACGGGCCTTAAGTTGCCGTATGAAATTAAGCGTGATAAGATTGGCGATGCAAGTATCAGGCTTGGTTTTAACCAGAGTGATGAGACATGGACGCGCGCTTGCAAGTATACGCTTACATGCTGTAAATTCTTGCTAGCCCATGCAAGCAATGCTGGATCTAGCAAATCGAACACCTGAGGTGTTTTCTATCGGAGATCTGAAGGCAGACGTATAGTAACTCCTGTTTGATGTATTAATATCATTGTGAAATCTAGAAGTGTAAGGGTATGCTTAATACGGTTTGATTTAATAACAGGTTAGTCTAGCGTTTTTCTATCAAAGAGTGCCAATGAGCTATCAAAAAAAAAGTCGGTAAATTGATCGTATGTCAACACATTTCAATTTCAATCAGGCCTGCTTCAAACAAAATAAGGGAGTGAAACATTAATTCGTATTAGACAACATCAAGCTGCCCGAGGATAGTACAGTTGCAAACAAAAGGCCGTCCGTGGATACAGATAGCCACACAAACAAGTCATAACCAATGTTTCTCAACTTTCACCTGAATACTTTCATTAGAGTCATAAATCATATTTTAAGGAGTGCTGGCATCGTCAACAGGAATGGTGTCAAGGAAAGTAGACGCAAACTGAACAAATTTAAAGGCATCAGCGAAATTAGATGCGAGGCCCAGGGAGATGCGAACGAAACCACGACTGGGCAAGCCGACATCAGTAAAGGATGTCTCGCTCTCCCTTCTCCTTCCTGTGGTTTTCTCGCTGGCCTGGCTTTCACGGGATACTTGTATAGCATCCGGTGAGTCTGACTCAACGGCAGCAGAAGGTTCTGTGTTTGGCTGAAGGGCAGAACCGACGTGCAGTGTTATATTGCGTGCAGCGGCCCGGCGAGCAACTATTCCTTCATCAACCAAACACCCCTTCATGTCGACGAAGTTGAGGGCGATTATACCGCCACGGGGCAGGTCAGAGGTATACGGGCCGTATATTACCACCAGCGGCTCACCGTTGGTGTGGGTTAGGCCGCTGAGTTCTTTGAGCAGCCAGTTGGTAAGACAGCTAACGCGAGCATGAATGGCTTGCATGCCTATACCAGCTATATGATTGAGGCCGATGCGGATTGCAGGAAGGGAAAGGAAGTTGATAGTACCGTCTTCGAAACCTTCGTTGCCGCCGAGCAACATATGTCCGTTTGCCTGGACTGAACTGCCCCAGACAGTACCTCCGGCAAACCAGGGACGGCCTAGTTTAGCAAAGGCCTCCCTGCGAGCCAGGACTGCACCGACGCTAGATGGATGGCCGAACATTTTGTAGAAGGATACGCTGACAAAGTCCGGGTGCCAGCGGGAGAGGTTGAGTACGTTTGTAGGAGCATAGTTGTCAGCGTCTAGCAAGACATGCCATCCCTGCTCCTGAGCATCGGCAATCCACTCCAAAGGATGCTGGACACCAGTAAAGTTCGACTGCGCGGGAAAAGCGAATAGACGGGCGGGGGTCTCGTCAATGGATTCCTTGCGTTTCAGAGCAGCCTTTACCGCGTCGTCGTCGCATCGTAGCTCGGGTTGTTTGACGGGTAGATATGAGACAGCCGCGCCCCGTCTCCTGGCAAAGTCTTGCAGCCCTATCACGGCAGGCTGATTATCGTTGAGCAGAAGCAGTTCACCTCCCTCAGTGAAAGGGTAGGCTTCTCCGATCAGTTTGAAGGCATTGGATGTGTTAACGGTGAATATGACGATATATTCTGCTGGATCTGCCCTGAAGAAGGACAGCACTCTGGCCCTGGCCTGCTCGTCCAACTTAGTGATGGCGCTTGAGGTCGGGTTGATTGAGTGCGGGTTGCCAAAGACATTGCTTCGCAGTAGTTCAAAGTGACGCTGCAGCTGTGATTCGCCGTGTATACCAGAGCCGGCATAATCCAGGTATATTCGTTCTTCTTTGTCCAGGACTGGATAGTCGATCTGGCGTATATGGTCCAATCGAAGGGTCTCTGCGTACGTTGGATTGGCCTTGCGGAATGCCTTCTCAGCCTTTCGGAGAGCACGGGCGACTCTATGATTGACGATTAAGCGCCGTCGGGCCAGTTCGAACTTCTCCAAATAACGGTCTAGAGGGAGACATATCAGACTTGAGGATGAGGAGGCGGCCATCGTGCATATATGTATGTCGTGTGTATGCACTCAGCGTATATGCACTTCAACCACGCAGCACAGGAGAAAAAAAGGCACAAAATGTCCGGATTGATTTCCCTTCGTTCAATCAAGGAATCCCCAGCATCAAATAGTGTATGCTGGACCAAGGTTGGCAGTTCCCCCCTGCACGGAGTAAGGAGGGTTACTATGTATATATAGGTTGACGCCGGCCCTGACAGCGCCAACGCAGCATCCCGTATATATATCTGATCATCCTATAACTCCGTCCCTGGCTGGGCAGCAAGCAAGCATTATTATTGAATCCCGCCTGCGCCCATGAACGGGTTTCTTTCCTTTCCTTGGGATACATTCCGCTCTTTTCCCCAAGGTGATGCTGCAGAGGCCCGCCGCCATGCAGCTTTTAGTGCAGGATTTTCGCTCTGAGGCTAGCCAGGATAGGAGAGAGGACGCGGTTATTTGGCTTCCTGTCCGTATGCGAAGTGTTCAGTCATCAGCCGTCTCGAGGCCAGAGTCGATTGGTTCTGTTGGATGAGCGCAAAGCCCGCTGGCCGGGGGCTCCCATGTAGGGGGTTGGGATCGAGCGCTGAAGGGGAGGGGAGACTTTTTGGCCCTAGCGAGCGGCCGGGAGGAAGCTCGCTCGGTGCAATTGCCCCCAGGCATGTGGATACCGAGATGGTTGGCCTGTGTCTGAAAATTGGGTTGTGGACGTGGAAGCGCATGCGTTGTGTGTTGAGTGATGAATTGATGATGCGGAGTTGATTGATATATATATTATATACAGCGGCCGTTTTCCCACCCAACCAACCACCTTATATAAAAATGAGTAACTAATATAGATGTAGCAATAATTGAATGAACACCGGGGCCAAACACGCTCAAAGACCTCATAAGTAGCCAACGTAACACCGCCTGAGAAAGAAAAAGAAGAAAAGAAAAAGATTAAACAGAAATATGGTAGTTCCTTTTTGCTTTTGCCTTAGGAACAGAAATTGGATTTCTGGAAGCTCTCCAGGGAGATGTCAGTTGGCTTCGACTTGACGAGCTCGGGAGCTTGCTTCAATGCAGTCAGGCTCTTCGTCCGCAACTCGGCAGCATTGCCAACCAGAGTGCTCGTCCTCGTAGCTGGGGCGCTGTTGGTGCTGCTGGCGGTTCCAGCCGTGATCGCTTGCTGCTGTGGCCTGCGTTGAATCGCCTCGAGATAGGGGCTTGGCAGGTATCCGACAGAGCCGTCACGGCTCCTGCACCTCCACCATTCGGATGGGTTTCCCATTGGGTCTGACTTGCTTAGGACGGCAACAAGATCGCCCTTCTTTACAGCAAGGTCGATGCCACCAGTGGTCTGTGTATCGGGCGAGTAGTCATATAGCACTCGGCAGAAGTCGAGCTTGGACGGATCAATGGATCCCTGCTGCTGGGCTTCGTTGAGGAGTTCCTGTTGTCGTTTGGCTTCCTGCTCTTGTGACCGGGCTAGGACGCGAATGAGCTTCGACATTAGATAGGGGAGGCCGAAGACGGCAGCGACGAAGAAGAAGAACGGCTTCTTTGATGGCTTGGGACGACCGGAGCCGTCGGGTAGGCCACCGCTGTTGCCAGTGAAGGCAGAGAAGGCCGACGGGGTCAGGGCAGTTGCGTCAGCTGGGAGAGGTCTGCCGGTCAACTTGGCCAGCAGTGTCCGCAGCCATCGAAGGAGTGTGAAAATACCCAAGACGGAGCCGAGTGTGTTCTTTAACGTCCCGAACTGTTCTGCCACCGATACCATAGCTACACCATGTTAGTCACACCGGTCTATCAAGGGAGATATTTTTATATATGGCATCCTTTTGTTTTTGACTCACCAAAGAATGAGCTATGCGTGGCCATGTAGGTGCTCTCCAACATCTGTGCGAACCCACCAAACGCTCCCACGATGCTCTCGATCATCTGAAACGTCGCCTGCGTGTTCTGGTTGAACGAGTTCGTCAAGCTGTTGGGGTCGCCGTTCTGCATGCCTCCGTACATTCCTCCCATCCCGCCATAACTGCCATACATCCCTCCCATTCCGCCATAGCCGCCGTACATCGAGCCCATGCCTCCCATCGCCCCAAACCGTGAATACGGCGACGAGTAGTTGTTGTAGCCACCGGTATAGGGTGATGTGCCTAGTCTTGATGCGCCATAGGGAGAATATGTGGAAGCTGTTTGGTTGACTACGGAGTTCAATGCGCTCGGCCGTGATGGCAGTTCAGGTGCCGAGGCAGAAGATGTGGTGGTAGAAGAAGACGGTGTAGACGCAACGGCGGTAGTAGTAGAAGACTGAGGTGCAGCAGAAGCCGTTATAGCCCGCGGTGCCACTGCAGAGCCTATATCCATTGTAAATCAGGTTAGTTCGCCGTGTCCCGAAAATTTCGATATTTGGTAGCTCGCGATCTCAGCTGGCGAGGGGCGTAGTGACAGCAGCGTCACCACTCTCAAAAAAAACTAACCTGTAGCTGCAACTCCTGCTCTCTCCCACGGCTTAGGAGGCGACACAGATGCCATCGCGGTGTCTGATATATGTCGGCTGTATTCAGTCCCGTTGCCCCCCCTTTACCCGCGGCGCACCCGTCAACGCACTAGTCAGCTCAACACAGGCGTGATCAGGAGCGGTCTGGCTGCAAGCACTAAAGATGACTGCGTGTCGGTTATCCACAGTCTGGAGTAACAAAGTATGTAGGTATCTGGGGAAAGATGGAGAAGAGAAGATAACCGAGTAGTCGCAGCAGTCGTAGTCGTAGTCGTAGTTGTGGATTTAATCAACTTCTCCTTCTCCTTCTCGCCGTCTTCGCCCTTTTTCGTCTTCACCAAAAAACAAGCCGAGGATGTAAAAAAAGTCTGAGTCTCGTGACTCGCCGCCGCGTCACATGCCTCGGCTTCGGCTTTACTTAGTGCCGGGCAGAATGTGGTCACGTGGATAAACCGGGCGGTGAGCAAAAGTGGAAGCAGCTTCTTTCGTTTCTTCTTCGTTCAACTGCAAAGACAACTTGATATTCTACAAGTTGCAAGTTATAAGGGAGGGATGAAAGATGGATATATAAAGTACCATGGATGCTCTTTTGGTGGTCTAGAGGTGCTCACTACACTACTGGGCTTAACCTAGTGGAAGTCGGTGAGGCTGATAAAGAGCGGTGCAGATGATACCCGTTGAAGCAGCGTTATCAAAGTCTACTGAGTGACCGTTTATTCCCCCCAGGGCTCAAACCGCTGAAGATTCAGAGTGGCGTTTGACGGTTGGACAGCATAGTCAATGACTACCAGCAGCCCGACCGCCATAGGATGTGGTTGCTATAGGCCGAAGGACTCGTTCTTCCTACCTATACCACAGGGCCGAGACTCCTCCATGGCAGAGTTGACTCTAACATGGACAGAAGTAAGCATCAGTTTACTTGGAAGGCGTATTCCCTAGTTTAATACACCAGTGGATGACTCGTCCGTATTTATACCCAATATACCAAGACCTGCACAGCTTCCTTTATTCAAATCTAATGGACCAGATCATCTTCTGTCGTCATCATCCTGAAGGCATCAGGATGCTCGGGTAATATATCCATTTTAGAGTGGTTTGTTTCATCGAGGATGCGGTCCTTGGGTTTGTAGGCCTTCTAGAGGCTTCTCTGCATCGGATTTTCAGCTGCTTATAAATTCATAATCGGATAAGGACAAGTATGCCTCTATACCCATCCTAGAGAGAGTCTTATAAAACACTTTAACGCCTATGGGCTCCTAGCTTATCAATCCACATTCGGTATCTATCCTTCAGAGTTTACTTCCACCACCGACTTTTACATTTTACTGTCATGGCAAGCACTACTCCAAAAATCAAGCTATGGTACATCCCGGGAGCATGCTCTCTCGCTCCACACATCATCCTCAAAGAGACTGGATTGGACTTTGAGCTGGTCAAAATGACATTCAACACCCTCAACAATGAATACAAGGAGATCAACCCCAAACTTCGCATCCCAGCACTCGCAATAAACGACGACATCATCACCGAAAACCCCGCGGTGATGATGGCAATTTCAAACCTTGTCCCTGAAAAACATCTCTTCGGCAAGACGCCACTAGATACGGTTCGCGTCGTGGAGTGGGCAAACTATATATCGGGCACGCTACACGGACAGGCATTTGCGGGACTCTGGAGGCCACAGCGTTTCACGGCCGATCCCGAAGATCACCACAAGCTTCAGGCGATGGGCATGACGGCGATTAAAGAATCTTTCCGGTACATCGAGGATAAACTCAATAGCGTCCATGCTGTTGGTGACTCGTATACGATTGTGGATGCATATCTTCTGAACATGTACCGATGGGGCCGGGCAGTCCACTTACCCATGGAGTCGGACTACCCGAAGCTCACCGCTCTTGTTGCAGAGGTCTCGAAGCGCCCGGCCACTGTGGCTGCGACGGAAGCCGAGGGTCTCTCGCCAATATTCAGCTGAGTAGATCGGCACACTCAGCTTTAGGTCATAGCCATATCTTTTCGCGAACGAGCCTGGTTTAACCTCTTGTATAATATTCCAATAGAAATGAACTGTGTCTCATTAAATCAAAGTAACAATACATTAGGTATCCTGAAGCCGTATTAAATCTGTATACGCCGGAATTTGAAAATAGCAAAAGTAGCGAATAATAAAAGTGCCGCCAAATGCTGTACTCTATAGCTCGTCTACGTTAGGGAAGTGAAACTCCCATGCCCTAGGTGGGACAGGTAGCCCAAGCCAAAAGCTCCATAGACGGTTGAGTTCTAGTACCATGATCTCCCAACTATACAAATCATATGTTAGCGATGTACTCAGTACGTCATGGTGCAAAGGTAGGTTACTCACGCTAGGAAAGGGAAGTTGATCCAGCTCTTTACAATGAAGATATAGGCGCGCCATATTAAAGTGGCTTCCTCTTTGATCATCGCCATAATACCTGGTGACTTATACTCGTCTTCTGACTGGGTATACATATCGGGCTCATCTTCAATATCGTCGACAACAGGCTGCTCTTCCTGTTTCTCGCTTGCGGCCTTTTCAGCCTCCTGGGCTGCAATCTCATGTCCAATTGCCTCCTCGAACTTCTGAATAGATGCCAGACTATGCGATACGCGCCCGAGGGTGTTCACCAGTGCAACAAGCTCCGTCCTTCGTAAAAGAGGGTTCTCCCCGTTCTTCGTCTCGTCGTATTCGAACAGCACCTTCAGGGCAGCGCCGTATCCAGCTGTCTGGAGTTTCCCCCATAGTCGACACTTGTCACATCCAATGCAGTCCATCACGCGGCTGACGTTTCTGAACCTGTTACGGAAATCCTCTTTAAGACCGTTGGCAACAGAATCCTGGAACATGGTGGTCTCGTCGAAGATTTGAGGGTGGCTTGCCACAATGTGCGTGAGGCTGTTCATTTTCTGCTTGGTTTCGTAGTCCTGATCTGGATCACTGATGCAGAAGCTATAGCTCTGCAGATGCTTCTGCAGCTTAGCAACGGCTCGGGTGAGGACACCGAAGTTGAAGTATAGGTTGGCAATGCGTTCCGGGTGAGAATGTAGCCTCTCCTTGAAGCATTGCATATTCGGAGCCCACTTGCCCGTAGTCTGGTTGAAGTAGTCCCAGCAGAGATGAGTCGAGATAGACGCATGCATTCCACTGATTAGTCGGTGGAAGACTCGTTTCTCAAGGCATTCGTCGTCTAGAGGGTATACCTCGTCGCGTACAGCTCCTGAGACTAGCTGGTTGACCTCATGGCTTTCAAGTACATGTCGGAAATCCTCCACAGCCTGGTTCTGTGAACCCAACGGCGCTCCAAAAACATTATCCGGGGTCAACCGTGACTTTTGCGGTGGTTTCAGAAAGCAATTCTCTCTGTAAATTGCGTTCCAAACATGCCTCGCTCCCGGTCCTGAGTATCCCGTAAACCGCTCTGGGTTGTCCAGCAAGCTCACGTAGTCACCTTTGCCCGTGGCTCCCTCATCTTCAGGGACACAGTAGTCGCGTTCATCACATTCATCATCATATTCAACAACACAGGACTCCTTGACGTCCTCACCCAGCATTCCTTGCAGCGGTTTCTCCTTGGGCCGCTCCTCCTGAAGCTTCTTGCCTGGGTGTCCAGCCTTGGGGCCTTCCAGCTTACTTAGCTCCTCTGCTCGCCATATCAACGGTATATCCTCCTCAGACTCCAGAGTGCTGACGGAACAGGCGATGTTCCCGCACATTCCAGCATCGTCCGACCAGAAAGGACATTGTTTGTTGAAGAGGTTTAGACGGTAATAGGAGAAGAAGTCCGAATGCTGTGTGAGGGACTTGAGGACAGGTGTTATCTGCTTGTTTAGCCCGTCGAATGTGGCGAAGGACGCACACGCATCGGAGACAGTCGATTTAGAGTCAATCTATACAGAATATCTCCCATTAGCAAGCGGTACAACACAGATATTGATAGGATCAAGCGTACCGCGCACGATCTAGATCTGTTGCTGCTGTCTTCCCCGTGAGCCGGAGCAAGGAGACTAAACACTGCAAGGTAGAAGAGCTTCGAAGCGCCACCCATGTTGACTAGCGAGAGGAGCAGTTTGAAACTGCTTGTCCGGGCTCAGGTATCAAGCACAGATATCGCGTGTACTCCGTATATGCCTGTTGAATTGCTGCGTTTGGTGGAGCTTCCAAATAGCCCAATATCTCCGACAGGCTAAGAAACGATAGTGAGGGTAACGAGGGTGCAATGCCGGAAGAGACAGTGTTATATATCTATCAATCAAGGAAACAAGGAAACCAGGCGAGTCTAAGTCAGGCCATCTCTGCAGCGGTGGTTCGACAGGCAGGTAAGTCAAAACCTCCTTTTTTTCAATAACTAATTTATATTTATATTTGGTTCTTCCATCTCAAGATTTCTTTTGCATGGTTTCTTTTTGTTCGAGAAGATGACATGTGGCCTCCAGCCAATCGCCAGTGACGTCAGCCGCATTATTCAGTGTTATTCAAACTCGATCAATAAGTTATTAACAGTCATTGAGCAGAGACAAAGGTCAGGAGGTCTACCGGAAATATAATTCAATGGGCGGCTTAGGGATACTAACTGCAAAGTACTATGGAGTGTTAAGCCTTTTAGTTGGTAATTGGTTATCCTGGCTTGACCATGCTTGATGCGGGCTGTTTGCTAGCTATCCTTGCATGCAGGGCCGAGAAGAGAAACTTTTGATGCTCATTCTATAATTAAAACATATGATCTGGCTGGTACATTAAAGGAACAGTGATATACATGAGATAGTGGAGGTCGAAGATGTACACTAGCAAAAAAGCATGTCTACAGCTTCGATGCCTGTGGTCCCTTGTCTTTCTTCGCAGCTTGCCAACCAAATTCGATGGACTGTCCGATGCCAGGTTCAACAATGACATTGACAATGGTAAACTTCTGCTCCTCCAAGAAGCCTGCTCTAGTTGCATCTTCTAGCTCCTTTTCGTTGCGCACGAAGAAGCCCTGTCCGCCACACACACTTGCCAGACGGTCATATCTCGTCTCATATGAAAGACTGGTAGAGCGAAGGCCCTTCTTGTCTTCGGCTGAAGACGAAGTTGTCTCGTTTGAGAGGGTGGCCTGCTGCATGTTACGCCAGTCGTCTTCTGTCTTGGTGTCACCGTGGTATATGCCGGAGTTGTTCATAACGAAGATCAAGGCGGGAATCTGGTGTCGAGCAAGTGTTTCTACCTCCATGGCACTGAACCCGAACGCACTGTCACCTTCTAAGGCGACCACCTTCTTCGGTGATGGTGCTTCAAGTGTACCTTGAGGTTGGGGTAAATTATAAGCTGCATGGGCAGCGATAATGTACCCTAACCCAACACCCATGGTGGCATATGTGCCAGCATCTAGTCTCTGACGCGGATGTTGTAGCGGGAATGCAGAACGAGAGATATCCATGGTGTTTGCACCTTCAGAAATGTACACAATATCTCCATTTTCTGGAGGAGAGAGCGAGTTGAGTGTCGTTTTGATGATATGAAATGCGCGTTGGAAGGTCAAATATTCCCCAGCAGCGGTGGTCTGAAGGGCCTTCTCTTGGGCCTTGGTTTCATTCTTAGTGGCAGAGGCAGATATAAGGGAAGGGTAGGAGGAAGGTGAATTAGGTGGTTGATAGTGCCAGTCTCCGAGGGACTTGATGAGCTGGTCAACGACTAGCTCTATGTCTCCAACTATGCCCAGTTCACCGCTTCCAGAGTTGCGACCGATTTCCTCGGCATGTATGTCAACCTGGATGATTTTAACGTCCGGTGACCATTTGGGAGCTTCGCCGAAGTGTAGTATCCAATTCAACCTAGCTCCAAGAAGCAGAACAACATCTGCGTTCTTCAACGCAACACTTCGTGCACTTGAGGTATTAAGCGGATGAGAGTCAGGTACAACACCTTTTCCCATTGGGGTTGGCAAGAACGGCAAGCGTGCAGTGTCAATCAGCTTGCGAATGGACTCTTCAGCCCTTGCATATGCAGAACCTTTGCCGACAACCACCAAGGGTGCCCGGGCAGATCGGAGAAGTTGGGCTACTTTGAAGATAACGCTTGGGTCTCCGGCAGGCTTTGGGGGTGCATGAACCAGCTGAAGACCTGCAGACGGCAAGCTTCCAGCTGCCTTCCCTTGGATTAAATCTGCTGGTAGATCAACAAAGGTTGTTCCTGGGCGGCCGTACCAACATGTCCTATATGCATCGTATACGGCGTTCTCGGTATAGTCTACTGATATAGGCCTGACAGACAGCTTGGTATGCGGAGTGAGTAACGATATCGCATCCATCTCTTGGAATCCTCCTTTAGTGACTAGGGTAGTCTCCGCTGATCCGGCGAGAATCAGCAGCGGGAAGGCATTCACGTTTGAGTTTCCAATCTAATAACACCAATCAGTCGTTTGTAAACAGTAGTCAACAGATAAGTCAGACATACTCCAGCCATAGCATGCAGTACTCCGGGGCCTCCCACGACCAAGCAGACACCTGGTTTCCCAGTAATATATCCATACGCACTTGCCGCATAGCTGCATGCCTGCTCGTTCCTGAACGCGATAAACCGTATTCCCAGGTTTATGGCTTCTTCCGCGATTTCAATAACAGGAATGCCGACTAGGCCGAAGATGACAGTAACACCGAGATTCTTAAGAGCTCTGGCAACAGCCTGTGCCCCTGTTGGTTGGCTCATCTTTGATTTCCAGGATTAGCGCCGAGATGCGGATGGGAGCTGATGAATTGAGATGTTGGGGCTAGGTAGTTAAGCTAAATATCACTAACTAGCTAGTTAATGTTTCAAGTGTTGACTCGTGCAATTGGGAAATTTTCATCAATGTCAAGTAGAGGCGGAAGCAACAAAATACCTGCTGATGTTTATGTTGACATCGATGTTGATGTTGAGAAATCTTCACGTTAAATATAAAGGATCCTATGCGGAGAAAGTTGGAGAAGTTGGAGAAGTTCAGCTCGAAGTTCGAGATGTCCCGATCGGGAAGAGCGGTGACGCCATTCCGATTTCTGCCGAGGTAAAACAAGGTGCGGCTCAAGTGTTATTCAACCAAACAAGGAGAAGCTGACGATGATTATCGAAATCAAGAGACGGAAATATGGAGACAAGATGGAGAAGAGAAGCCTTTGTGTGTTTGAGGCTGCCAATACTAGTTATATGCGAACTGGCTTAGTAGCTTTCATCATATACAGAAATCAATATATACCCCGTAGCCTGTCCAATATCCTCCTTCACCCCCTTCCCCAGATATCCAGGTAGGTAGATATCACTTTCCAAACAGCCTATGTAGAATTATTATGGATGTGAACTCCAGTTCCATCACAGCAGGACATTGTCGTACTGCTCGAGCTTTTAGAATTCAAATTCCTTTTTAAATACCGAAACGTCCATTCCGCTGACGACCATGTCACTGAGATCCCGACGGCCCATCTGGCTAAACACTCGCCGCAAGGTATCATATAGGTTCGTGCTCTGGTTCTGGCTTACATGGATCATGCGTTCGAGTTCGGCGTCATCGATACCGTCGACACCCTCGACGATCTCCCTTGCTCGTTCACGGCCTTCTTGCTCAACCACCTTGTGCATTGATAGGGCTCCAAGGAGGTGTTGAGCTGCCTCAGGGTAACAGCCGATGTTGATACAGGACACACCTAGGTTGTAGCGGGCGCGGACAAAGTTGGGGTTGATGTTAAGGGCTTTCTCGTAGGCCTCGATGGCTTCTTCGGACCGTCCGGAGTTGGCAAGGGTAGCACCGAGTCGGTTCCAGAGCAGATGTATCTGTCCCTTTTGGTTCGAGCTGCCTGACTCTGTCGAGGCCAAGGCAGACGAAAAGCAGTCTACTGCCTTGTCGTATTCCTCTGCACCGTAGAACAACACACCCAATCCAACTTGTACGTCGGGGTCCATGTGCTCGCCATGCGGTGAGAGTTGGGCAGCCTTGATGAAAAGTTCCGTTACCTTTTCATGTAGCATGTGTCTATCAGTAAAGCCCATCTCGGTTTCTGTGCCAATTTCCTTGGGGTCGATGACCTGTGGATATTTAACGGACAACCACCTCTCCAGCGTTCGGTAGGCGGTCGAGTCGTAACCTTCGTTAGTGTAGGACACTGCTAGGCCCATGAGAGCATCGAGGTTGTTAGGATCCAGCTTCAATGCTTGTTCCAACGCCCTAATAGCCGGGCTTTCTTTCTCGTTCTGAGCCTGTGCAGAGCCTAGCAAAGTCCATGCCTGGACATGCGACGGATCTTTCTGAACAGCGGCTTCGAACGCCAGGGCAGCTAGTGACAGGTTTCCGCCTTCTTCCAGGATTCGTACTCCTTCTTCAAACGGGTTCCCGACCGCCCGGAATGCGTTCTCCTCTTCAAAAAGATAATCGCCAAGTTGCGGGTCCCTGTAGTTATGGGTGTTCAAACCACTATCAAAATTCTCCCACTCGCTAAAATCGCCCATCGCCATGTTCTCGATCTTCTCGTCTTCGTTCACCAGTTGTCTAGTTGCAGCGGTTTCAGCTTGGATTCCTCTCCATACATTCTCAAAATCAGCGAAATCGTGCGCTTCTGCGGGAACTGACCTATCCAAATCATCAAGTTCTTTCTCCATGGCAGCATTCGCCTCGTCATCCAGGTGTGCTTGTCCTGAAGCATCTATCTCAGCAAACTGGGCTTCCCAGTTTTGATCATCGAGTTCAATCATCCTTCCTTTGCCCTTGACGTCTTGTTGTTCTGCTGGTTGTTGAGGCTGCTGTTGCATTGACATAGGCATATATCCAGGACCCATCATGCCCATTTGACCCATCCCCATGCCATATCCTCTAGCCATTGGCCCCTGATACTGTGACATCATCGGATTCGCTGCTGCTGGAACCGCTCCCGGCCTGCTCTGTTGAAATCGTGCGAACTCTGATGCCTGAAAGGTGTTGTTGCCCTTCATCATTCCGGGGGCCGGTGACTGAAAAGCAGCTTCCATACGAGCTTGATCGCCCGGATTGAATTCTGCTGCCCATGCGGGCGATCCCGCTCTCTGAGGTGAGGGGTGGAAGTTCTCAAGCTCTCTACGCATCTGCTCCATGGCGAAAGGTTGTGCTGGTCCTTGCTGCATCTGATCGTTTTGTTGGAGGAACTCGTCCATCATCTAGACCCGAAAAGAAGTAGAAAGTATTAGCTGCTTTTGCTACAGCCAGTACAACAGCATCTCCCTCACCACTTACATGATCTTGTCCTCCCATCATCCCCCTTGACCGCATCGTCTCCTGACGGCCGGGACCAGCACCCGCCAGCCTATCCCGCTGGAGGGACTTGTCATCTTGGACATGTTTTGTGAACTGTGTAAGCGGATTCCCTGCTGTAGAGCACTCGGAACCGCCTAAAAACGACATTTCTTCGGTATATATGTGCGAGTAAAGCTAGGGCTAGGGAGCTTGCGGGTGGATGGCGCTTGGAAATAGACCGGGTATCACGTAAGCTGGCAAGGCACTGAAAGAAGGATTAAGAGCTGAATCTTTCGAATAAAAAATACAGAATATCAACAATAAGACAAGGGTATATGGCGTTAGATGTTTTACGAGAAAAGAGTGTAGATGTAAAACGAGATGTTGTATCTTCTTTCTTCTGAGCTGGCGTGGGGAACTTGCCTTGCAGGCATGCAGTTTCGTTCCTCGGCCTGTCTTTGGGGCAAATTGATTACTCAGCGAGCCGAGGAATAAATCATGTGACACGGCTTTCTCAGGCTGCCTAAGCTAGTATTTGATGATAAGAGACGATAAGGCGAGACGGAGTTTCGGGCGGTGATCAGTGATATTGAGAATGATAACCGTCAGGTAGATACAGGAGAAGAGGAGGGCAGCCTGCGAGGCATCAAATGCAAAGACAACTTGTCAAGAAAAACAGCAAAACCTTTATATACTACAGTAGCTTCAAAGCAGCTTTTTGAAAGCGCGGAAAAGGGACAAACAAGTTCGTAGTAAAAACATCCAAGAAGAGGGAGGAAAGCGGGTGGTATTATGACACAGTGTAGGGAGTAGGTCGTCGAGGTTGGTTTGTTGGGCATGAAAATGAAAAAGAGACATGGACAGCATCAAAACATGCCAGATGCTCCGTTTATCAGCCATCAAGCATAAACGCCGAGGAGAGATGTAAACACAGCCCCTAGGTTTTGAAAAATCCGGTAGGGGAAATTTGGAAAAGCGGGACGGTCGGAGGGATTAGGTCCAAGGGTACCAATTAGAGAGCAGCTTTGGGAGCTGCCTCAGAGGGCGATGCATCGGTCTCCTGCTGAGCCTCTGCCTCAACTTCTGGGTTGGCAGCAGGGGCCCTAGAGTTGTCGACTTCACCTGGGCGTCTAGCGCTGTGGCTGTAGTCTAGTCGCAGCGGGCGGCCATAAGGAGCCTGGCCCTTCAAGATCTCAAATCCAGCAATGGCGCTCTCGACATCAGTGAATTCAGCGTGAACAAAGCCTCTTGGCATCCCAGTTCTACGGTCAACAGCAACACGGACATCGAAGACATTGGGGATATCATCGAAAATGGCATGGAGGTCGCGCTCGGTGATCTGATGGGCAATGTTGCCGACGAAGATGGTACGGGTTGGCTCCATCTGTTTTTGAGGTTGTTCTTCCCTAAGCTCAATCTGGGCAAAGTTGACGCTTAATTTACGGCCTTCATATTCGCTGAGATGCATCTCATCAATGGCCTTCTTAGCCTCCTCAACGCTCTGGAATCTGACATAACCGAATCTGAAAGCGTGCAGGTCAGCAACAAAGTAAGGAAACAACCAAAGATTCAACCCAATAACTTACCCTCTGCTGAGACCACGAGTATCGTAGATGATTCGGGTGCCCAAAACCTTTCCATATTTGCTAGCGAATTCCTTCAAATCAGCAGCAGTGATATCGAACAAGATGTTTCCAACGTAGATGGTGGCCTTTGGCTCTGGGTCGGGGCGGGTAGGCGGCAGGCCAAAGGAATTTCGCGAAACTTGTCTGACGTTAGATTTCCTGTCTCCGATGGCGGGCTCTCTAGCTTCTTCGGTGAAGAGTCGTCGTTGCGAGGCCCAGAGTTGACTGCCCATCACTCTTGTGAATTGGCTCAATTGTGAGCTGGCGGTTTGGGGCTTTGGAATAAAAGACCTTACTGCGCTTCCGCTGGCGGCGGAGGCAGCGCGGTACATCGCATGTCTGAGAGAAATCCTATACAGTAAAAGCTGGTTAGCATTATCAATTACTCGAAATTTGAACGGGATAGCAATTAAAGCGACGAGAGAACGAACATTGTGAAAGATGTCTAAGCAAATTCCTTGTACAAGGTATGAAATTAGAAGAATAGTATCACGTAATAAGACAGATATCAAGAAGAAAATAAACAGAAGAAGGATAATAGGGCGTTCGACGTTTATGAGGAATTGAAGATGAATTGAAGATTTCGAACCAAAGAAAAAAACTTTTGTAAAAGTCTCGACGGGAATATCTGCACTATTCCATATCGGGATTAAAGTTTAAACCTAAATATAAATCACGTGAATACTTAGAGTTTACGCGGTTTCTGATAAGAATGAAGATAATACAATAAACAACAGTGGTTTGATATGTTCATCATACGAATAACTTCGTGACACTGATGTATTTTGCTTCCTGGCATGGCATTAATGTATATACGTAAGAATAAACAGTTCAGTCCGGTGCTATAAGGATATCGAAATAAGGGGAGAGAGAGAGTATAAACAAAGGTCCGATATCAAGCCTGATCAGGAGGCAACATCACGGCCTTGATACTCATTATTATCCATAAATGTAGGATTAGTGGAGGTATTGCCGTTCGCATCATATGTACCATTGCGTAGAGGATATTCTGGTGGCCTTATAGACATATTTTGTTCATTTTCAGCGGTAGTCTGAGGTTGGTGTATTTGTTGAAAGTCCTGCCGTTGATTTACATCTGCCCAATTTTGGTTGATAGGGTCTAGAGCGGCCGATTGGATATACTTATCCCAAGCATCCTATTTCAGGATCGTTAGAAGAACATACAATTAGTTAGGGTGTATGAGGTGTCAACATACCCAGTCGAGATTGAATGGTTGCATGTCTGGCATCTGACCAAACATGCCAAATGGAGAATTCATGCCTGCCAATGGGTCTAGGTTAGAAGGCAATCCGCCTTGCTGAGCTGCGGACGTCCGATCAATTCCTATCATGGAGTCTCCATACTGAGGCGGACTTGTTGGCCCCTGAGGCGTTAACCCGCTGCTGAGTAGCCCTAGAGTCATCGCAGCACTTTGCTTCTCATCTTGCGGGTCGAAGCTGCTATCCATTGACGTTGCATCTCTAGTTTCTGGCCGGTGACTTATCCGCTCTAGAAGCATCCCCAGAACGCTGGAGGCCTTCCATGCATCCATAGAATCATCTTTCATTTCATTCCAGATATCATGAGATTGGCGAAGAGCAGCAAGCATCTCTTCTTGCATTTCGCCACCCCAGCCATATGGGCAATCACCTCGTCGCATATTCGCTCCTAGCTGGGTGTAATGGTAAAGATCAATGGCAAGAATTGTGCTGGCTAAAAGGAAGTCGTGGCCAGTCAGTGATATGGTGTAGTATCTTGGATATAGTACCCTTCTGCCGCTCGTCTTCTCAGCATGGAGCATTGCTTGAAACCTTAAGAGCTCTAGCGAGCTATCGACGCAGGCGCGATGCGATAGAGAATACCGTGGATTTTCACGAGCTCTTATTAGATACGGGCGATGCAGAACACATTGCGCTTTGTGGTAGATACTTTCAACCTGTGATATCAAACTTAGCAAATTCAAATCAAACAGTAGTCCAATAAGGACAAGTACATACCGCTATTCTGTTCATTATTAGAGTAGATGGCTCATGGGTGCATTCGGAAAAAGGCTTCATCTGCAGCCACTCGGGTATCATCTCGCGGGTATGCCGTAGCTCTCGGTCCAACTCCAAAACCTCCTCGTAAGAACAACCTCGAAGCTTCTGTGACTGCTCTAGCACTCGACCAAAGACTGTCGACAGCCTTGCATGGATGATAGTGTACGCAATGGGAGCAGGCTGGTCAAATGGCCTCTCTGGAGGATTCTCCTTTGAATCTTCATCAAAGTCGTCATCATGTAGACAGCGGGGAAATTCTGCATCAGCGTCCCCTGTGCGGATCATACTTGGAAGTCCAGCCTCGAAGGAAAACAGCAAATCCGCCTGTCTCACCCACGTCCAAAGCCGTCGACGCATTTCTCCCTGGAAAACAGATATATTCGGAAACATTTTAGAGTCCCGATGGTATCCCATTCTCATACCCAAGCGGACAATCATTCCAACCAGGATCCAAACTGAGGTCTCAGAGTCACAGCTCTGCGGGTATTCGGCATGCAGGTGGAACGCTAGGGTTTCAAGTAAATACCGGTGAGGTTTCGTGAAGTCTGAATATACCAGTCCCTGTGCCATTGCCAGCCGGTATGTTTTGGCTATATCTAATGACTTCCCTCGGAATTCTGGGGGCTCGTCCCGTTCTCTATGGTATGATAGCATCGACAGCCGAAGCATTGCGAAAACCATAGCTATCCAGACCATGCTAGTTTTGGAGGGGTCTTGCCAGTGTGCTTCGTACTGTAGATCAGGATTAGCAACAACAAAACAACATGAAATTACAGTGTTATATACATACCTCTTTCCAGAATGTTGGACCATGAACAAGAGCTATATACATAGTAAGATATCTTCATTTTGCACATGGCCAGTCAAGGAGCCGAACTTACTGATAGATGGATCAAGGGTAGCAAAGAAACGACGGAGAAGCATATCCGCGGTATACTTTGAAGGGAAAGACGCCATGATTTCTTCTTCGGTAGGCATCGCCATGGCGCCAAATATCAGAGCAGAGCCTTTCAAATCCTGTGTCTGCTTGGTTGCCCTCACTTTCTGAACCTGTTCCTCATATTGTTTCTTATGTGTGGTCCAGAAGTGTTTAACTTCCGAAATCTAAGAGCAACCTGTTAGCCACACAACTCAATGGTATATATAAGTAGGAAAGAAAATCCCTTACATCGTTCAGGATAGCCGACCAATGCGCCTCAGAGACATAATATGACTTCTGACTCTGGTTATCCACCTTCAATATTCCAAACGATTTCGTAACTTGTTCCGTATCACTTTCTTCATCTTTCAAGTCGAGATCAATTGTATTGGCGCTTGCGCTGTGCGGGCCCTGCGAGTCTATACTACTATCTCCTGACACGGTAGCTACCGCAGCAGTAGGCCCAGCCGACTGTGCGCCATTGGTCATTAACGACAAAACCAGACTCTCTAATCGGTCTATGCGATTCTGCATATCGTCTGGTGATGACACTGTGGACTGGTTATTCTGGTGTCTCCGTCTGGTGGTTGATTGGGCGTATGAGCAGGAAGAAGCGTCGTCTCTCTTCACGCAATTCTCGCAGGGCGTAGCACGGTTACATTTTAGTCTTTATGAATAAGCAGCAACGTGTACGGTTAGCAAAAGTACGTGTAAAGCGTCCAATGTGTGGTGTGATAGTACGACAGGGTAGCTTACTTTCGGTTTCTGCATGGTGCACAGGACACTGGGACACGATTCCGTTTCCGAACAACGCGGTATTGGCCTTCCGGAGAATGTGTACTGGACGAGGTTGTAGGTGGTGTGGGCGCCATCTTGACGATATGTGTTCCCCGGCGCTATGCGTAATATTTTGAGTGGAGGGGTATGAGCAGTTTCTGTGTCTGGATCAAGACAACAAGCGAAAGAAAGCAGGATGGAAGAAACAATCAGACGAAAGCTGAAGCCCACGGGTCAATTATATCACAAGTCTGGCTGTTCGTATACGAAATCTCAGCTCCCGGTAAGCTGTTGTAGACCGTTGCGGTTGGTTGTATATCGTGACCTCCGAAGCGCCGTCCTGTCCACTCCAGCAGCGTGAGAACAGCCTCCCTGGACTCAGAGAGAGTAATCTCGCGCAAAAAAACAGACGACTTCGATGGCTTTCTGTGCTGTATCGGGGCTATGGCTGCGAGAGATGGAGGCCTATCTAGTTCTAAGACGAGTAACTCTATCAGCATGGCACTTTCATCAAAGTGGGATGGCAGGTCAGGCAGCACCTCAGTCGAGGGTATTATGAGGATCAAGAGAGGTTCCAGCATTCCAAGAAGATATACTCACTGCGCTGTCTGTGGTCCTGGCGGAGGTTTCTGCCTGATCTGTTTGTTGTAGCCGGAGTAGAGGTCGGATAGATGAAGTGAAGCCTTTTGTAGTTGGTCAAGGGTAGATCCCGGCCGGCAGGAAGACTCATCTAAAAGTAGGGTTTTTTCGCACCAGCTATGATAAATAACCGACGCGACAAGGTAGAAGGCCCAGAGATAGAGAGTCTTCCCCAGCAAGCACTTCGAGGAAGACAGAGGATAATGTAGGCGCAAGAAATGCGACGATGGTCGAATTTGCGCTGGGCGCTTTTTCTACTCTCGGAGTTAAATAACTAAAGTTCTAACCACCGGAAGAATACGAAGAACAAACACCACTACGTGATTACCTAGGGAAGGAAAGGAAGGCATGATATGTAAGATGCAACACATAGCAATTTGTTAACGGCACTTCAATATCGAAACACTTCTCTAGAGTTAATAGCATAGTAAGAAAACAGACGAGAAAAGAAAGTAAAAGTAAAAAGTAGAAAAAAGAGTGACGCTGATGGATATCATTTCGTCCGAGTTCGTAACCATCGCCCATGTAGTCGTTTCAGTGCAGCTCAAGCAAACGATTTCAAAAAGACGATTTTTTCCCAAACATAGCAGCTGAAGGGCAGAGGGGAAAGGAAATGGAGAGATAAGGCGAGGTGGTGGTCATAAAACGTGGAGATCTCAACAGAGAGTCAGTAAAGAAACTGAAGAAAAGGATGGTTAAGATATGGATGTAGGTAGAATACGGTAAGTATATTAATCAGGAAAAAAGAAAGAAAGAAGGGAGTGAGTGCATTCCTGCCGAAAAAAACAGTTGAAAGAGATGAAAAGGAGAAGAAGAAGAGGGTTTAATCCTCATCTCCAAAGCCCCAGCTTCTGGAGTAGACGCTCTGGCGAGCTGGGTTGGCGCGGATGGGACGGTCGACGACGGGCTGTTGTTCCTGGGGCGAGTTTTCATCGAACTTGTCCCAGCTAGAGTCCATCAGCTTGACGACGTCCATACGGCTGCGAGAGACGGGTTTCTTCTCCTCTTCCTCGGCTGCGTTGCCGTTTTCATTCGCGAACTCGTCCTTCATCTCCCAATTGGCGTCAAAGATCTTCTTGTGTTTGTGCGTGCCGTTGCTACCGTTGCTGGCACCGTTGGAGGTAGTCGCTCGTTTCTCGTCTTCTTCGTACAGGTTGTGTTCATACAGCTTCAGGCCTCTGTTATGCGCAGCACCTGCAGCGGCCTTCTCAGCTGGAAGAGGGGTTTGCTCATCCTGGAGCTTGAAATGGGTCTCAGCATCACGTCGTGGATGGGCGATGCGTGGCTTTGGCTTGGGGGTGACCGTCTCGACCTCGTCGTCGCTCCACCCGAAATGACGGACCTCCTGGCCACGAACAGGTCTTCTCTTGGGCTTCTCAGGAGTCACGAAGTCTTCAAAGTCCCACTGGGACAGATGCTTGGACGATCGAGGGCGAACAGGCATGGGACAATCTTCAGCTTCTCCAAACTCGAAGTGTCCTGGGCCCTTGGACTGTGACTTCTCGGCTGCTTTCTTCTGCTCCTCTAGCACATGAGGCTCAGCCTCGTCCGCGAATTCAAAGTGGCCGGGCTTCTTGGACGGCTTCACGGGCTGGTCACCGGGCATCTTTCCTTCGCCAAACTCGAAATGGGTATAGGTCTTTGAGACGGTCTTGGGTGTACCCAGAATCCGGTCTCTCGACCTAGGAGGAGTCACCAGGGGCTCCTCGCCATCTCCCTGGAACAGATCATTGTAGTCTCGCGGAGCTGGCTTTGCAGAGAAAGTGGAGGTGCGAGACTTGGTAGCCGGCTGCGGCTCCTCGACGCTCTGGGCTTCGAAAAAGGACAGGGGAGTCTCCGGCTCCTTTGCGGCCTTCTTAGGCTCTGTCTCTTCGGGCTTCTTTGGTTCAGGCTCCGCCTCAGCTTTCTTCGAGCACTTGGCTGCAGCCGCAATCGACGAGCTGATTAGGCGTTTCTGTTCCACGCTATCAGAGATTGGCCAGTTGTTCCGTGATCCAATGACATTGAGCTTTCTCAGCAACGACGCCTGGTCCCAGTACTGGCGGATCTGCACGATCTTGTCCTCTGCATCAAAGTGAACAATATGGATCTACGTCATCATTCTTATTTAGCATCGCTTTTCTTTAATTTTTTTTAGTATACATGGCAGTGAAAGATGGATACTCACGATTGGGATTATGACGGTCTGGTCGACGACGAAGTTATCGTCGAGGGATAACAGATAAGGGCCCCCGCCGCAGGTAAAGAGCAGGGAGGTCTCGACCTCGAGGCAGAGGGAGCTGGCACCCTCGACGGCGCTGAGCGTAACCTGGGACGTCTTGTCCAGCGTCCGGCGGACGACCTGCAGGTGCTTGATGATGTCCTGGGATCCGGTGTGCGAGGTCGTGGTGGTGATGTAGTGCAGCGCGGCCTGCTGCGCGAGAGTCTCCGGCTCTGGCCTGGCCAGGAAACCCTCATAGATCGCCTGAAGGGTCATCGTGACAACAACGAGTGTCTGTATACGATGGAAGAGAGTGACGAGGCTCTTGTCGATGTAGATTCAGGTTCGTTAAAAAAGAGCTGGCGGTTTTCCTGTTCACCGGCAAGAAAAAGTTGGCCAAAGGCGTAACCTGCGCGCGTTTGTATACACAAGAAGAGTAAACAACCACAACTTCCCTACCAGCCAGAGACGACCAGACAGAGGCAGACAGAAAGAGATGGAGATGGATAGAACGAGAAGAGCGAAGAGAAGAGAGGAGAATAGAGAGCGAGAGTGCTACAGGGCAAGCTGGTTTAAAAACGGGACACTGTCAAGCAGGACAGGAAGAAGAAAAAAGGAGAAGGAGAGAGAGAGCGACAAGCCGGCTGGAACAAGAGGCAGACCTGGCTTCTTCCTGCAACAACACAGGCACGGAGTACTTTGACAGCAGGAATAAATAAAATATATTACTCCGTATTAGCGGAAGTGCTGGCAGTGGATTCGCCATGCAGCAGAGCCCCTGGCCTAGCTTCATGCCCGTCAGTTCGCGAGAAACTACGACGTTTCAGGTTCGTCGCCTTGGTTTCTTTTTTGTTCTTTTTGCTGCAGGGGATGAATTTCTATAGGCTCGATTGTGAGAAGTGATGCAGGCCGGGCCATTTTAGACTTCAGGCACCGTTGTTTCAGACATAGGCCGTTCCCCAGAAAAGGCCCGAGAAAGGGAGCCGGTAGAGAAGAGGAAGCAGAAGAAGCAAGAGTTTCGTAGATGCGCCTTGGGAAGTGAGCTGGAGCTGGAGCTGGAGCTGGGTGGATGTGGATGGGTTATTCAATTACTTTAGCTTGTTTGGTAGAGCTTCTAGTATACACGTATTCTGGCCACTAAGGAAGGGGGAAAAAGGCGGATGAAGCAGTTCTTGGATACCGAGTCGGATGTAAGAGAGTTCCACCCAGGGGGAGTTCCCTCGCGTCGTTGGGTCTCTCCATATAGCCGAGTGTTTAAGGATAGCTCGATGGCAGAGGTTAGTCTGCATTGATGGGAAGCACCTTGCAGATGGCGGTTGTGTGGTTGTGCTGTTGTTGGTGCCGGGTCGACCGACACGTAAGTAGTTCGAGGATAGTCAAAAAATAGTGCTCGGTTCATTACAGAGTCCTAGAAGAAGGTAAAGTGTCAGCTAACCAGGACATTGTACCCGTTGATAGTACCAAGTAGCAAACAAACCCAAGATAGTCTTCTCTGATGCTGCCAATCGCAAACATGTTGCGCACATCATTTCGCAGTCCAATCAGCTTTATTCGCAGGTTCGTCCCCTTCTCGATGACCTGGTCTGCGTTGTCCGTGTACTGCGGAGGAGTCGCATCTGGATCCCACTTGATCTCCGGCGGAATCAACTATTTCTAGTCAGCTTTTTATCTCTCTCTCTCGCTGTTTCTCATTTCACCACTCCTCCCATGGAGAACGGGAGCGGCAGCATACATGTTTCGAGACAAAGACCGTCAACGGCCCAACCTCAGCGAAGATGCCCTGGTTCTTGACAGAGGTAACGATAGCGTCAACCTTTTCACCGGCAGTTAGCTTGACGCACGGAAGAGATCTCCAGGTATAAGCGTTTGTCTCGCCCTCTTACCGTCTCTCCCTTGAACGGTTTCCAGACAATAGCCCGGTAGACGATGGTATACTCTGCCAGACCGCTGCCGGGTATGATCCTTCCCTCAGAGATATCATACATGTCCATCACGCAGACGATGTAGTAATCGCCCGTACACACGCCTTCCACATCATCCAGCAGCTTCTGGCTAAGGTACTCCTTCACATGCGAGCCAAAGAAAGACGGATGCAGCGTCAGGACATGCTCAAGGAAATGTATGAAGAACATATTTGCCTCGACGCGTCTGCTTCTTCTGCTGCTGCTTCTGCTTCCTCCTCCTCCTCCCGTATATCAGGTCCCGGCGCAGGTCTCCCGGTGGGTGCGCGCGTGTGTCCTGTGCGGTATCGAGATTCTCGTCCGCTGCGATATTCCAGTCCTTAATCGGTCCTTCTTAAAAGTCTTTCTTGAAGCAGCGCTTTCAGCTGCTCTATCAATCCGCGGCTATCAGTTCATTTCTCTCCCTTGCTCTCTCTCTCTCTCTTCATTCACGCTCGCACACCTCTAGCTCCGGTTCCAGCAGGGTCAGAGTAACGGGCGGGAACACAACGCTCGACGAAGACGACAACTGAAGCCGGACTCCAATTGCGAATGCTGCTTTTCTTCCTTGCCTTCCTTCAGCTTCGGCCTTCACCAAGAGAAATAGCAGTCGATAACGGCGATGATGGCGATGGCGATAATGACAGGTACAGGGAGGAAAAACTTCCCCAAAGCTGGCGCCTTTTTATACATCACGTGATATCGAAGCTTCCTTCCCAAAACTTTCTTTTTTCTTCCGTTTGGGCGATTTTCGTCGTTTCGTCTTCGTCTTTTCTCTCGCTTTCTGCGATGGACGGACGAGATTCTACTTGCTGTCAGCGGGCGCTGGGAGAGACGGTCGATGAACTGGCTTGTTTGACTTAGCTACGGTTGGTGAGTGGGAAAAGACGAGACGGCTGCGGTGGTGCGACTACTTGTTTATCTTCACATGCTAATCGGTTATATGGCTTTTTCTTTTAGTTGTTGATAACTTGCAACATCTTGACTTTTGCCCCTCGTCGGCCTCCTTTTTACTTCTTCTTCCCCGTAGTGAGGACGACTCGATAGCCGCGAGATAGCATAGCGGGCTGGACGCCGGTTAGGAAAGAGATAAAAGCAGCCATGTTGGACCTAGAAAAGCAGTTCCTCTTCGTATGTATTGATAACACACCGGATGGTAGAATGAAAGCAAGCATAAAGGAGTGTACTTGGCTAACAGGCTTATTACATAGTATGGGGCATACCACCATCATCCAGTGAGTGTTCTGCTCTTTACCTAGATAGAGGTAGAGAAAACAAGGATGCTAACGGGCTGGTCAAAAGGTGAACATACTTATCCATATCACCTGTGTGCCAATTATAATGCTCTGCACGCTGCTACTGGTGGGTTCTCTTACATACTATTCTGATATATAATACCCCCTATCATAACGGGTGGTTGTGTATGTGCTCATGCTCTATATACTCACTGTGTATAAAACAGGTGGGGAGTGCCGGACCACTGTTCTATGTGCCAGAGGCCATCAGCATCCAACACCTGCCTGCCAACGGCGGGACGATAGCAGCGTTCGTCTACCTGATGCTGTACATTCTGATGGAGCCCGTAGCCGGCGCCCTTCTGGCACCGCTGCTGCTGAGCGGGACAGCGTACATGAACTACCTCCACGCTGCCTACGGCGCAACGGCCGTGTACTGGTCCCTGGCCGTGCAAGGCGTCGCCTGGATCCTGCAGTTTGTCGGCCACGGCGTGTTCGAGGGCCGAGCCCCGGCGCTGCTCGACAACCTGGTGCAGGCCCTGTTCCTCGCGCCCTTCTTCGTCTGGCTCGAGGTGCTCTTCTACCTGGGCTACCGTCCCGAGCTCAAGTCGCGCATCGACACTGCCGTAGCCAAGGAGATCGCCAAATTCAACAAGGAGAAGGCTGAGAAGGCCAAATCCAAGTAGACTCTCTTTTTCTGTCCGGTGTCCTCTTATCCCACATCTCTCTTTGATTCTTGTTTCTTCCTGCGTCGTCGTTGTTCGTGTTCTACTCTTTTTTATATCAATCGTCAAGCCTGTAGATTAGTTTTTATATCCCATAATACACGCCAATACCGTATTGTCAGCTCGCCCTTCCGGTTCTTCCCGCAGCAGCATCGCAGCCATCCACCGTCTTCTCGACGCCTAACAACATCCAGTTTGTGTCTGCCTGTATCTAGCTATCAACATCTCCTCGAATACAACTTCGCTGCCCAAAATTACCGCCGCCATCACTCTGCTATCGCCGTCGTTGCGCTGTGCTGTCTCTGAAATTCGCGGTCTCGGCAACTCCCGCTTGTGGCCTAGCGCGCTTCAGAAACTCCAAGCTTGTTCTTTTCTCTCGCCGTCCACAAACTTCAACCTCAACTTCTCTTCTTCCTCTTCCTCTTCTTCCTCTTCTTCCTCTGCTTCAACCGCTTCAGCCATTGCGCGCCTTCTCGCACGTCTTCCCCATCTCTACTCCTTCATCCCTCGTCCACAATGTTCAGAAGTGCTCTACGGCAGTCGAGCCGCTCCGTGACGGCCGTCTCCGCCGCTGGCAGAGTCTCCGCTGTAAGAGTTTTCCCCTTCTCCCAACGTCAGGCCGTCAACCTCTGCAGCCGCCTCTCGCCCGAACAACGCCCAATTCCATCCTCAATCGCACGGATAAGAGCCATTGAGCTCGCCGGAGCGATGGGTTCGATGGCCTCGTCGGCTTTTTGATGGCGTTGGCAGCTTGGTTTTGCTTGGTTGTAGTTGTTGTCGAAAGTTATTTGCTGACCCGAGAGGTTTGCTCTGCCTGCAGTCCGAGCCGGTACTCCCAGCCCCTTGGCCTCTGTGTCCAAGCAAGTCAGATCCTATGCCGCTGAGGCTAAGCCAGCTCCTACTGAGGTCTCCTCCATCCTCGAGCAGAGAATTCGCGGTGTCCAGGAGGAGGCTGGTCTCGCCGAGACTGGTCGTGTCCTTTCCGTCGGGTAAGTCGGACCTACTGCCACAAGCCATTGAGCTGGCTCAATGGGGATAAACACTTGTGTTTGCTTGTTGACGCTACTCGATGTTGACGACGATGCTAATTTCTCGGTTGATAGTGACGGTATCGCCCGTGTCCATGGTATGCACAACGTCCAGGCCGAGGAGCTTGTCGAGTAAGTTTCATCTCGATATACGAACTTTTTTCTCCCATCATCAAAACTAACATCAATTCACAGGTTCGCCTCCGGTGTCAAGGGAATGTGCATGAACTTGGAAGCCGGCCAAGTCGGTGTCGTGCTTTTCGGTTCTGACCGTCTCGTCAAGGAGGGTGAGACCGTCAAGCGTACCGGAGAGATTGTAAGTTTTGATATTGGCCACCTATGCATTGAGTATCGTCGTCTCGATGCTAACACGTCCACCAGGTTGATGTCCCAGTCGGTCCCGAGCTTTTGGGCCGTGTTGTTGATGCCCTTGGTAACCCAATTGATGGAAAGGGCCCCATCAAGGCTACTGAGAAGCGCCGTGCTCAGCTCAAGGCCCCAGGTATCTTGCCACGAAAGTCCGTCAACCAGCCCGTCCAGACTGGTATGAAGTGTGTCGACTCCATGGTGCCAATTGGTCGTGGTCAGCGTGAGTTGATCATTGGTGATCGTCAGACTGGAAAGACTGCCGTTGCCCTTGACACCATGCTCAACCAGAAGCGATGGAACTCTTCCAACGACGAGACCAAGAAGCTCTACTGTGTCTACGTTGCCGTTGGCCAGAAGCGATCCACCGTCGCTCAGCTCGTCAAGACCCTTGAGGAGAACGATGCCATGAAGTACTCCATCATCGTTGCTGCCACTGCCTCTGAGGCCGCTCCTCTCCAGTACATTGCTCCCTTCACCGGTTGTGCTATGGGTGAGTGGTTCCGTGACAACGGCCGCCACGCCCTTATCATCTACGACGATCTCTCCAAGCAGGCCGTCGCCTACCGTCAGATGTCCCTTCTGCTTCGTCGTCCCCCAGGTCGTGAGGCTTACCCCGGAGAGTACGTCAATTCCTAATATTCTGTCACGTTTCTATATGTTCAAAAGCTAACTTGAATAGCGTCTTCTACCTCCACTCTCGTCTTCTCGAGCGTGCTGCCAAGCTGAACGACCACCACAAGGGTGGCTCTCTCACTGCCCTTCCCGTCATTGAGACCCAGGGTGGTGATGTGTCCGCCTATATCCCAACCAACGTCATTTCCATCACTGACGGCCAGATCTTCTTGGAGTCCGAACTTTTCTACAAGGGTATCCGACCAGCCATTAACGTCGGTCTTTCCGTCTCCCGTGTCGGTTCCGCTGCTCAGCTTAAGGCCATGAAGCAAGTCGCTGGTTCCCTCAAGCTCTTCTTGGCCCAGTACCGTGAAGTCGCTGCCTTCGCCCAGTTCGGTTCCGATCTTGACGCCTCCACCAAGCAGACCCTTAACCGTGGTCTCCGTCTCACTGAGCTTCTCAAGCAGAAGCAGTACCAGCCCATGGCCGTCAACGAGATGGTCCCACTTATCTTCGCTGGTGTCAACGGTCTCCTCGACAACATCCCCGTCGAGAAGATCCTCCCCTGGGAGGCTGACTTCCTCGCCCACCTCCGCTCTAACGAGCCCGAGATTCTCGCCACCATCGAGAAGGAGGGCCAGATCAGCAAGGACCTTGAGGCCCAGATCCGCGACTGCATCGTCGCCTTCAACAAGAGCTTCTCTTAGAGTTAACCTGTACAACAAGACAAACAAACCGTCCATGTGTGTGATGTGATGTGTGTGGGCATGCATGTGGCATTTGGTCATCCCTCAAATTCCCCTTCTCGTTTTCCCTGACTCTATGTATAGAAAGATAGCTTGTGTAAAATCTCGAGATCAGAAAACACTTATCCCGCTCTAGTCAGAAATTCCATTTGTAATTTTGTCGCTGTTCAACTATTTGGTTTCCTGGCCCGCATTTCCTATGTCTTTCCTACGCCTTTTTCTTCTACGCCCGCTTGTACTACCAATTTCAAAATGATTTAGACCGAGATCGATGCCACTCATCTTTATATCATGACCAATATAAATCCCACTCCCTTGAATTAATTTGTCATCTCCATCCAATGACATCTACCGGTCTATATTTATCTTACAAGGCATACTTAATGATATAGTTAGAGTCATCGTCATTTTCTCCATAGTTCACTAAATATAAAAAATAAAGAGGAAAACTCAATTAAAAAATTTACTTCTGCGAGTTTCTTCCCTTCGTAGCAAGATTATATCCTCGACAAGCAATCTACCTATTTCACCTTGGAATATCCTATTACTGTACCTCTTCACCATGCCCACGGAACCTGAAAGCGGCCCGGCATCATGCAAAGTCGTCCTTGCGGCCTCTGTCGCCCGCGGACTGCTGGCCGAAGTCACAGAGGGGCGAAAAGCGCTGGAGAAACCACCCCACCTCGTTGGATTCCTTGCGAACACTGACCCTGCGGCGCGAATGTATGCGAATTGGACGGAGAAGACATGCAAGGAGAAGTAAGTATCTCTGTTGTTGTCTGTTTGATATCTCTCGGTATGCTGCACCTGCACTGCATTGCTCGCGTGCGCATATCTAGCCTCGGCCGCATATACACATCTACCTCTACACCACAGGGAAAAAAAGCTAACAAGTCGAAATCAACAGTGGATTCCGCTATACCTGCCGAGAAGTAAGCAAAGATGACATCGAAGACGCTATCATCGCCGCAAACGCCGATGACGATGTAGACGGTATAATGGTATACTACCCCATCTTCAACAACCGTCAAGACCAATACCTGCAACAAATCGTCGACATAAGTAAAGACGTCGAGGGCCTGAGCCACAGATACATCTTCAACATGTACCAGAACATTCGTTTCCTAGATGGCGATCAGCAGCAAAAGTCCATATTACCATGCACGCCTCTTGCGGTTATCAAAATCCTAGAATACTTACAGATCTACAACACTATACTACCGTACGGCAACAGGCTGTTTGGACATACGATTTGTGTAGTTAATCGGTCTGAGGTTGTAGGGAGACCACTTGCGGCGTTGTTGGCGAATGATGGTGCGCTGGTATATAGCGTCGATATCACTGGTGTGCAGAAGTTTACGCGTGGAGAAGGGCTCAAGAAGCGCAGACATGAGGTTGAAGATATGGAAGGGTGGACGTTGAAGGATGCTGTGCCGCATTGTGATGTGGTTGTTTCTGGTGTTCCGGGAGAGGCATTCAAGTTTGACGAGAGCTTGCTTAGACCTGGCGCGGTTTGTATAAATTTCTCCAGCGAGAAGGTATGTTTTCCTGATGTTTCCACATGATGGCTCAATGCTGATGCGTGGATTGGCTGTAGAATTTTACTCCTGCTATTAAGGAGAAGGCATCGATATATGTTCCGGCAATTGGAAAAGTCACCATTGTTGTTCTTCTTCGAAACCTCTTGGTGAGTTTCTTATCCAAGTCCTTTCTTATATCTGGTTGGGTATCAATTTCTAATCAATATCAACAATTTCAGAGACTTGCTCAGAACCGAAAGCCAGAAGGCGGCCATCCAGCTGATGCAGTTGAGAAGCCTGGTACTCTCGAAGGCACCACCAATGCATCAAGTTGAGCGTTAGTCCGTTATTCAGGGTATGGGGATAATTTAGTTTAAAAAGGTATAGATCAAAAAGGTTCCAAAAATGAATTACTTTATTATGTATTCATAAATCGAGCTGTCTAAGGCCGAAGACAAGCTATTTTGGGGTATCTTTTTCAGCTTGACTTCGTTGACGGTTTGCAACAATTCTGCTCTCTTGTAAAGGTGAATTACGCAGACAAACTAAGTCACCCATGAACGAACAGAGTATCATTGTCTTTAAATTTTCTGCCTGTATATTGAACAACTTATTCCATTTCTTGCACTCACAATCTCTGGCGTTATTTAGAGGGGCCTTCTAACGAGCATAGCTGTACAAGCTTTATCTCACTCTTGAGCCATTCTGAAAATGGTTCAAAGTGTAGGGTACCGTCTGCTGAAAACCACTTGGAAAAGGGAGCCTCGATTGTCTTCTCTTGTACAACTTGTCCAGAGGGAGAGGTGTGTCGGAAGTGAAGCTTGTATGTCGAGGATAATTTCTTCGAATGAGACGATATTTGAAGCTGTTGCATAGGCCATGTTAGACATGTAATCAACGTTAGGGAATTTAGGGCATAATTACCGTTTCTCCTTTTGCTGTGGTGCCTTCGAACACCTGTCTGTTCTCAACTAGCGCTATCCATCCGGTGTATACAGTGTTTAGTATAAAATATGCTATTACAGCATATAACATCCATGGCGCGGTGAACTCCCAGCCCTTCATGTAGTCAAAGTAGAAAGAGACTCCAGCGATTGAGACAGCGGAATAGCCTATCATAAGGCGGATATCTGATTTTGTGTTGCTTGCGACGAATCTGTTAGGCTTAGGGAGGCCAAGGGTGAGATATGTTGTAATAGCATCGTCGGAGGTATTCTTGAGCTCTAAGCACATGTTAGCTGGCTGATCTTTAGGAAATCGAAGGCATAGTGTTTCTAAGGCTTTCTTAGATTCGACAGTCAGGCACGTACCAGCAGAGGCGTAGACGGGAACCGGTACGGGAGAATTGAGCGGCATTTTGAAGATAATTTCACAATTAGCCGTAGAATCTTTGAGCAAGCGCTATACAGAGACCCGATCCTCTCTCAGAAGTATATAAAAGTCAAGCTGTATCTTGGTTAAAGCTGAACGTATAGCAGGTACAAGATAGAGCTACCGTGTTCACTTTGAAGTCTGGCGTAGGAAAGCTATTGAAACGCTGGAAAATAGCAACTGCGCTATAACAAATCGTATAAATATATTGCTCTGCCAGCACAAGTCAAAGCCAACAAGTTGTCCGCTATGCTACTGTGTGTCTGTCCATCTAGAAGAGCAAACTGGCATCATCGACTTTGGCGAGTGTCTATCACGTGACGCTGCTTTTTGGCGCGGCCCGTCGTGGATCTGCAAGCTTATCGTGAAGTCGAACGAACTTGATGTGCCTTTCAAGAAGACATTCCCAGGGACAAGTTTATAGGCGGTTAACATGGCTGCTCAAGGCCTGGATCAGACGATCCTGCGGGATCCAGCTCTTTTGTATGCTTCACCTCTGTTTCTAGGCTACTAATGATGCTGATTGTTGCGCAGTTACTGGATCCTGGCACCTATCTCAGTGGTCATGGTGTGTTATTCCGGTCCCATCCACTCAGTAAGGAGCTCTGGCTAATTCAAATAAATTAATAGATACTCACTGGTATCCTCCGCCATTATGCCACGATCTTAATGACCAGCTCGCCTAAACCAGCTACGTCCCTGGCCGAATTCCGGGAACGGCTTGCTCTCTTTCGCGGTGTCAACCTACGTACCAATGCATCGGCCGTCCTTACTCCCTCGAGCCTAGCATCTCGAAAAGCGTATCTTATCAACGCTTATAAGACCGGTGCCTTCTTGAAAGACCCTGAAAATCGTGGCGCTGGTGCACCAAACCCAATGACGGACCCCGCTGGCATGGATGCAATGATGGGAATGATGAAGGGGAATATGGCTATGATGATCCCACAGACCCTTATCATGTCATGGATTAACGCCTTCTTCTCTGGATTTGTTATATGTGAGACATCCTTCGCAAGAGAGAATACGGGCATTACAGAAGTAGGAGATTGAACTAACTTCATACTCCTAATATAGTAAAACTCCCATTCCCATTGACCATCCGGTTCAAGTCCATGCTCCAGTCTGGTGTCATGACCCGTGATCTTGATGTCAGATGGGTCTCCAGTTTATCCTGGTACTTTTTGAACTTGTTTGGCCTCCAGTCCGTTTTTGGGTTTATCTTAGGAAGTGACAATTGTAAGCTCACACCCTTAGTAATTCGATTGTGCTCTCTAACAGTTTGAGCAGCCGCCGGTCAAGTGATGCAGCAGGTGGGAGTAACGAACCCTGCCGTGAACCCCTTCCAACCTGGTCAGGATCCAGAGAAAATTTTCCAGGGAGAGGCTGAGAACATCGAGGTGATGGAGCATTACTGTATTTTGGACGGAATCGAAGAGCGGATACTACAGAAGGCGTCGTAAAAGTCATGTTGGGGCTCCTTTACCGCTGCAGGACTTGAGAAATCCTTCAACTTGGAGAAGTATGCTTTGTTTAAAAAAGACCTGAATTGATACCACAACTAAATATATTCCATGCACCCCGAAATGCCAGCCAATAATAGCATATACCTACATATCAGAAAATTACCATCATTCATATCATACCCAGAGATGCAAAAAAAAGTTTCACAAGTAGTTGAGAACTCCATTGATAACCCAAACTTCGCCATTAGCGACCTGGGGAATTATGTCTTCAACCTCAATATTGCCAGGGTGAATCTGCTCAACGGTTAGAAGCTGCTACACAAGAAGCTGGCCTATAGTCTCATGACTTACGTATTTCTTTCCATCCTTCTCTTCCCAGAAAATCTTCCCACCCCCCAGAGTTTGAATTTCCTTGCCAGCTTCCCAAGAGCCCTGTGGTATCAAATGAGCGGAGATGAACTTCTCCAAGTTCTGGTTTGCTCGTTTCTTCCCGGATTCTCCCTCGTACGCATTCTGAACTCCAAAGGTTGCATATTCACTTGGGTTCTCCCATGGTTTATGGGGTAAGCCCTGGACAGCAACATTATTCGGGGCTAAAACTATCGTATCCTGGCTATCATTGTCCAGACGGTTTGAAATATTTTCATCATCTCGGGTCATGGAGGCGAAAATGTTAGCTTCTCGAGTCTTTCCCAGGATATCCGAAACGCGGACACTGCTCCTAGCAGCTTCTTTAGAGGGAGGCATGACGAAGTGCGGTACAGCGTCAGGGTCTTCAAGAGGGCTCCAGTTGAGTCTGTCGATATTGTCCCGCTCTGGATCGAGGTTCTTCGGGCTTCTATAATCTCGCGGAAGTAGTCGCCGTCTAGATAGGATGGGAGGATTCCAATGCGAGGAACACACTACAAGCAAAGACGTCAACGCAAGAAGTGTAGAGAGAGTGACTATTTTCATAGCGGGCAGCAAGATTTAAGTAGACATATTTCTAAACCGGTTTCGGGACTGTGTCTGGTATGACATGAACGATATTCAAATCCTCAACATCGCCGTCGTCGCTATTTTGATGCAGCGAGTTTAAGGTTTATATGACGTCAGCAGGTTAGTTATAGTCACGTGTAGAGATCGCGGGACTACTGTTACACGTGATCTTATCGATAAGAACCTTTAACTCAAAAGATAAACCGCAAGTGGGAAAATATTTGGACATCGTTATATGAAAAGAAAGTGAAAGCAAGACGAAGACGGGCGGTGGACAATATGGCTGAGTTACAGGACTTCATGCTGGTGGCCGAAAAGGACCGGGATGAGGCAATGCGGATAGCTAGCATTGTTGCGTCAAGTGAGTTCCGTGTGTGAGACTCTTATCGTGGTTCATAGCTAATTTGCGACTCTCGGAACCAAGAGCTTGAGAGCAAGCAGACTACGCTGATAAACATTGTGAAGTCATTGGGGGAATATATCAATGATGAAGACGCTAGCATCCGTGGAAAGGCTGTATCCTACCTAACGGCGGTGATAATAGCTCTTCCGGAGACATACCTGAGCCGACAACAAATACAAGTTCTCACGACCTTCTTTTGTGCCCGGATTGAAGATGGCGGTGCTATCACTGGCTTGCGCACCCTTCATGGGATGGAACGATTTGATAAATCCATGGCTCAAGATACATTTCGGGCGTAAGTGCATTGCGTTACGACTGCGATTTAATAGCCAAGATACTCATTATGATCATAGCATTTATCAACACTCCGCCGAATTTAGAGCCCGCCCACAGTCACAGAGATTGCAAGTCCTTCATCTTCTAAATGAATTGATGGCAAAACGTCGAGAAGGTATCTTATCTTACCCATAATATTATAAATTGGAGCTGGGCTGATGAACCATAGCCATGCGCGAGATAAATGATGAGTCACTTATAGGGATCGTGGATCTTGTCAGCGGAGAGCGAGATCCCCGCAATCTCATGATTGTTTTCTCTATTCTCAAGGTGCTGATGATGGAGTGGGATATATCAGGACATACTCAGGTAATGTCATATTGTTGACATTGGTAACATTGACTGACGTTTACTGACACACTCGATTATGCATAGGATCTGTTTGATGCTGCTTATAATTATTTCCCAATAACGTTTAGACCTCCTCCAAATGATCCATACGGTGTAACTGCCCAGGATCTGAAAGACCGACTACAGGCTTGCATAACATCCACGCCCCTTTTTGCCCCATATGCTTTCCCGGCCTTACTAGACAAGTTAGACTCAACATCAGCCAATGTAAAGGTAAAATTTAACATCTCTATACCCTTATCTCATTTATCCCATCACCTATGGCTAAATATTTTCTAGCGTGATGCTTTGAAAGCACTCAATGGATGTATTGAATCATACAGTTCCGCAACCTTAACCCGGTATTCTCTTACTATTTGGGACTGTCTCAAGTTTGAAATACTCAACGCACAGGACGAAATTCTTCCTGCAGAAGCTCTGCGGGTGCTACATGCTTTAGCTTCTAGGCTCCCTATATCATCAGTTAATGGCGTCAATAAATCACCGCTTGCACAGTTCCTAAAACCAGTTACAAACGAATGCATTGATCAGCTACGAGAGCCATTGCAGAAACAGGCGAAGCCAGCACGCCAGATTTTGAGCTCATTATCATCTGCATCTGCACCTTCATATACTCTAATAACCGAGTCCGTTATTCGTCAATTGATCAACATTTACCAAAATGCCGATGCCATTTCGAAACAACGCGAGATTCTAGAAACCTTTATCGAACTCTTCAAGTCAGCAGTAACGGTCTTTGGAACTTGGACCACTGCTACATCTGATTCGAGCCTTCCAAACCCGCTTACCTCATACAAAGATGGCCTTACGGAAATATTCAGTAAATCCTTAATGGGTTCCGCAGAAGATGAAACCTCATTCAGGCTCTCGGCCTTGAAAGGGCTTACAGAACTCTCTCTCCTACCGAATTTCCTTGAGGATAATGAGATTGGCCTTTTTGTTCAGTATTTCAATGATATCCTCCTCCGTGAACGGACTTCTGCGCAGGAAGAATTGCATAGAGAAACCATCAATGCTTTGGCGAAGATGTCAAAAAACAAACCACAGCTTATCATTGATATCACTTTCCCTGCAATTTTAGCAACTCTACCTGATACGGTAAATGGAAATGACGAGACCTACCTACATTCCCTCGATAGCCTGGCCCGAATAAGTACGGAAAAGGAGGTGTTTAATACGCTTGTTAGGAGGTTACTCAGCAAGTTGGATGTTGTGACCAGCTCCACTGACGGAAGCTCTTCAACTTATACCGCTGCTATACTAACGACAATCCTATATGCAATGGAACATCGCCAGGACCTAGAAAACGACCCGAACTTGAACTTCTACTACGAGAAGATTGTCCGATCTCTGTGTCGCTGCATTGCTAAAGCGTCTACAACGGGAGATTCGGCTCTAAATCACCCGCGGGTACTAGATGCCTTAGGTCGACTTTGCAACCTGATCATCCAGTACCTACCGCGAGCTACGCAGGAAGAGGCGTGTAGAAATATATATGCATTGTTTACAACCGAAGAAGAATTTACCCCGGCTCTATTTTTAGAGAAGTCGACAACTCTCCCGCAAAAACAGATGATAATTATCTCAACCTATATCCTTGCCGCGTTGCCGAAAGATATATCACCACTTCCATATACGAGCACCGGGATCGAACCCCTTTTGCGGAAAACTATAAAAGCCTCAATATCAGAGGAATCTGATCCGTCGACCCAGCTAGCCTTAGCCCGCCATGTTGCACTCCTAGCTAACAAATTCCTTTCTAAGGAGGAGGTCCAGTGTGCTTCAGATATCTTATTCTCACTAATACCGCCGTCATCATCTACAGCTCTATTACAACAAACTATTCGGACCATTTTCTGGCTATCCAAAGCTTTAATTCTCCGGCTAGCTCCCTCAACCATCCAGATCCTAACCTCGCTGTTAGATCTACTGGATTCTCCCGACCCAAAGACTAGTGAGCTTTGCGCCAGGGGCTTTAGTATGCTCCTGTCTGAAGACAGTATCCTTAATGTTAAAAATGGAGCTACCATTCGTCTTCTTGTCAAACAAAAAGTTTTCACAACTGTGATCCCTTTGATATCTGCTCGAGTCCATGACGCCAATATATCCGCTACTGCGCACGATGAATCATCATTAAGAAAATCTCATTCCAAAGAGTCGTATCTTACTGCTCTATCTGGTCTCCTATCCACTATACCTTCGTCTCTGGTAATGACTAAGTTACCAACACTCTTACCCCTTTTACTTCAAACGCTCGACTTAAATCCCGCTGCTGATACCTCATCCGCCGAACCATCACCCACAACCAGCAGCAACATCAAATCCGCTACACTCAAAACACTGGCAATTGTCATTCATGAAAACGGGGTCCAGGTGATAAATGAGATTGGCTACGTGGAAGATCTCGTCACTCGCCTTTTACGGGCGGCAACAATACATAGAAAAAATGGAATTGATATACATGTTGAGAAAACTGCGGATTCATCAACATCGAAGAAAACTAGTGCCAGCGATACCAGTAACCCAGCGAAAGTTCGAACACAGTCTCTTCAATGCCTAACTCTGCTTGCCAATAACCCTGTTGGCCAAAGTGTTGAAGGAGAAAATAAAAGGTCACTGTCTACAGTGTCTCCCTTATTACGGCTAAAAAATAACGTGCTCAGGGATTTGCTGTGTGTACTGGATGACCCTAAGCGGGATGTTCGTAAGGCTGCCGTCGATGCACGAGCAGCATGGCTAAGAAATGCTGAAGACGAAGCAAATAATGACGATGTTTAGGAAGCAAACTTCCAAAAAACAATACTACCATTTGCTATGTTCATAAAAGACATTAAGGTTTCTATACATTTTGCTTTTGTTTATTTTCCAGCTGTTATCTTTTTCGACTTCGTCTTCCTATCAAAAGTTGAATAGATACCTGTTAGAATCCTTGAGTAACAGCTTTGTATTCTCATAGCAAACTATTCTTTAACTAACTATGACATTGAATAATAGTAGGCAGTTGTAGTCAAGAGGGAATAACCATGGAAATAACTTTTCGGGGCAAGCCATCATACCCTAGAACAACTTAAGTTTTATCTATGAATAGAATAATTTTATTCTATGCAGCTAGGAGTAACGATAGCATTGTTGGTCAGTTACCAATAAGGGATCAGGTCATCCTGGGTTGGGGTAACGCTCTTGGTAGTGTAATCAGATCTGTCTTTACCACCCTCTGTCTGGGAGAAAACAAACGGGCCAACCCCAGCAGAAGCTAGTGGAGATGGGTATTTATCTTGGATGAAATTGGCAGGTGTATAATTAGCCCAACCAACTACATCAACCTTCTCCACAACCTTTCTTGCAACGCGAAATAGGCTACCGATTCCAGAGGAGCCGATGGTTCGCTCTGCTTTTGTCAAGAATTCTTCTGGCCGGTCAGTCTCAGTAATGTTTCCCCCGAGGTGTGATTCAATACCAAGTAAGTCGTCAGAGCGCCATGAGTCGACACGTTCTCCAACGGTAAGGTTCTTGTTTGCTTTGAAGACTTCTTCAATGGCAGGACTGACAATAGATGCCTCATACCATAGTCGAGAGCCTTCAGCCATGGCCTCAGGGCTGATGGAGCGTACACGGATAGCATTTTTATCAGCTGGGTTGTTGCCAGAGATCAATCTCTGGACTTCAGTTATCTGAAGGAACACTGGCTGCTCACTATTGGAACTAGATGACTCCGAGTGGTTGTCAAGTACATACTTGCCAACGTACTTGTGGCGAGTGGTTCGTTTCATCAGAATCTTGGTGATCCGAAGTGCACTATCCTCTGGGACACGAGTAAATATGATAATCCTAGACCGGTTTGGTGGAATATATAAGTTATCGACTATACACTTGACAGTCTCTGGGATTCCACTTTCAGGTGCCGCAGTGTACTCTTGGGACCCCTTAACTGTGGCTCGAAGGTCCCAAATATTCAAAGGAAAATGAACATTTGCAGCTCCTAAGACAACGTCAGGGCGATTAATAGTCACAGCTCCAGACTCGTCCACAACGATGATGATGTCAGCATTATCCTTTGTTTGGCAGTGGAATTCATAGCAAACTTGGCGAGTTGTGGGATCCTGTTCGAAATAATGTTGGGTATCAGTGTCATCCTCAGCGCCAAGATCGAATAAGTAATCGATATCTGTTCCAGAAGTGGTCAAGAATTGGTTAAACACTGTAGTGAGGCCTGGTAGACCGTGCCGTGGTCGAAAGAGAGGATTCCAGGCTTTGAGGTCAAGTGTTCGTCCTGTATGGAGACTGGAAACCGAGTTAGTGAGGATGAGACCCAGTTGAATTTCCACCGACAACGTGCCAGTGAAGTATTGAACAGCATCGAGGACAGGCTTAAGACAGCCAAAAAGGTCTTTCACATTGTTAGTATCAATAGTTTCCTTCATAGTGAGTTTTGCCTTTTTCCACTGGCTGGGTTCAGGAGCTTGAGCCGGTTTGGATGGGGGCGGCGTCGGGATAGAACCCCATGCGTCCAAGTAGGCGGCCTGTTTTCTCGCCTTTTGCTCGGCTTTTGTCTCACTTTTGGCAGTAACCGCTGGAGCTGGTGTCTTTTGCCCCATAACGCGGTGGAAGACCCTAGTAGTTTGTTCCCCATCTATGATCCTAGGCGCACGGCGTTCAAAAGCACTAGAGGATTCCATAGTGGAGAGTTTTAGCTTGCGGAGTCTTTCTTCATTTGACTCAATATCTCCTGCAGGATCTCGCTTTTCTTCAGTAGGCTGCTCTAGAGAGTCGATTGTTCCGGTAGTCCCAGGAGATGCATCGACCGAAGGCCCAACCACAGACGAGTCTAATCTAGGTTTTAGTGGAATCAATGTTTGAGAAAATGGCATTGATCGTATGGAGGAAGCCATGATTTCCGTCGCAGATGTGGATGTATCTATAAGTGTTGGTACTTTTTTCATCGGTTTCCCATGCTCTCTTGGTCGTGTATACATAAGTGGAAATTTGTTTCCTGGTCGACGTGGAGGTGACTTTCTTGGATGGCCATATGCACCAGTATTGAATGAAGCTGGTAGGACGTCCCTAGGAGGAGGGATAGATGCTTGTTGTGAGGTTTCTTTGGTGGGCCTCACAGTAACAGTCGTTCCGGCAACAGGCTTTTTGTTTCTTTTCTCGACGGCTGGCTGCTCAATGATAGGTTGCTTTGTAATGGGCTTCGGAAGTGGTTTTTCAACAATCGGCTGCTGAACTTTTGGTACGCCTTGAATATTAGCAGGAGGTAGAGGTTGGCGTCTTTTTAATCCTGAAGGCAATTTGGGTACTTCCACAACTTCAGCAGAAGGTTCAGGAGGAAGAGTACTGTTTGGCTCGGAGACGTTCGTTCCAACAGCACCAGCCTCCACTCCTTCAGTAACCCATCGGTTTACAAAGGATGCCTTCTCGTAGGATAACCAGGGGTGATCAACAATTGGTTCGTCTTCTTGCACGCAGTCCATTTTCAGGGAGGATTTCGCAGCTGGATCTTCTTTTGAGGCAGCGGGTAGTTTGGGAAGAAGCGAGGCATCTCCAAGCTCTTGGAATTTGAAATCGTCCCAGATACGGGTTTGTCCTCGTTGCTGTTCTGGGAGTTGTGGCGGAATGGTGATATTCTTCGGGATTCTCAACTCACGAGACTCTGGATCGATAATCTCCATCACTGTAACGAACATAGTATGTAGGTGATTGATCAATTTAGACTCAGGGCCGTCAACTAAGACACGTCTGGTGGCAGCATCGTTCAAAGACTTGTAGGGAACAATTCGAAGTCTGTACTCCGTAGCATCACCAACATAGAGGATGTTCGCAACTTGAGGGGCCATCATTAGAGACTATATCAAGCATTAGGATATGTATTAGTTATTCAATGATATCAAGCAAGGGACACTTGCCAAGTATGAATGGACGTTGGAGAGCCGTTCCATGGCGTTGTCAGCTTGCCATTGTTCCATGCTAGTGATTCGGATTCTCTTGTTGCTTGCCTCGATGTCCACCTGTGCTCCAGTTGCTTGGGTAATAGCAGTAAGTATAGATCGAGGAGCTTTGACAAAGCAGTCAATAGCTGCTTCATCCTCCTGCCAAAACTTGACTACCACTGGAAGCCTCAGCGCCTCGGGAGGTGGGAGCTGTTCAATAAGTTGATCTTCGTCCCCACAGAGCATCTCTCCACTTTCTTCCTCAGGACCGGCTGGCACAGAGAGTCGGGTGACTTTTGGACACTATCCTCTTTATTAGTTGAGATCAGATAGCCAAATACTAACGAAGTCTTACCTCAAGCAAATCATTTTCTTTTTCCTTCTCAATGAAGCCAGCCAAATACTCGGCAACTGCCGAAGCAGATAAAGACGTACTGCAGTTATCAATGGAAAACGCCTAGTTTATTTCTTGTTAATTCCACTCTGAGAAACTTATATAATAATCCGTAGCTCTTGCACTCACGTCGTGTGCTGACTCGTACTTGCAGAACCCATCAGATCCATGAGGCAAACCCCTATAAAGTGCAAATTAACAAAGCAATTCTCTTCAAATATTCTAACAAAGATGCGCAGTGTGTTTTTTGAGCACGGATTGGTGGTATCTTACTTGAAGAATTTGGTCACTTGGTCGATCTAGAGAGATAGTATCAGCAATATATTCATCGAAAGATTGAGATGTAGACAATTATCACTTACACCGTCGCTTTCAAGCCTCCATATGGAGGCAATCGTCAGTCTGTAACGCGAAGCCATGGCAGCAACGCGTCTTTACACTGGCCTCGAAGCAAAAACGGAGCTCAACCTGTCTTTCTGGCTGGAGATGTAGGGTGTTAGAACTGCTAAAACAGGGGAAAGCCAGGTATCTCAAGGGAATAATACGAGGCAGTAATAGAATAGAGAATGGGACTGGACGTCTAAGCGGGGATATCAATTCTCTTGGTCTTTGACCTCAGGAAGAGAACGGAGCAGAGTAAAACATCAGCAAATCTGATGAGAAAACAGTGACTCGCCAGCATTCACACCCAGAATACGACAGTTCCATTCACTCAAGTCTGAGAAGAAGAATGATGAAGAAGAAGAAGAAGAAGAAGAAGAAGAAGAAGAAGAAGAAGAGTTTTCAGCTTTACCTACTGTCTTTCTGGGTGTTTTGGATGTAGCAGAATAAAGAAGCAAGAGCGGAAATCTGCAGGTGAAACACTGTGCAAGAGCTCAGCAGGAGACAAAACAGTAAAAACAGAAGCAGAAGCAGAAGAAGATAGTACGATAATAGAATGATGAGAGGGAAGAGAAGAAAAATAAGAAGAGAAGAAAGAAGAAGAAGAAGAAACATTGAAGTAGAATTTGGTAGATGTTCTGCTTCACTGTGTTGTGCGTTTAGCGCGACCAAAGGACATCATCGCTAATGTAAATATTGATATCTGATTAACACCTTTAGAGGGCTATAACCAAGATGTATTTAAGCCTTCATGGCATAACTAGTTTATCCTGATAGCTTGATTGAATCAAAGGGCCGGAAGCCTGTTCTGCTACTGGTATAGCCAAAACACCATTCCGGACCACAGGATGGACAGTCTTCATTCTTTCTTCTACGAACATGGGAAATAGGCAAACATCTGGAGTATTTATAGTGTAAAAGGGTTTATATAGATTCCCCAGCCCCTATAAAACCGATGAAGTCGAGTGAAGTCGAATTAAGGCCAGCATTAAAATTAGAGCCTGTGGACCCGTCGGATCGATCTTCCGGATAAACCTTCAGGAACCAGGAACATCGCGGCTGGGCATCGCATTACAAGAAAACACTCAAATGTAGAAGAATATAATACTAAGAGTTTGAATATGAGCAGTACTATCTACCTGTATTCAGGTTGAAGAGATGTAGTAGTAATGCAGCCAAAATGCCAATATCGAAATCACCGGGGAAACTAGACAAGACAGATGTCGAGGAAAATGCAAATAAGAAAACAACGAAAAGGCCGATATCCTCACATAGTTTGCCTTGCCCTGCCATGCTCTTCCTTGTAAATGGGATGCAGAAAGAAAAAGGTATTAAAAAAAGGAGAAAAGGGGAAAGTTACAACTCAGACATCCTCCCTATGACTAGTCTATACCGTTTGTTTCATGCTTTTCCATTCCCCACCAAAAAATGTATCCGTACAGAAGAATCAAAGGAATAAAAACATGAGATCGTGGCTGAGGGAATAGAGTCGAAGATAGTCGAGGTTGGAGTGGGAAGTTAGAGAAGAAGATGGGAAGGGAGATGAAGAGGAAAGACGACTTCCAGGTTGAAATTTAGAGGGTATCCTGGATATTTCTGTCGAATCATATGCTAGGGCAGTCGAATAAGAGGGTGCAGATGCAAATGTGGTTAGAAAGATGAAGGCATCCAATCCATGATAATGGGGCCGAAGGTGAAATATGGGAGAAAAGGTCAAGTAAGATAAGTAGAAATCCAATCCGGGTCCAGTGGTCATGATGGATAATCCGGTCCTACTCCGAACTCCGGCGTCTTGGAATTATGCGAATGAAGCGAATAATGGTAAAAGGTATAAAGAAGAGAAGAAGGAAATCCGATCCAGCGGAACTGATATACACGTCAAACCGGATGATTTGACCGAGACAAAGTAAAGGGCGGAAGTGAAAGCGGCGAAAGGAAGGTGGTGGGAAGGAGGGAGTTATCTGGCGCCTTTCACATTTTGCTTGACGCTGACTACCCATTTCATCTTGTCGGTAGCCTCCCTGGCATCTCTCAGCACCGTATCGACGTCTCGATCGTTCTGTCTTCCTCTCTCCACGAGTCCCTGTAGCACGCCGTCACTGCGCGATTTATACTCTTCATATAACGAGGTCATTCTCTCCGCCCGGTCACGAGCAGCCCGTATCTCGCGGTCCTTTTGTTCGATTATAACGTCCAGTCTACTAAGCTGATTCTGCCGTTCTTGCTCGCGCTTCATTAGCTCGTCAAAGTCCTTCCTGAACATGCTGAAACGGGACTGAAACTCGTTTCTGTCGCGTAGTCGGGCCTGTGAGAGAGCATCATATTGGCATTGAGACCGCTGAGAAATTTCCTGCGCCTCTGCAAAGGCTCGCTGATGCTCTTCGCGCTGCTGTTGGGCAAGCTGGGTGGTTTCTAATGCATCGTTTTCGGCCTTTAGACGTCTATTTTTCTCGCCTTGTGTTTCGGATTTGAGGTCTTCTATTTTCCTGTCTTTGCGTGCGATTGTTATCAGACTTGCTTCGTGGGACTGTTCGGAGCTGCGTAGTCGATCGGTAACGGTCTGTAGTTGTTGTTTTAGCACTTCGTTCATGCGCTGGGCTTCTTCTGCACGGGTTCGGTGGAGGTTGCATTCACGGGTGAGACGGGTGATTTGTTCCTGGAGATTGTGAATGACTCTGCCGGATTTACCGGTCATGGCATGACCGATGGCAGAGGACCACTCCGGGGGCGATGTCGAGGGTAGAATCGAGTCACCGTTGGTAGGCGGAGATATGGGGCCAACTATCGCTCTGTCAGTGTCTGCCTTGCCTATGCGAACAGCGGTAAACAGATCGTGGGGATAGTGTAAACATACGGATGGGCTCGTCTCGCCTGGGGACACCATTGGAGCCGAAAACTGTGCCATTGGCGCCATCGGGCGGAGGGCTATCGAAATAACCGTTGGGCGAGTGCATGTTCAGGTTGGTCTCGACGGCGTCGGGGAGAGTGATCTGGGGCGGTAATTCAAAAGTAGAAGTGGAAGCGGAAGCGGAAGCGGAAGCGGAAGCTGACGATGAGGCTGGAGCTTTGACAATGATCACTGTAGAGTTAGCGCTTGGTCTGCGAAGATGGAGCATCTTTCTGAGCTTCTGGAGAGGCTGTTTCATTGTTCAAGGGCCGGGGATACGCAAGAGAGCGACAGCGCGTGTGTTCTGGTGTTGCGTTCAAGGGAATTGGCCTGGTTGTTTGTGCTGAGGAGGGAGAAAGAGGTGCAGGCGGATAGATGGAAAAGTAGTAAGTGAGTGTAGTACCGCTGGAGCAGTCGAAATCCCACTGCTTTATCTTAGTCAAACGGGCCTGGTAACAACTGCGGTGCTGGTTCATTGTCAGATCGGGCAGCTCATGATGCGCCTTGCTGATGGAAGATGCGGGAGGGGACGGACAGCGTGGGCAGACTGGATCTGGCTGATGCGTTGGCGCCGTATATGCGCGGCCAGAGGTGTATCAAAGAGAGGGTATGCGTGGTGAGTCGAGCGAGACAAACGGGCTGAGATGCCTCCCGGGTGCCTCCTGTTGGCGCTCTCCGTCCGTCTGCAGTGTCATCGACCGCAGTAGCTCGTCGTTCGGTCAGCTCGTTGGCTCGTTAGCTGTTGGATGTCTTGACCTGACGTCGCTCGCTGCGCTGATAAGACGGATTGATTGATATTAATTAATATCGTCGATTTATTAATTTTGTTTACGCCAGAAATCGAGCAGGAGGCTGAGTCAGCGATATTGATGAGTAAGCCGACAGGTCAAGTGACTTGATGACTCAGCAGAGCACCAAATAAAAAATGAAAAAATAAAAATAAAGATGTTGAGAGATGCGCGATTCGAACGCGCGAATCAAAAGAAATCAGGGTAAGAAATACGATTACGTAAGCCTAAACCTGACGCCATAACCACTCGGCCAATCTCCCATTACTTGGGGCATTTTGGGGCGCAGTTGGCCAAGTAGTAGAGGCCTTGCCAAGTGACTATACTACGAAATACACACAGAGAGTAGAGTAGAGAAGAGCAAATAAGAAGGTAAAAACTACAGGCGAAAGCTACTCCTTGTCCCAGTCCATGTCGATGTCAATGTCTTCTGCGCCGACGCATTCCTTGAACTCCCTGGTCTCGACCTCCCTGTCCAATGCCTCGAACAACCGACTCAGATAGACCCTCTCTCCTGGGATGTCCAGGCCAACGTCCATGCCAGAGAAGATGGCCACCTCAAAGCAGGACCGGGCCAGCTTGACGACTGATGGTACCCCGGATCTATACAGATCTTTGAAGCGCTGTCTCCAGAAGAGCCAACGGTCAATGCTAAAGCCTGGCTGGGTAACACCCGCCTGTACCGCAAGGTCACCCGGCAAAGTTATGCTGCTGTCATTATTCTCCTCGCTGCTAATACCACCCTCAGACGCGCGTGCTGCTCTGTAATTCTCGTATGAGAGCCTGACTAGCTTGCTGTTGCTGTGCTTCAGCCAGGCCAGGCACGCCGGTAGGAGGTCGTGGACGGTAGGACAAGCCTTGCCGTCCTGTCCATCCTTTGTTACTGGCCTGTCAGTTTCGAGAGCCTGCTTGAATAGCCACAGTGCACAACGGCTGAGATCCTCCGGACAGATACAGGTAGCACACAACTTTGCTGCCCACACTGCAAGGCTCTCACGCTCCGCTGGTGTGAAGCCCATGGACTCTTTGGTCCATGAATCCTTCACTTCCTGGCCCAGATAGGGTAGATCGATCCATAGCTTCTGTCCGTTGGGCAGCGTCGCTCCCTCTCGTTCCGGGGCAGCCTCTTTGTCTGCCTTATTCTGAGCGAAGACCCCTAGTGCACGGGTTTCTGATACCAAGGTGACAAGCCGGTCGAGTTCGGCACTGGTGGCTGGCGTGATCTTCGCTGCGTGTATGAGCTCATCCCAGATATCATGCAGCTGGCTCTCTATCTCCGCCGCAGCGAAGTCGTCGCTGAAATATCCTCGTCCTATCCCGCCGATGGCGTTGCGGAGGTTTTCCCATGTCTCCTGCGCGTTGGCCGGGTCAGTCTCGTACTCTTTGCGCTTTTCCTCTCGCGTAGAGCTGGGTAGAGCACAGGTTCCGCCGGGACAGTCCATGCTGACGGTAATGTTGGAGTAGATGAAGAAGATGTGCAGGCGGATGGGGTAAAGACAGCTCAATTTTCGGGATATCGGTCGTGACTGCAATCAGCTTGTTCTTGTAGGTAGGAAACTTCGATATGTGTTACACCGCAGGGAGTCAGCAGTAAGCAAACAAACATATGTAGGTGTCGAGGTGAATGGTAAAGAATGACACCAGAGTTGTGAATAATGTCACTTTTTCGAGATGATTAATGAGGATATACAGGTCGTCGTCCTTACCTCACCCAGTTGGAGAAACAGAAAACAAAGCTATCAACAAAGGCAATAAAACACCAACTCCCACCTACCCGTCTACATATCTGCACAGTGAAGGCCGCCCTCATCCTCCTTTGCAGGCTTCCCTACCTGTCCCGTCCTATCAAGTGCATTTCCACCAAAAGATGCTGCTGATCTTATGGAGTGACATTCATTTCCCGACGATAAAGGGCCTGAACGTTTGACTACCAATTGCAAGTTCTCCCGCATTCCGTTGTTTTGCATACTCATGACATACTGACATACGAATAGTTGAGCAGTTCTGTATGATAGTCGGATGGGAGTACAATGGCGGGGATATGGACACGCATATCCTTGATATCAGAGCACAGTTGTTATCAATTTGATAATTTGGTATCTCCTCAATTCGGCATTCGTTAGCCCGAACTTCTCTCAAGTTATACCAAAAGGTCGAGTTCCTCTATTCTTTCCACCTTTTGTTTAGGGAACCATGGAGATATTCGTCCGGTAGTCAAATCCCGAGGTATGGGAGGACGGATAATGTATGAATCCTTCGGTAATATCTCACACAACTGAGCTGGAGCGACACGTATCTCCTACGGATGATATGGCCTCCAAGCTCATTATACCACATCGAGCAGTTACACCGTGAAAGAGGGGAATGGACGGTGGTAGTCAGCAATATATATCTGGTTGCCTTCAGATATAAAAAGCCGTCACCTACCACCACCATCTATGCCATCTTGATCACTGGGTTTGCCATTCAAATAAAAACATAGTCAAAAAGGGCCATTCAAACCATCAAAACCTGTAAAAATGAAGTTCAATCTTGTCCTTCTTGCAGCCTTCCTAGCTGCCCCCATCCTCGCCAATACTACCCCAGAAGTCCGTGAAGCTGTCGACCTTGCTGACCGCGACATGTCTGCCGTTGACGAAGGGAATGAGCTCACGGCCAGAAAGGTGCGTATCCACATTCCCCAGCGGTGCTAGTTCATTGATACCATGATGATATGCTAACACGGACAATCGCAGAGATGCATTGGAAGATGCAATAAGAACGGGTGCCACTGCACCAGGCCGGTGAGAGTGTGTCCATGCAACCGAGTGGGTGCCAGGTGTGTCTGCCGCTAGCACACGGGATATAATCTCGACCATTCATCGCTAGTGATGGGTCTATCTTGGGTATTTCCTATGTCTGAGCAATGTGTGGACGCTCTTCTATCCCTAAGCACCGTGCCATACGAGAGTGTGCGGAGGAGCATCTGAGAACTGGTATCAATAGCTGGATTATTGGAAGTGATGCGACAGCATCGGCTTTGTCTGATATCAATGATAATCATAGTTCAATGATGATACATACATCCTGTGCCGTCATTAGCAAGAAGTAAATATATGTAGCCACTGACGGATGGGCGACGCTATGTTTCAGCATTTGGCCGAGTTGGATAATAGTTACGAAAAGGATGCCGTCGCCACCACTATCTAAACTTCCGCTGGATACCTCTCTTCGACCCCGATTGCGGTCTTCGCTTTGACCGCAAAAGCGCTTCATCCCACCAGTTCCAAAGGCAAGATGCACCGGCCGGCATAATCACCTTGCCACCACTAAGGAAGAAGCAATTGCTAGCCGAATTATCACCGTGGAGCCGATATTCATATCAATCGAAGCTTCCACTCTGATAAACAGCCCTCTCGACCACGGAGACATTACAGATACCAGCCACAGCCGTGGGGAATAACATGCCCGATAGTTTGCAAGCCACAGATGACTTTATAGAGAAAATATGCAGTTAAGCAACGAGTTCAGATCTTGAAATTATTACTAATTCGAGGCTCAATGATTGTTTTGTCGATCTCTATCAATCAATCAATATGCTGCTGATCGCATGGTTACATCGGAAGATGAATTGACTTGCGCGACAAGGAAATCCTGAACGTGAGCTTGCATCGGCGGTAAACAAACGAATAAACAAGAGGAACAAACCGTCAAGCAATGACTGGATCTGGCGTATTTAGCTGCTTATCGTGGATGGGATAAAATTCAGGGGTAAAAAGCACAACTCCTTTCCTATGTAACTTTCAACCAGATACAGAAGCTAAGACGGCACAGGCTGACCACAAGGCTTAGTGTCTATCTTATCCTACCTCGATCTCACTTTAAACACAGATGACCATCTGAGCGTTCTATATCAGATATATGAACACATGCCTCCCGCTGTATAGATATATATACATACTGTCTGTCTTCCCTTGGTCAATCTCTCCACTCTCGTCCAACCTCGCCACCCAATAGCCATGGGAAGATCAAACGTGCACAACGCTGCAAGATGGGGATAGAGTTCAATGAGGTCGGTAAGGAGGCAAGTCTGGGGAAGAAGATGGAGACGGGAGATAGATGGATTTATGTATGGCTCAAGCCCGGTGCACAAGCATGCCCAAAGCACGGCAGCACGAGCAAATGCAAAAAAGAAACAAGGATCGGCTGGATCAGATCAAGATGCGTGGAATTTGATTGACGGGGGGACTGAAAAGGGCGGGAGGGAGACAGAGGTCAAGGAGTGGCTTGGGAGAAGATGAATATTTGCAATGACGATAGAAGAGTATAAGAAAAGGATAACAGCTTGTTAGGATAGCATGGTAAATGAAGCGTACAGCACTAGTCCTGTGGGTTTGTGGTGGTAGAGGTAGTGGTAGTGTCCTTGGTCCTGTCTCGTTCCGCTATGTACATCCATCATCGATCAAACTCCGTCGCAAATGAAAAGAACAACAAAGGCAGTAGGAATGAATCCGTCCGCCGAAGAAGAGAAGGTATTAAAGTTTAGAAAGGAAGAAGTAATGTAGAAGAAGTAGAGAGCAAAAAAAGAGTAATGGCATAAGAGGTTTTTCAAGGATCAATCAGTCAATCAAATCACATCGTGAAGAGCCAGCCATGCAAAGAGGGTGGACACAGTTAAGAAGTTAAGTAAGCACATCAATCAGAATCAAATCAATAATATCAAGTAAGGAAAAGGTGAACAGGGGAGGATATCCCGCGTGTTCGGAGCTCAGAGATAGAGCGACGCTTAGTTGAGGTAAGCGAAGGCGACCAGGGCGGCCATGATGAGCGCGAGCGGGCTCGACAGGGCGGTCAAGGAGGCTGCGCCTCCGGTAGGAGTGGCAGTTGGAGTGAGAGTAGCGCTTTGGGACTGGGAAGTGAGAGTTGGGGAAGACATGGTGGTGTTGCGGTGGCTGGTGGTGGTGGCAGTTCCCATGCTTGCGGTGCCAGTGCTGGTCTTGGTGACCATGGTGGTGTGGTTGGCAGAGTTGGTCATAGACATGCTGGCCTGAGAGGTGGAGGTAACGGCTGGCTTGGTCACTGGCTTGGTGGGTTCGCCGGAAGAAGAGGAAGAAGCAGTGGTGGTAGCAGGGGTGGAGGATGGGGTTCCGTGGCCGCCAGTGATGGTGAAGAGACCGGTATAGTTGATTTCACTGCCCTGGGAGATCTGGAGAGCATAGTCGGTGCCTGAGACGAGAGAAGTAGATGGAGTGAAGGTGTAGCTTCCACCAGTTGCAGAGGCTGATATCATGTTAGTATCTGCTGTCTCTCTGTTGGATATATCGCGCCTAAATAAAAATGACTTACAGGTCAAGATAGAAACATCCTTGAGGTCGTCACTTGGACCGTGACGTAGAGTAATGGTAACGGGCTAACGGCGCGTCAGCATTTGGCTTTCTTTTCTTACATGCATTCATTCATTCAATGGGTATATATAAAACGTACCAGGTCAGCGTTGCCTCCAGTCCAGGTAACGGTGAAGGGCTGTCCAGCCGTTAGGCCACTGGGGAACGAGGTGAACGCGAGCTTTTCGGCAGCGACAGCAGCAATGAGAGCCGCGCCAGCAAGGAGAGTCTTGAAGAGTTGCATTGTGAAGGTTGGTTTGTGATCTTAAAAAGGACCGGAAATAGATTAAAATTAGGCGAGGGTATTAGGTATTAACGCGAACGACGCTGTATAGATCTTGGTTTAAAAAGGACCGTGGTGGTTGTTCTTGTTGTAAGGAGTGTTGATTTTGGTAGGGAATGACTGTAACCAGCGAGACTTGGACTGATCAGAAGAAAAAAAAACCGAGATGAGGAGGAAAAGAAGAAGAAGAAGAAGAAGAAGAAGAGAAGAAAAAGCAGGAGAAGAGGTGGAAAGGAGGAGAAGAAAAAGGATTTTCCTCTTGCCTCTCTCTATCCTTTTCACTTCCACTTGTTCGCTGTCGAGGTTTGCTTTTGGCGGGTGGAAGTAGCTAAGTGGACTAGCGAACCTTGCCCCTGTACAGGCCCAGATGATGCTCCTGCCGACCCCCCTGTCGATAGCACATTTTTCCCCCAGTTTCTTCTCGGCCTCTTCCGCTCTTTTCATCTGTATCCCCAGAGACGGCTCTTTGTTAATGAGAGCACAGCGACGGATGGAACAATCTCACTCTGATCGCATTACTCGCTCACTCTTGTGGCCGTCTGTCCCGGCGTGCCTGAGAGGAGTTAACTTCCGGTCCGTTTCTCCCAGGCCAGGGCAGACGGTGAAGACAGTAAACAGTCGTCTGATCCAGGCCCCTATCCATCCATGTCCGTGGCCGTCATCCCTTGTCCCTGTCCCCCGTCTAGCCCTATAATATCCAACCAGCAGCGTTCCCTCGCGCCTCCAAGAAGTCTTCACCCACGCACTGCACTCCCAAAACTGGCCCAATTCTGCGTTTTCATTTGTGGGCCAGCGCATGCCCGTCTGCAAAGTGCCTTTTTTCCTTGCCCTGTCTGTGAGCCTGTGAGCCTGCGAGCCTGGTTCTTGTCCTCCCTCGAGTGGAGCTATAGCCATCCAATGTTAACCTCCAGGGCGGGTTCTTGTTTATACTTGCTTCTTTTTACTTTTCTTTTTTTTTCCTTTTCTCGCACTTATTTTCTGCTTTTTTCCATCCCCCCTTCTTCTCCCCAAACAGCCTTTGTTTGGTCAGCTGAACGGGAGCTCAGAACATGTTGGTAGATTAAAGCAGTCGTGGAGGCGTACATATGTGAGCTGGTTGGTGCAAAAGGAAAAAAGAGAGAGAAGGAAAGAAAGGGATGATTGACGGTGAAGTCATGCCGAGCGGAGCTGCCATCAGCAATTAGCTTCTGCCGTGAGAGGGACGGAGTACGTATGCAGTATAAGATAGGTTGATATGGCCGGGTACCTGCTTGCTGTCTCCCGGCGTTGCTGTGCCTGCGTGCTCCTGTCGCCGTTCTCGTTCTACGGAGGTACATACGGAGTATGCTTGGTCCTCTTGCTTCCTTTCTCCCCATGTCAGCCCGGACGAGTTCGATACCCAGCCGTCGTTCAGACACGGCTCCGCGTTCGCCACCGTCGGGAAGGCATGGCACTCCGTGGAAATCGTTGGCTCGTCGAGGTTACTCCGTACATGCCATATACGTACGGAGAATGCACTCTACAAACCTGCTGCTGCAGCCGTCATTCTCGCTGGGCCGTTTCTTTCGGACGCTTGGAGTAAGACACCAACGCATAATTCATATTATTTATAGGCGGCAGCGGCGATCCGTCGCGTCTGACTCAATCTAATAAATGGTCTTATATATGTAGAACTGAGACCTCGGCCCCGTCCTTTGTATCAATGATATAACTTGCCCAGTAGTAGCGTTAACTTATGCTGGAGCCCGTCTGTCCCGCCCAGCGGAGCAGTTCAACGACTGACGTTGTTGTTTGTTGTTGTTTGTCAAGAAGTTCGACTATTTTTATGGGGAAAGAAAAGAAAAAAACAGGGGAAAAAGTCCGGCTTACCCGTATCATGTAATACGTTACATAATAGTATTACATAAGTCATGCCAAGACCAGAAAAGGACGAGGTTGAAAAACCAACTACACCATGCCAAGACCTGCCCTGTTACGTAATATCACGACTTCGAGATGGACCAAAGATGATGGACGAGGGAGAGAGAGACACACACACACACATCAAGGGGAAAGGGACAGCAGAGGCCAGGAGATACATAGGATAGGAGAGGGTGCAGAGATGATGGGACTAAGTTTGATGAGAAGAAGCAGGTTTTTTGCTTGTGACCAGAGCCTGAGGATGTTGAGTAACTGATCCAGATCCAGTTTTATATAGTACTAACAAGATATTGGGTATGGTGACTATGTCAGGTATTCCATGCATATCTATCGAGAGGCTTATACCCAGACCTGTCATAGGGCGGAAGATGCATTTACTTTTACTCTATGACGGAGTAGGGAGACAGACCATGGAGAGGAAGGAGGCAAGAAGCAGATACTGGATGCTGCTTCTCCCTCTGCAGCAAGCAGCCCATGAGATAAATATTTTATCTTTCACCAGGCGCTTCTTGTTTACTCTCTGCATCAACACAACTCTCGTTAATCATACCAAGCAGTACATTCGCTTCTATCTTGCTTCTTACCACTGTGATTATATATACTCGTTAGGTCGCTCGCTTCTGACATCACGCTCGTTAAACTCCCAATAACTATACCTCTGTTATATTCGAAATGAGCACAGATTCGGGATACTGCAGCTTACAGAGCTCTCCATATTTCAAAGAGCTGCAGAACAGCTATTTCACCACTTTACCCAAGCTTTCAAGTCCCGTGTCATCCACTGCTCCCAACTCCCAGGCCTCGGCCCAGTCATTCGAAGCTGGCGCCCATCCGGACTCTCTATCTGATATCTTGGAGGCTCGCAAAGAGGCCAAACAGCTACTCCTTATCTACCGCACAACCCTTGCTGAGCTTGAGTTAAGACGCATGTGCGCATCTCGCAAGGGGCTGCAGTTATGGGTCGAGTACTGGACAAATACTTACAAACCACATTTTGCACGACCTCTATGCCAAAAGATTGAACTTGCTAAGCCGGAAGTTAACCGTACTTTCAAGGAGGCTGCTCAGGATATCTACCAGGTCATCAACGAGATTGACGCATGCATCTCCACTGCCTCTCACCAGGACGAAATCAGAGACCTGATGGCAAGCATGAGGAGCCGTATTCATCACATTGTCAGAGAAAGGCGGGTACGGGCCAACCAGCTTATGGAATGGCTTAGATGTGATATCGAGTCCACGCCCGTTGATATTCGTGACCATATGTTTGATCGGTTGAAGAAGCAGGTCTACGGCCTTGATCCGTTAGGCCATTATCACCCTAACCCGGAGGAGCCGGATTTCGAGGACTACATGGAAGAACGTTCTGAGTCTATCGAGGAGCGTCTCCGACAGCAGATGGGCCTTTTGAGCATGACAACTCTTCCTGACACACTAAGGCAAGTGATTGCAATTGACAATACGAGAAGTCAGTGGGCACATCATACTAGCCAGGGGGAGACTTTGGCCATGAACAATGCCGAGGAAGTGGCGTGAGTGGGAAAAGTTGCTTTCTGAATTCTCTGCTTGAATTTTTAATCTCACGCTCGTTTCATGAGTTGGGGCTATCTGCTTCGCGCTATGATCTTGTCGACTTCTACTACAACACTTTGCTTTCTTA